TGCTCTTGGACGACCTGTACCTCGGCTCTTGCATCTTCGATAGACAACTCTCCGACCTTGGGCGTATAGAATCGCTCTATGATCCCTGACGCGATTCTGGCGAGTTCAATTAGCGCAGTCCTGGTTGATTGAGCTCGCGATGGTTGCGGCGAGAAGTCGGGCACTCGCTCCGCACTTAACGGGTCAACATATGGTTTCCAGAGTTCCAGCTCCTCGTAAGTGTCCAAAAGCTCCAGAGATGGTTCAAGTCCTTTGATCATGTTGAGGCCCGGAGCCCGACCGAAATAAAGGGATTGAAAACTATCTAGGAGATAAGCTCCCCAAATGACCCGACGTTGGATCTCGAGATCGATGGAAGTCGGATGAATCTGAGGCTTTCCAGGCACCAGGCTGGATATTGGCAGCTTGTTTGGGTCAATGTGAAGGCCCAAGTCGACAATCATGCGATATGCGATGCCGGTGAAAAGCCAGCCAATTGTCTGTTTTCCATTGGACACGCAAGCAGAGCCCATAGACGTCAGGGCAGCAATGTTGGTGGTTGTCGAGGTCTGGATTTCGGTGGCCAACAGTGATTGGAAGCGACGGAAAAATCGCGATCCATATGACTCCACGCAGGAGGCGTTGTCACTCATGTTCGGTCGACTGCTTTGTAGCGATGCCGAATAAAAGAGAGCGTTTAGCAGGAGCTTGTTGCAGTGAGGGCCGTGCGTAGCCAGGCTATGCATAATAGCAGGTCGGTAAGTGCCCATAAAGCCAAGATGGTGATGATTCCAGTGTAGCTCGAGTAAATGATGCGCGACTTCCCAATCAAGCCCATCAAAGTCCATCTTCCTTTCTGCCATGTAGGTATATTCCTTCTGAAACTCCAACGCAGAGAATGCAAATAGCTCTTGCCGTATCTGGTCGAGGCTTGATGTTTGAGTTGCGGTCGCTGACGCAGGACTTCCCCCGATTGTACTGGGAAAGCTCGGTCTCGATCGTGCGGACATTGGCACATGAAAAGCAGATGCAGGACCGTGAACCGACACGCCTGTCTCGCTCTGTACCAGAGAATGGACTGGGATCCCCTCTACCCGTGTCTCTTCGTGAGGCGGCTCCTCCGGGTTCAAGAAATTGCTCTGTCGGTCAAGCATGTAGGCCAATGCTGGGGTATTGTTTCGCTCCTGAGGTGAACCAACTGTATGTTGACTATTCTCCGGCGAGCGCGGATGTGCATTTGCATCTTCGAGGTTTTTGCTTGTCAGTCGCGCTATCGTTTGCTCCAAACTAGCAATCTTTTCGCCCATCGTTTGAAAATTCTCTTTGCTGACTCGGGAAGTCTTGCGGCCGTCAGCTTCGTACAGACAAGAAAGCTCCAATAGACGACAGGTGGAACAGCTTGGATGTTCACCGTCACATTTTATCTAGAAACGGGAGAACTGTCAGCCGCCACTGACGAACCAAGATCATATTTGGGCAAGAAAAATAAATGTTTTGGCCCTCACCTTTCGTTTGCGACAACGGCGACAAGCCCTGTTCTTGCGAATTTGAGTGTTAAGGCTCGGCATTTAGCAGGACAAAGCTCGAGCATCCACCTCGAACCAGAGTGAGGGATGTTCGAGAATATGGCATACAATACGATCTTCCCACCGAACTCGAGTCGGGCAATAACAGCCCTAACAGTTGATTGTCCGCGATCTCTACTCTTGGTTTTCCTGGGCACGCTACATCCAAACGTGGCCTAAAGGCTGTATGCTGATGACTGGAGGACCTCAACGATTGAAAACCCCAACAGCGCGGCATAGTGCTTCTGCTTACTGTTATTATAACCGACAGACCCTCCATGATCCCCGCACAAGACAGTGGCACGACTTTCCCGGCACTATGGCGGGGTTGCTGGGTCTAAATTAATTTATCACTCAGAGAACAAGCCCTCGGAAACACCACGTTTTATGTTTGGCGAGGTGGGCATCTAGACGGCGACTACGAGACCTCGATTTGCTTGGGTCAAAGAGTGCTGCTTGGCCGAATAGGCTAGGCACCACATCACCAAGTTCTGAGTGTCATTGTCACAGCGAGACGCACAAACTTGCCTTTAATTTTGCCTCGCACACCAGCTTCATGAATATACCTCGAAACCTCTTGGCTCACAATCCGGTTGTCCGGCGCGGAACTATTCGTGTGTGCCTGAATAATGTGGCAAAGGACAACAGGCCAGCAAATAAACTCTTAGTGATGGCCAGGCATTTACAGGACGACTCACCTGATGCTCTACTCTTCGGACATCACATCTCCGCGCGGCCCATATCCGCCGCAATGCATGTAATTCAAGTCTATCGGTATTGGCGCGAACAAACTTATCAAACCATTAAAGTCCAACGCGCGGAATGTGTCTTACTGATTTGATTACTATCGAAATCTTCACTCTCACTATCCTAACAACTGCAAATTTCATAAGCAAGCAACGCTTTGTCCATTGAATTGGTGCCTTGCACATTATGATCGCCCAAGAGAATGATATCCTCTCAGATAGTTCGACCTCTCCCATTGGGGAACATCAACCCAAACGCGTCGTGTGCATTGGAGCAGGATACTCTGGTCTAATGATGGCAATCATCGCCGAGCAGAAGATGAAGCACCATAACGTAGCTTTCCAAGTTTACGAAATGAACCCAGATCTCGGAGGTACTTGGCTCGTTAATAGGTGAGAGTTCCCTTCTCGTACTCAGTCAGGTACTTACCCATTGGGCGGATCAGATATCCTGGGTGTCAATGTGACATTCCAGCGCATAATTATGCATTCAGTTTCGCTCCAAATCCGGCTTGGCCAAACTACTACGCCACCTCCGAACAAATACATGCATACATGAAGGATGTAGCAGCAAAATTCGGATGTGAAAGCCATTTCGCCTATGGTCACAAAGTCACTAGTGCCGTTTGGAGTGACCGAGCATGCAAATGGAATCTCACAGTGAAAGCGAATGGACAAGAGTTCCAAGACTCGTGCGACGTGTTGATCAACGCCGGGGGGGTCTTAAAGTGTGAAAAGCCCCTTGATCCTGAGAAGCAACCGCTGACAAGTTTTAGCAACTGGAGATGGCCCGCTATCCCTGGTATTGAAAGGTTTCGAGGAAAGCTACTTCATTCGGCAGACTGGGACACAACTTATGATTGGTCTGGAAAGAATGTGGCGGTAATTGGGATCGGATCATCAGGAATCCAGATCGTACCAAAAGTCGCAAAGAGTGTGTCTGCTCTCCAACTTGTGAAGGCCCGTCTAGATGCTGACCACGAGGGGCCCAGCGGCTAAACATGTTGATTTTTTTGTCCGGTCGCCGACATGGATATCTCCTGCGCCTGGTATTAACGAGCCTACGCCTGAGGATCCCGATGTTGACGAAGAGTACAACTACGCTCCACACGAACTCGAACGGTTTGAGACTGATCCTGAGTACTTACGCCGGCATCGAGTGTTCCTAGCAGATAAACGCATTCAAAATTTTAAACGATCAATGGCAGGCTCCAAAGTCCAGGAGGAGACGGATCAGGTGTTCAGAAGCACTATGCTCGCGCGGCTAGGGGAGTCACCAAAGGGCAAGGAGATCGCATCATGGCTTCTTCCAAAGTTCCCCGTGGGGTGTCGACGTCTCACACCTGGACCTGGATTCCTAGAAGCTTTGACACAGGACAACGTGGACAGTTGGTGGGATTTCATCGACGAAATTACAGAAACAGGTATCAAGCTCAAAGACGGCACCCACAGAGACTTGGACGCGATTTTCTGTGCTACCGGCTTTGATACAACGTTTCAGCCACGATTTCCGCTGATTGGGAGGAATGCAGTGAACTTGGCTGATCGCTGGGCTTCCAAGGAACCAGAGGCATATTTCAGTATCACTGTTCCAGATATGCCCAATTACTTCAGTGAGTATCTTTCAATTCCAGCACTCTGGAAATCTGAACAGGAATTGCTCAGCACGCCATCCTCAGCATTGCGGCATAGACCAGCACTAACAATGGCACAGTGTTCATAGGGCCAAACAGTCCAATCTCGAACGGTTCACTCGTGCAAGCAATTCAAATGACCGGAATATACATCTACAAGTGTATAACCAAGCTGCAAACCCAAGGCATCAAGTCCATGACCGTGTCGACGCAAGCGACCAAAGAGTACAACATCTATTCCCAGAACTGGCTATCAAAGACCGTCTGGGTGGCGCCGTGCAGAAGCTGGTACAAGCGAGGTACAATTGACGGACGAGTTGTTGGCATTTACGCAGGCAGCTGTTTCCACTTTGCAGAAGCCTTGAGAGATCCTCGTTGGGAAGACTACGAATTCGAATATGTAGTTGATGTAAATCTGGGGTTCAACCGCTTCGCGTGGCTGGGAAATGGTTTCAGCAAGAGAGAGATGTTAGGAACCAGTATCGGTGATACTCAGACATTGGACTTTGAGGAATATTGGAGGCTGATGGTCTTGCCCGAAATTCACTATTGAAGTTCGAGGATAACGCTAAGCTTCATGGGATGTTTTAACTCTGTGGGCTAATTGACATCCCGGCGTGGAGAAGCACCATGCGTGGTGAAATAATCTATCAATACTTCGAGCGCTATCGCTCTATACTCGACACATGACACATGAGACATCGATCAGGCAACTGAGTTTTTTTTTCGTACTCTGAAGCTGTACTTCTATTTTGAGTATAAGCCTTTTCTATAAATACGAAGAATTGATCCTTCCAAGACCCCGACTTTCACAAGCTACCTAAAATGTGTAGAAACAGCTTCGTCCCTCTTGAGCGTACAACACGTACTTCCTAGTTTCTTTGCGTTGAATAAATAATATATTAGTAGATAGATATCGTAGAACGAATTATTAAATCAGTTGCTCTGGATATCTATAACATATACTACTAAAATTTGCCAACAATAGCGATATATCCCGTCTTTTTAGTGAGCTAGCGGGAATCAAGGCTATGTTACCTGAAAATACCACTACACAGTCGCAATTTCTGTCTCAGTCAATCGATACTAGGCACTTCGACAGCCGTCCTACCCTGCTTCCCTCTCACTCCAAGCCTTTCAGCAATTGCCATCACCACTGCGCGGACGCCTTGAACTTCTTCCCTGGTCCCTCCATTAAATTGCATCCCCATCATGTGGTTGCGTGCTTGCTCTTGACAATCAGTGCTCAGCAGGGCTGCCACAATGGACTGTGCTGTTTCCACCTTGTTCAAGATCCCCATGAAGGAAAAAACATGGCCATAGAACAATGCTGCAAGAGAAATCGTGGTGTCAGCCTGGTCACAATATCCGACGTCACTGTAGTAGTCGGGAGTAATCTTCTAGGAAAATAGATCGGAACACGGGGGTGGAGCACTCACTGGTCACTATCCACGTGTAGTCCGCCGAACCCTTGGCGTTGAGTGATAGATCATAGCCAGGAATCTTTGGATAGATGCTGTCTATCATTTCTTGACCGCGTTGAGTGGCCATCTCATGTGTTTCGCCGGCCCTGTACAGAAAGGCAAGACATCAACAAGGGAGATCATGGGCGTCGTCGTCATGCGAAAGCGACGAGTAACACAAAATATTTTTGACCGAATTACCTGTAACATTTTGATTCCTGCAGATGTTCTGGTGTGGCATTAAGAAGCTGTCTAATAGCCGTGCCCGTCTAGTCAGAGAGAAGGTGTCAGCATGCTGATTCTCAGACTGGGGCAATTCTGCTGTGCAGCTTTCTTCAAGGTCTGAGTTGATTTGCGGAGAAGACAAAGAGGAAAACAAAAAGAAAAAGAAAAGAAAACAAATTACCGTCGCTGCACCCCATATCCCACAGACTTTGGTAAGAGCTTCGCGTATTTTGCGAGTCTCAACCATCTGATCCTCGTCCGCAATATACTTGTCGAGAACAATTTTATACAGTTCCGGAATCAACTCTGCATACTTCATTCCGCCAAGCGCAATGATGGCGGTTAGGTACCATTTCAGGCGAGACTTTTCTCCGCAGCCAATGCTGTGGATGTCAATCAGATGTTGCAAAAAGTCGCTGTCCAAAATTTCTGACATATTGAAAGTCGATACGAAGACTGCTCTTGTCACGAAACTAAGGAGGTTGGTGTGGGCGAGATTAATGCTTGTTTTCCAAAGGAGGGCGGATCATTGTGATGTAGTCTGATGTGGTATCGGACTTCCCGTCGCTTCGGCCCCGGTGCAGACGGAGGTCTGATGCCCGGGAGTCGCGACCCCCATAGTCCAGTCGCAGGAAAGACTTTACATTCATTTCCTGTCTGCTAAGGGACGCTGGCCACTTATCAGGATCCCTTCTAGCCTTCTTTACGAGAAAACAAACTAGGATCGGGAGACACTACTGTCGACTGCAGGCATTATGACTCTTGCAATCTGCGTATATCGCCAGCTCGATTCGCGAGAAAAGGGTGAAAAGGTAAGTTGCAGGAAATTAGAAGACTGATATTTTCATCTGCCAGCATGGCCAAGTAATGATTAGAAGCTGACCTTGCTGGCAGTTTAGAGGTCTCCTACGCGATGTCGCCACGGTCACGCTGTCGAACGAACCTGATAACAAAGGGTATTGTTGGTTTCACAAAAGCCAATCCAGTAGCCTCCCAGGAGAGTGGATTAGTGGGCTTGAGTTGTAAGAGCGGCTTCCCGACAATTTGAGGACGACACAAAAGAGCTGATGGGAGTCTGAGCTATGAAAACGAAGCTGCGTTAGTTGAAACTCACCGCAGCAGTGCAGAATATCAGAGGATGCGCAAAGTGGTTGCGGAAGAGGAACTTCTGGGCAAGGCATATCCTCAGATAATCTTTCTCAAACCAGCAGCTCCCTCCGGTTTTATCAACCGGGGGTCGACAGCAACAATCCTTGACGAAAATGACCAGTCGTTGGTGGTGATATCGCAATACAAATATAAAGCGAAGTCATTGCAAACTTTCCTCACAGAGATCGAACAAATGGCTCAGACTTGCCGCAAGGAGCCGGAAGTCCTGGCTTATTTCCCCATGCTCAGAAAGGACGGCGAGGGCGCGGTTCTGACGGTCTTTGAGCGGTATGGCTCAGAAAATGTCTACGGCAGGATCAAAGAGGCATTGCATCCTTTTATGTAAGTCGCACTCAAGAATTTAATCTCTGGGAATCCGCACTTCGCTGACCATGACTAGTGCGAAACTGAATGATTTGAGCGATGACATTGTCGTCACTACATGGGAAAATGGCTTTGGACACTTGAAAAGCATTAGCAACAACTTTGAGCCCTAGATAGATCGGAGGGGTTAGCTATTATAAAAGAGAGCCATTGCGTGGTTCAAGGTCAAGTTACGAAGGGTAGGAAACAAGAGTATAGATTTTAGACAAGGACAAGACATTCATTGCCTTTGCACAGATTCTTCTATGTGCTATTACTGTAGTAGAGAAATCGAAACCAGAAATCAATCCCAAAAAAACTTATCGGGCTTTGCTATGTGAATGATTTCCGCTGTGAGCCCGCCCAAAACTAAAATGAAGTCTCGTGCTGACTATGTCCGCGGCAAGGACGCAAGACGGCCGTTAGCAGGAGAGTCTGCTCAATGACTATGTTGCTACTGCTTCTGGGCGAATTTCAAAACCCCGTCTGGGGAAGCTTTGGTGGAGGCGGGGATAGCCCCCTGAGTTCAAACGGCGATCAGACCTCCGTTACTCGGCATACATAAATCGAATCTTGCGAATAAAGAATACATGCACTCACCACGAGACAAGGCAAAGCAAGAGATCATTTGGAACTGGTTTTCGTCTCCTATCGTCGAATACGGAGCTTTCCTTACCTCGCACACTGCCCAAAATGGCTTCTGTCGAGGCGACAAAGCCACATTTCAGCTGGCGAAATTTTCTCATGTGTTTTCTGATCTCATTCGGTGTTGTTGGTTTCGGATATCCCTCAGCAATGATTGCCCCCATGCTTGCCAAACCCTCATTTCTCGAATTCACTGGCCTCGGTGACGAAAACGGTATACACAAGGGCAAAACATCGCTCGTAGGAGCTCTTGGAGGAATCTTTCAGGTACATCAAACATTCATTTGACGTTGTGATTGCCCTGAGGAGCTAATCCTGACATTCACAGGCCGGTGCGGTCTTCGGAGTGATATTGAGCACACAAATCACAGATCGCTACGGAAGGAAGGCAGCCATGTTATACTGCATCTTTTGGTCCCTCGTCGGCGGTATCGGCATCACGGCCGCTCCGAATCTGGCCACCATCCTTGTGTTTCGCTTCTTTTCGGGGATGGGTAGCTGGGGATTTCTGACCGTTGGTAAGATCTATTCAATAGTCCTTTGAAACCGCGACATCTTAGATAACTCATGGATCCCAGCTCCCACATACACTGCCGAGCTCTCCATCCCCGCCTACCGAGGACTCACTGCTGGCATGTGTGGCGTGATGCTGGGTTTGGGCTACGCGACCGCCTCATATTTCGGTCTAGCGTTTCATTACACAGAAAATACAGTGGCGCAGTGGCGCGCCCCAGCCGGCCTCAGTCTCCTCTGGCCGATGATTTCCCTGGTTACTCTCCCGTTCATTCCCGAGTCGCCACGATTCCTTTTGATGAGGGGCAAAGTCGAAGAAGCATGGAAGACAGTCGCCAAACTTCATTCCTCTAAAGACGGCTCAGATCAGACGTATGCTCGAGAAGAGTTTTACCAGATGAAGATGCAAGCACAACACGATCAGAAACAAGACAGCAGCTGGAAAGCCCTATTTTCGAAAGCGTACAGAAAGCGCGTGATAATAGGCTGTGGACTTTCATTCCTAGGACAGAGCACAGCTGTTCTTGTTATCCAGAACTATGTAAGACTTTTACCCAACGCAAAGAACGATTTGTTGGATGCTTACAGATGTGCAGGCCCCCATCTTTTATGCAGCGCTGGGCTTCAATTCGAAGCAGCAGATTATCATTCAGTCCGGAAGGGATTCGAGTAAGTTTAAGGCTCGAATCGTCCGAGAGACATAATACTCACGGCTTTGTCAGTCGCATTTGTAGGCAATCTGGTGGGCGCGTTTCTCCTGGACCGCCTTGGACGGCGACTGATGTTGCTTACTGGATTGGCTGGTTGTATTATCTGTGTCGCCATCAATGCCGCAATGGTCGCAGAGTACAGCGGCACAAACAATGACGCTGGTTTGGCAGTCGGCCTCGCATCACTCTTCGTTTACTTGTGCTTCTATGCTAGCTGCTACGACGCACCCCTGCTTGTTGTTCTTGGAGAAATATTTCCCAACCACGTTCGAGCAAAAGGAGTCGCCTTGTCGATTGCTACTGTTGCCGCCAGTGATATCCTCTACTTACAGGTGGCTCCCTATGCATTTGCGGCCGTTGGATGGAAGTTCTTCGTGGTAAGTACTGAGAACATGATTTTCCCCAATGGTCCTAGCCTAACGATTACCAGCTCTTCATTTGTGTTTCGGCAGTTGGCTGGGTCTGGGTGTGGTTCCAGCTTCCTGAAACCAAAGGGGTGCCTTTAGAAGAGATGGCAGACCTCTTCGGAGACAAAACGGAGGTCATGGTGCATCTTGCTGACGTTCACCTTGACTCTTCCATGTTAGACCTCTCGACTAAGAAACAAGACAACGCGGATACAACCAGCCCTAACGAGCTCGAGAAAAGAGAACCTGCAAACTTTCATGTTGAGAGTGTCAGCTCGATCAAGGGCCATTGAAATGGCATCTTGTCGTTTAAGTCTTCACACAGCGGATCTAGAGACTTGGGGAACTGCGCATATAGCAAGAATGACCCGTTGTCCTCTCACAAGTCTCGGGAGATCAGCGCTACAGTAGATAGAGGCAAACCAAAATGCTTTATCCTCAGAGCACATGCCCTTTATACCACTTAAAGAGCTAAGGTAAATTGTCAACCAGCATTACCTGAAGTCTCAAGCTGCCTTGTCCGGCCCTCCCTAGTACTTACATCTCGAACCGATGTCAAAATTAAATGGCACACTCTGACGAGAAGAGCGTTTTGTGGCAGTTTTGTACTCTGGCTGTCTGACTTATTCGCTCGGAGGCGATTGTCATTTATTAAAAAATAATTACTATATCCTTAGACACAATGGTATCTCTATCCCCGTTGACAATACTGGCAGTACCTGATGTGGCTGCCACCACCTCTTCTGCGTCAGACTGTGCCACTTGTATCTGAAGGCCTGACCTTCCATATGTACTCCGTTACGTAGCTAAGTAGTTTAGCCATGGGAAGGTCTAACCAGAGACGGACGTGTGAAGGATCACTCTTCGGTTGAGTAATAGAAAGCAGAGAGCCAGCCCCTGTTTAGGTCACATTCCTAGACCGGCTGAAATACCTCCTACCCTGAAATGGCCGCACAAAAGACCGGGCGTAACACAGGTATGATGCGGAGGTGCGGGAGTCTATCTCCGAACAGTTAATTCTTATATAGAATACTAGCACTTCAACTGAAGATGATCTATAAGCTGCCCATAAAGGTTCAATATCAACAGCAGCGTCGCTCCATTCCACAAGCCGTCTTCGTTCCGCGTTCCTTCTCACCATTTTGACAACAAGATCCGTTATTATGGCGCCAGGATGCGTTGTGATTTATTTCAATCCTACTCAATCAGATGATGAAAGTGTCTTGGCGAGCTGGAGAGAGAAGATTCAAGAAAAGATTCCCGGGTTTCACTTGCGTACAAAGATGGTCGCCACAGACGCCGACGACATCGAGGCCAATTTTTACCGATATGAGAACTTCATTGAGGTGGAAGATGTGACCAAGGTCACTAAAGATCTGGTTAAGGAAATGCGCGAAGAGAGCCCACTGCAACACTCGGATTGGCATGTGTACGAACGAATCTCGAAGGACACACAACATCACCTAGAGGGAGATGAGAGGCCCGCGGGAAGTCAAGTTGTCCAGGTTGGCTCGGCTCCTATACCCGAACACATGGAAGAATACCACACCTGGTACCGGACCGAGCACCTGCCTCGGCTGTCCAAGGTCCAAGGATGGTGTATTGGGACTCGCTGGCAATTCTTGTTTGAGCATGGCGATGGAAAAGCACCCTGGAGGAGAATCCTGGCACAGCAGCAATATGAAAAAGAAAACGGGCTGGGTGGGGACCAGTGGAAGAGCTCGATGCTGTCTGAATGGTCTAAAAAAGTTATTGCCAACGTGGAGATGCCGAGTCACCGTCGCACTTGGGAGATAATGCCGTGAACCAAGCAAAAGAGGAAGACAGGTCTGCGTCCTTGGTCGGAAGACTGATTCGGAGTCCTCTAAATAAAGAGAAAGGCATATGATGCTTTTGTATTTAATGGCTTTCTATAGTGGCAAGAATTTCCAAGTGCGCCGGTGATATGCCTGAGCCAGATTGTCTCTCACTCTCTCCGTCCATGGAGTGTCGATAGAGGCTTGCCAGATGGGACCTCCCAAGCCGTTCTCAACGTCGTATTCGCTGGCCGAGACGAACAGGGCTGCATGTTCTCTCCCGCTCCCGTACCTTGAAGCCAACCTATATCTTCGAGTGCCACGCCAACCGGGAACTTTAGCGAGCATGCCTTGGTGTTCCTGTTCAAACCAATCGAGATAGTCTTGAGTGCTGCCGAGGGTAGGATCCATGCCAACTTGCACGTATTCTGTTCCTATTGGTGGATATTCGTTGTTGTCTATCCCAGGTCTTGAACGCCGGGCAATTTCGTGATAAATGTTCCAATCCGACGAAGAGAACAGCGTCGATGCTTCAGATATAAGTCGTTCGATCGTGGCTTGTGTAAGTGCTTCCGGATCCTCCAGATTGATTAAATACTGGTCTCTATACGGTTTCAAGGAATCGTGCTTGTCGCTGGCGTGAAGTCTGAACACGGAGGTGCAAGTTGGAATGGCCTGCTGAAGATTTTGCACCCACTGTTGAAGCCGCTCCGACTCGACATCAGATTTGACCTCAACACACAGAACGATGCTGGCGCGACCCATCGCAAGAATGCTGAAAAACACTGTGCTCGGTAAACCCGGCAGTCCACTCATCAAGAATTTCCAGAATCAAATTCGTTTTTAAGTTGTGTAATAAGCAATCCTTCGGGGTTCCGGTGGCAAACTACGAGTCCATGGAAAGTTGTAACCTCCGACGGCGTCACGGAGATGTCATGTCCGCTCAGGTCAGGCCGTTCTTTTTACCAGCAACCACCAATTGAGCTGGCCAGGGCATAGTCTCACTCTTGCAGCGCATAACATTTCGTCGCTTCAATCGCCCACAAATCTGTTGCATTTTCCTACGTAGAGGTCGGCTCAATACGACCCAAAATGTCGGTTCCGAAATCCCTTCCAACCTTTGAGGACATCGAAAAGAACAGTCCGCCGTACTCAGCATGGGGAGTTTGGGAGAACCCTCAGTTGGGGGCTCTCAACTACCTGTCAGATAGTGTTGTTCTAAAAGCTGTAAAGGAGGAGATTCAGACTGGCAGCAGAGTCGGATTGAAGTAAGCCACACAGACCAGACTAGGACGACTTTTGATGAGCATCTACCTACTTATCGCGCAAGCATCACAGTTTACCTCTTGACTTTGTCGACCCCCCTCTGCTTAATCGCCGAGGTTTTGAGCGCCAGATCATTAACAAGGCACCCCGGGTTATAAATGACGACGTTGTCGGTGCCAGGCCTTGACCCTAAACCGCATCAGCTGCTAACCCTTCATGCAGATAACTTTTAACACACAAGGGAGTAGCCAGTGGGATAGCTTCCGCCACTTTGCCTACCAAGATGAGGCTAAGTTTTACAACAAGTGAGTGGAATGACAAGGTAGATCTCTGCCCGAGTCCAAAGAGACTAAAGCAACCTCCAGTGTGACTCAAAGCGACATACATGATGATCCCAACAGTGGAGTAAATGGCATGGAAGCGTGGTCGGCCTCGGGAGTTGCGGGGAGGGGTGTCTTGATCGATTACTACGCCTGGGCTGAAAAAAAGGGTATTCACTATGATCCCTTGGGCACTCATGCCATCAGATTGAGTGAAGTCAAAGAAATTATCGAGGATTCCAACATCGAGCTCCGCCCGGGCGATATTTTTATTCTTCGGACCGGTTCGTATGACTACGCTGCTGGCTCGTCGGAGCCAGAAGACGTCTGTTATCGATTTGTGCGGCCAATAAACTGATATTGCTTGGTGTAGGGTTCGTTGAAGCATATTCCACGCTGGACAAGAGTGCCAGAGAGAAGTACAGCTCAAGCCACACTTTTCCCGGCTTAGAGCAATCTCGTGAGGTGGTTAAATGGTTGTGGGAGCAACAATTTGCCGCCGTTGCCGCAGATTGTCCTGCATTCGAATGTGTTCGTACGTTGAAACTGAACCCCATTTTGCGACCTGAGGAACAGCCGAAAGGCAGATGCTAACCAATGCCATGTACTAAACAGCCAGCGCGGATCCAGGGTTCGGATCGTTGCATCCTATCCTCCTTTCAGGATGGGGGACGACAATTGGAGAGCTGTTTGATTTGCGAGGTCTTTCAAAGGAATGTGAAAAACAGGGTCGATACTCCTTTTTCCTAGCTTCTTCCCCCTTGGTATATACGGGTGTCGTAGCATCGCCACCTAACATCATGGCAATCCTGTAAGGTCGCAAATTGAACCATTCAGACAGCGTTGCTAGGAAGCGCTTCATCGATCTCATGGGGCTCGATTAGGCACCCTTGGGCCTTTTCGGGATTCCTAGCGCTAAATTAACCTCCATACAAAAAAGGGGCAAACCTCAGTTCTGAGGAGTTCTCCTAGGCATACAGTTGACATATTCGAGCAGGGTAGGAGTAGACGTGAGCTTCACCACCAGCCGTATATATCTTTACCAACAATCCATGGTCAGGCGCTGATGGGACGTTGACGCGAACTCGGGTCTGGTCGGTATCAGAGTAAGCATTAAGATCTCTGCAAGAACGATCCAGATGGGATGAGGTTGGAATTACATATCGACCTACCGGTACATCGCTTCCAAAGTGTTTCTGGCACTGCCTTGCCTAACATAGTTGAGAAAAGTTGCTTGGGTGAAAAATAGTGTGAACACAATGGAGTGATTCTGAATAGAGATAAGAACCGCCTAGATAAGTTTTGTGGAACAAGGTGTGTTAACTCGTCCTTCTATGATGTAGCCTGGTGCTTTCGTCGTTTCCAGCCGCCAAGGGACTCCGTAACTTGAGGGAGATTTGACCCCAAGGAACAATCCCGAGACACGGAGTGTTTCCGGTTGGCTATAGAGCAAGTATGCGGAGAATGACTGCAGGTTTAATTAAATGGTGATTTGATGACAATAGATCCGGAGACGTCACTCGGAAGGGCGTCCGGAATCAGGCGCCACCAACATCAACAAGGACTCCAGTAACATCGTGCCCGTGCAAGTCTACACCTATCAATCAATACACGATTCTCCCAGCTGCCCATAACACCCTCCAAACTCTTCTGTAGCCCGCTTATTAAAAGAGTGGGTATATCAGAATCATTTGACCATCCTCTTATTAAACTAATCAGATCTATCTCTCAATGATGCTTCCTCAGCAGCGCAGGACGTGTCTAGCCTTTGGCATCGTCCTGGAAGCTCAACAAGTACGAGGTACTAGTACAAGGTATGTTTTCTCAGGAGGGTCACCAAGACTATCCTGCCGCGCGAGACCATGCATGCTACTTTTAGGCGTGTGGCGCCTAGAGCATACCTAGGTTTTAGTTAAACAGTGCCTAACTTATAGGCTTGCTCCGGGCATCAAGTCCCTAGGTGTAAATCACGTCAAAAGTCACGTGTACGCTAAAAGTACTAGTGAACGTCGTAGAGCCCCAGCCCCGGGATACCCTAACCCTTCTAGGCGTGTGGGGAGGTGTTGCGGGGGTGCTGACGCTCCCTCCTCCTCGGCATCTTATGCACGAGAATATGTAACATACCAAAGTAGGGATCGAGCTTATCTACACTCACCATCATACTATTCTCGCTCTCAATCACGACCACTTTCATAATTATGGGCGACGACAGTTACAGAGGCTCAGGGCTCAGAAAACCAAAAAGGACCAAGATTGCTGCTGCATGTGAATCTTGTCGCCAACGCAAAACCCGGTGTGATGGGCTACGTCCAGGTCTGCCGGTGATGCTGGTGCCTTATGCCCACTGTCTGACAGTGTATCAGCATGTGGACCTTGCCAAAGGCGCGGCCTGGCTGAAACAGAATGCACATACATGGAGAAAGGTCGCGATATTGCTCAAAGGTGTGCGAATGCAATATGTTCTTCTGCAAACGTAGCTAAACACTTTCTCAGCCAGTCTTATATTCAGCAGCTCGAAAGGAAGATTTTTGAGCTAGAACAACGACGAGGTCACCCAAGACCGAATTCGACAACGATTACTGCTGCAACATCGGCAACTGCTGCCGTCGCTACCGCCACCGCCACCGCCACTGCCACCACACCAATCCTTTCGATCCATCCTATTCTTGGCACAGTCACAGCCTCACTCACTAATGATGATTTAGATGACCCTACCGCTGTTGACGCAAGCAGCTCCGAACACGATCTTTCCAATCAGCCATCGGTTGTCAGAAGCGATGATCTCTTCCGCCCATCGGGAGGCCTATCATCCGATTCCTTCGCATCGGATCACGCCCTGCCAGGAAGAGATCAATTACCAAGTGCATCTGTCAAGAATATGCACAGGAATATCCCAGGGGCTGCTGAGGAAACTGAGTTCCTTCAATGGTCTAAATCCGTCCAGCGTGCGCCGTCAATGGGTTTCTTGCGACAAGTCCGTGACCTCTCCGAGACTGATTCGCAACTTCCATACAGTGATTCAGTTAAGCTCAATTCTACCGGACTTCCACAACCGGCTGGAAAAGTTCAGAAAGACGATCCAGGTTATATTCTTCCTGTTCGAGCTGTTGCCGACGACTTAATGAGACTCTACTGGGCGGAAATTCACCCCATATTCCCGTTCGTTCACAGGCCATCTTTCAAGAGACAGTACAACTCACTGTGGACGGGTGAAGGAATACCTCCAACAAGGTTGTTCCATTGCAATTTGAACGTCATTTTTGCCCTTTCTTGCCAAATGAACCTGGCCTTGTCCGCCGAAGCACGTGCAAGCTCAGCCGCTTCATATTACGAGCGTGGTCAACGACTCCTGTGCTTTGATGTTACTGAACTGGGAACATTTGAGACGGTTCAAAGCTTGCTTTTGGTGGCACAATACTTCCAGAGCATCAATAACCAGTCGAGGTGCTGGGCGATTCTAGGAACGGCCGTACGCACTGCTCAATCTTTGGGTCTTCGACGGGAATTCTCCATGTCATTCATGACCCAGTGCGAGAAAGAGATGTTTCGACGAGTATGGCATGGCTGCATTCTTCTAGAACGGTAAGGAGTCCGCTGAAATTTAAAGACGTGCTACTTACATGTGCAGGATTGTCGCGCATACATTGTCCTTTCCTGCAACAATCTCTGAATTTCCGGCTCAATCAATTCCACTACCTTCAGCCGTCGACGACGAGTACCTGTCCACGGATGTCGACGTAGAGAACAGACAGCCATCAGACCAGCCATCGGAGCTTGAGTTTTTCATCCAAACAATGAAGCTCCACGGTATACTCACAGAAGTAACGTCACAATTCTATGCGACGACAGATCCTAGCGACACAACCAAGACGACTAGATCCTCCTCTTCTCTGAAAGAACCTCATTATCGGTTTGTTGTTGATATCGAGGAGAAGCTGAACTTTTTCTGGAGTTCTCTTCCCAGATTCCTCGATTCAGCAAAACGTGACCCGGACCGGTCCGACAAGGAGGCCCGAGGTGTTTTCCTGCACCAGTCTCGTGTGCTTCAAAATCGGTATATTTGCAGCATCCAGGACGTCTGTTCGACTCTGACTTTGTGTAGATTTTTGTTCACCCGTATCCTCCTCTTTAGGCCGTTTCTTGCACAATTGACTTCCAAACAAAATTATCATCCCACGTCGAAACTATTGTCAGATGAACTCTCTGTAAAACAGTCAATCCTTGTTCGATCTGCAATCATATGTATTAAGTCTGCTCAAGAACTAATCTCTCAGCTGAATGAGGATTTCGGGAGAAACGCCAGGCGCGTACCGCTGGCTGCTAATTCCCCATGTTACGCTGACGTGTGTACAGTGTTCTTCCAGCCTACTGGTACAATGTGATCTGTATGGTCCTGTGATGCAGCTGACACGGATGTAAAACTGACTAGGGTGTAGTTGTCTACACGGCGGCGACTACAATTCTGGCGGCTCGAGTATATCCGATACCTCTCGTCAACTTTGGCCAGACAGACCTCGACCGGACTTGGCAGCAAGCGATACATATTCTTGACAGGTATGAAAGGCTAAACATATCGAGGGACCCGGCACAAAAGTGTCTGGCAGCGCTTACGCTTCTGAACGACAAGACGGCGGCTTTTCGCGGACATTTAGCACGACAGGAATCTCAACAACCGGCTGCCACGCAACCAATGTCAACGGCAGATACAGTCGCATCCGCTGGGCTGCAGTATTCGGCCGAGATGGTCACTTTCGAGGATCCTACACTGCTAGGATTCCCTATTGACATGGATTGGGATTGGTTGAATACTAGTCTCTTTGGTTTAGATGTCCAGACTGCCTTCCCTTGACATTTTCCGACGTGTCCACTTGCTCAACCGATCCAAGAACCGAGTGCTATTCAGATCCACACATCTATCGGGATGTTTGGCCTACCCTGCGCCTTTTTTGGAGCTCTAAAATCTACCGCCTCCGGCCAGAGCAAGTTGGGGTCAAAGACTGGTTGTGGTAAACTTTCTCGCGGCACAGTCGAAGTGTAGCTACAGCTCACTCCCATACCTGCGACTTCTTCACAAAAAAGGGACATCAACCCCCAGCGCCAAGCCTGACTACTTCATTCATGAAATATGTTCACCTCTTGAGCAATAGCGATCAACGCCCAGTCATTGTCAGGCAGGCACTGACGAACAGGGTAGCAATCCTACAGCTAGCTACAAGGCGTTATCGAAAATATTTACTGTTATTTTTCTGTTAATGTAGACACTGATCGTATTTTATACCCGCCCCTTCGATATTAACAAATTTTGAAGAATGCACCTACTGCGTTATAGCCAGTGAAATGGTATAACACTTATAGGCTAGATTCATAGCCACCGCTCGAGTCATGGTCCAGAACGTACCCTTGTATGTTGAGCGGCAAGGTACGCCAACCATGCCCGCAATCACAAGGTTCGAGGCCGTGCCAGGTACCAAGTACCCAGTCACGGTCGCTGGTCGGAAGGGAGTCCTGCTTCTTCAGCTAAAGGGCAGCATATCTTACTTCCAGAAACCTTCAACCTTCATTAGAGGTTAAATATGTTTTCCAGCAGCTTTGTAGATCAGGACGGCATTTTATGATCCAGAGACAATGCCAGCGTTGTTGATAATTCTACAGATCGAAGTCACGAGTAGGGTGTCTCGCGCAAATCGGCCCGATATCGTCAAAGCTTGAAATCATCGCAGACGAAAGTGCGCTACGCCCGGATTATTTCCAGGGCAATGGCATGTCCAACGCTGTACGAGGGGCCTCTGACTGTTCCAACTGGGATTGCGAGGCGAAAGCCGGTCATGCTCCTTGAGCCGGAACTCTTGATCACATTGTCTAACTTGGCTTATATGATCCGGAAGCAAAAAGCATTGGGTCTGGAGCAAATTGTTGAGGCCAAGCCTACAGTACTCCGGTCATACGGATTCAATGCCGAAAGAACGATTCGCATTCTGTTCTTGTGGAGAAAACGCATTCCGGGAAACTGGCCTGGTGGACGGAATGCTTCCCGAGGTTCATTGTCAGCCTCAAATCAGTTTGTTGAGAAGTGAAAACTCTCAAGTACGGAATGGGTGAGTCGAGTTCGGCCTGGTCTGCAAGCATCCTCATGCTCTCGCCTCTTCAGTGACCATGGTTTTATTGTCAGATTTGTTGAAAGACGCCGTCGAGATCTCTCATCAGCCTCTTGCTAGTGGCTTACTGTTTGGCGAAAGTCCTCGATATCATGATCGTGATGGCAGACTTTACATTTCGGACATGATTGGTCAGAAAATATACTGCGTTGACGCGAAGAACGGACAAAAAGAGATCGTCCTCGAGGTCGAATCTCAACCTAATGGGATAGGTTTCCACCCAGACGGAACGCTCGTGTATTCATCGATGTTCGACGCGAAGTTATACAAGTTTGACCTTCGAACGAGACAGAGCACATTGTATGCGGACCTCTCGGAGTTCATGACTGGCTACTGCGGCGACATGGTCATCGACAGACACGGCCGCGTGTATATCGACGACACAGGAGCCCGGGTGCTGCATGGAGAAGAGGCCGCTCTTGGCCGTCTCCTTGTAGTGGAAACTGATGGAAATGTCAGAGTTGCAGCAGATGGCCTCCATTTTCCGAACGGTTGCGCCATCGACAGCACTGAGAGGATCTTCTACCTTTCCGAATCGTTCGGTCATCGCCTGATTACATTTGAAATCGACACAGAAGGGCGACTCAGTAATGGAACCACGGTGTGGGATATGAATCAACTCACTGACGCCCCTGGCGTCAATGCCATTGATGGGTTGTGCATAGATGCTGAGGACGGGCTTTGGCTCAGCTTGATAGATCACCACGTCTATGCACGCCGAGACAAGCAGGGCGTGTTTACGCATTACATTAAGGCCGACGGGGAGCCTATCGCCTGTGCCCTTGGCGGCGATGACGGCAAGACCCTATTCATGGCCACTAACACGTGGGACAAAGGGTCTATTTTCGAGGCGATGATGAACAAAGCCACCCGAGGGGCCATAACTACAGCCAGGGTGGAAGTTGGGAAAGGCAAAGGACTTCCTTAGTTGGCTTGTAGATGAAAGAGTCTTCTATTCCTGAGAGACATGCCGCTGGGAGTGCATTCAGATTCAATTATTCGCTATTTCTGCTTCTTATTCTTCCTCCAACGAGCATTGAGCCACTATTTTCGTCCATCCATATAGAAGAGTGTTTTGCATCTCGGTCGGCAAAGTCGTACATGGCCCAAGGCGAGTTCGGTCCTGTTGAGGCGGGACAGACAACAGGTGGGTGATACGAGGCGACCTTGTGGGCGCAGGCAGGGGCCGGAAAAAGAGGTGTTACTCCGAAGGACGAAGATGGCAGCCTTTCCTTGCACGAGGTCATGTCACGTAACTGTTCAGTATGCTTCCGCACACCAAACACGACTAAGCACAATCAACTATTCCTTATAGTGCGGGTCCTACGCCGCAGCTCTATGTCGTAGTCAACTTCGATCACAATCATACCCATACGTTCGGCTCTGTGATCATTTCGCTCCAATACATCAGCTCACTTTGTATCGGTCGTTGCCCAAGACATCTCCTCTCCTATACTACCCACTTGCCAAGAAACCATCTTCCCTCCTGACATCACTGCGTGGAGCGATTCATAACATTTGTCTCTTTTCGGCCTCGGTCGTCGCAGAACGCCCTGTGCCTCGTGAACAAGGTAACAGCAATATGGATGTGATAAAGAAAATTGACACGCAGGTAATTTTGTCTCAAGATATTTCGCATAAATTGCAAGGCAAATGAAGGAGTAACTGTCGGCCGCCCTATTCGGTCTATCGGTGCCTCAGGTAGGGGTCGATCAAGGGAGAGAGAAAAGTATGTCATTTCAGGTATTGAGGGATGTGTCTCCTGTACTGGCCTGAAACTCTGTCATGGTGTCATTCCCGTCATTCCTGTACAGCCACAAAGACTTTCTAGACGCTGGCCAACAGTAATGGATAGCGCATTCAGCGTCTGCGGTAATCACTGTCGTACTGAAACAACCATCTTGTAGAGGCTGTAAACTCTCATTACCCGCTCCATCGTGGTCATTTGCGCCTTGCGACGCAGATGACAACAGTGAATAACGAATGATTAAAAGCTTGCTGCACAAAAATACCAGAAATCCACGTCCACTTTCCTTTCGTCAGTGCCAGGGTCTCACTCCTGGAGTCTAGGGAATAATTTGAGCGCGTTCTCTCGGTTTACCTCTCGGGCAAGCTTTGGATTTTGAAATGGCCAGGCATCAAATCGGTCAACGTGATAAGTGACAATGTTGTCGTCGGCATAAGGGACGTCGCTGCCGAATAAAAGGTGGCCAGGCTTCACAAATTGCTCTAGAATGGACAAGGGAGCCTGGCCACCACAAAGTGCAACGTCGTAGTAGAAGCTGCGAGCGGCATCAATGAATTCGTCATGCTCTTCTTGAGTTTTGGGCAGACCACTGGCAGGCCGTTGAATCATATAAGGTAGAGCACCACCTCCGTGGGCCAGGATGATTTTGCACTTGCTGTAGATGCGGACAGTTTTGTTGATGATCATGTCCAAAGCGCTGACGGTTGTTTCCAATGGGTACTGCATGACCGATTGGGGAAGTCCACTGACGAGCCCAGTCGAAATTGGATGAGTTGGATGAACAAAGACCACAGCCTCCCGTTCATTTAGCTCAGCCCAAATGTCCTTGAAATCTGGATGGCCAAGGTAGTGGTGGTCGGTGCTATACCGAGTGTACAAAACAACACCATCTGCCTTCAACACGTCAAGAGAGTATTTGACCTCCTCGAGTGCATCCTCTTTGTCCAGAAGGTTGGGCAACACTGCAAAGAACCCGTACTTTTTAGGTTGCTCATCACGCAGCTTGGCAGCATATTCGTTCACCTTCCTCGCTACCTCCGCACGTTCCCGGCGGCTTGGTATCACGCAGACACCAGGAGCTGTGATTGACAAAATGGAAGTTGTTATGCCAAATTTTGCGTTGGATTTGCCATCCAGCTCAAGGGTCCACTTCGGCGTTGGCCACCCAGAAGGGTCACCACCGTTGGCATCCATGGCTGTGATTTTCCATTAACACAGAGGTCATGAGCCAGCAACTTCGAACTAACCTTCGCGCCAGAAATCGGGAATAAAGTGATGATGCACGTCGATTCGATTGACCGCCATTGTAGCCTTGCTCAATGTCAAATTCTTGCCGTAGATGCTATGCGCGAGGTGCGGACGAGGGAGTCCTCAGGTCAAGATCTTTACGAAGCCGAAACTGGTTTTATACAGCGTCTGTCTTAGGTATCTCCCCGTGGGCAAGCAGAGTATCTAGAGACGTGGGATCCCGTAGGGCCTGGAAGCGCATCACCCAAAGGTTTTTCGACCATCGACGGCCTCGTGAAGCGGATGCTGATCCGCGACGGCAAGAACTACACTTCCGCGATTCAAGGAATGGCTTCCAGCATCAATCTGCTGGGTGGACTTTTGGTCTGGCTGGAAACCGGATCCAACGAACTATCACCGCCGAAGTGCCTCGGAGCAGCATCCGAAGTCAGGCTGGCGGGCCCTGATTCCGTCCTTGGCCGAACCTGTGGCAAGACCTACAACATAAGTCCACTGAAGCAATTATCCAGTATCTTCACATGGAATGGGATTCTCATGAAAAGTATTCTTACGAACATGACATTATCCCGACTCCAAGGTCGGGTTGCCATTGTGACGGGCGCATCTTCAGGCTTGGGTCGAAACATTGCCTTAACGTTTGCTGCCAACGGTGCTCACGTCGTGTGCGCAGACTTGAGACCAGAGGGCCGACTGGCACCAAAAGATGAAAAGCCGACACATGAAGTGATTAATGCGAACGGTGGCAAAAGCATCTTCGTCATCACGGATGTAGCTGATTCGACAAGTGTGCAAGCATTGATTCAGTCAAGCGTGGATACTTTTGGCAGATTGGACATGTAAAGATCAAAACCCCCAGGTTTCAATTAAATGCAAGTCTAACGTCTCCAGTATGGTCAACAATGCCGGTATCGCTGACGAGGCATACGACCCGGTCCCCATCTATCAAGCGACGGAGGAGAGATTCGATCGGACATTTCAGGTCAATGCTCGGGGTGTCTTTCTTGGAAGCAAATTTGCCGGCATTCAGATGATGAAACAATCACAAATTCAACACAGAGATAGGGGCTGGATCTTGAACATTGCTTCTGCTCTAGCCGTAACAGGGCTGACGGGAACACCTTGCTACGCTGCCTCCAAAGGGGCAGTTCTCAGCATGACAAGAGCAATCGCCATGGATTTCGCACCGCATCTCATTCACTGCAACTGTATCATGCCTGGTTGTGAGTAATTTCTGCTCCAAGACGGAGCACAAAACTTCTGAAATTGACATGTGCCTCTAGTCATGGATACCAAGATGATAGCTGGGATGGTGGGGGATCCCAACCTCCGTGAACGACTCAAGAACGCTCACCCTTTTGGACGCTTGGGACAGCCCAATGACGTTGCGAATACAGCGCTGTTCCTCTGCAGTGATGATGCCAAAGGCGTTAATGCTGTCGGTATTTTGGTAGATGGAGGCTCAACAAGTCAGTTTAGATTTTAGCATGATGCCAGCTTCAAGCACGTGTCCAGTCCACAGTGAAATCCTCCTCAAAGTGTACTTTGGCTGAGCATACTGACGAATCGCGTACGCATCGAAGATCTCAAAAACACGGCACACCTGCATGGTAATGCCTTTCTCAACATATTAGAATTCTATAGCTTTTCTTATAGTACACGGCTAAGTTTCCTGATAAAGTAGCTACGGAATTCTAACACCCTCTAGTAGTAGAGTAGAGTAGAATAAGTTACAAGATGAGTTACTATATAGATGTAAGGATTGAAGTTTCTAGATAGTAGCAGTAGGAGTACTAAGCTTAAGTGAATAAGGGGCGAGGGGGATACAGCTAAGTTGGTAGTGACCACGTGTACGGGAGAGTGATGTAATGTGCAAACTAAAAGACCCCCCCCCCCTCAGGTAGCTCCTCGGGGTCACAGCTACACTTCAAGAAGCCACAGATCGCCTACCCCTCTCATCCAGAGACCTACGTATTTACTGCCTTTAGTTGTGTGTTCAATTGCTGGCAAGCTACAAATACTCTTGTGGGCACTGATTCCCCCAGGATAAATCCAAGAGACCATCTCGCTCGCCTCAGCACTTGAGATGTCGCAACGACCGCCGGTTATTCCCACGAATTTCGTTGACTCCGCGGAGGCAATTTCGAAACTCATTGACCGGTTGTCATCTAGTCGACCGTCGCTATATGTCGACCTTGAGGGGGCCAATCTCTCTCGTGAAGGGACTGTTTCTATTCTCACACTTATGGTAGGCAGTGGGCCTCAGAAAAATATTTACCTAATCGACATTCAAACGTTAGGCCATTGTGCCTTTACCACGCCGGGAAAGAGCGGCAAGACTCTGAAAGATATTCTCGAGTCCACAGATATCCCCAAAGTCTTCTTCGACGTCCGCAACGACTCTGATGCTCTTCACTACCATTTCAACATAGCGTTGCAGGGAGTCAAGGATGTCCAACTCATGGAGAATGCATCAAGGCGCTATGGATCGAAGAGGCTTTTGAATGGCCTGGCCAGGTGCATTGAAATTGACGCTGTCGGTGACTCTCTAACCAAGACAAAATGGAAATCCACCAAGACCACGGGTGACCGTCTATTCAATCCTACGATGGGAGGCTCATACGAAGTGTTCAATGCACGTCCCTTGGCGGAAGATATCAAAGCGTATTGTGTTGGAGATGTACAATATCTACCACACCTGGAAGACCTATACTGGGGCAAACTTACAACTGCATGGAGAGAAAAGGTAGCAGATGCAACGATTCGACGGGTATTGGAGTCGCAGATGGGAAATTACCAGCCATTCGGTAAGGACAGAGCATTAGGCCCGTGGCAGGACGATCAAACTAGTGTTAGGAAAGTGTGGGATCAGGACGCTATGGAGAGTTTCTTCGATGACTTTGAGGGTGGATGTGAGGGTGACTTTGAGGACGACTATTTCGGCGATTGGCTTGATGATGGTGAAGACAACGATTTTGAGGATTGGACAAGAGCGCCGTGGCAGGGACCTCCCTCCTGAGCAACAAGATCTCTTAAAGCGGAAGAACAGGTCAAGTAGGCAGGCAGCACTATATGTCTAATGAGTTCGACTACAAGCATGTTACCAAAACAAAAAAGGAATATAAGTGGGATTCTGCGTTCTGCTGCATGCTTTTCGAGTCAAGACAAAGATCCAGTAACGGGCGACCTTCAGTCTCATCATGACCTTTGATACGGCCATCTCTGCTCTCTCAGCGTGGCTTTCCTCGAGCTCGTCATCGTCATCACGCTCGTGGTCGCCGCGCTCGTCTCGTTGCAGGATCTTCGTCTTCAAAGGGAATTTTTACCTCCAAATCCTGAGCGGCATTGATCGGCACTGCGGGTGGAGGGATCAGGAAACTCGTAAGGCAGCCGGAGCCCTGGGTTAGCTGGACGCATATAATAATAAGTGGGCTTTTGGATTGAGTCAAATGTGTTATTATTATCCAGGTGAACACGTATCTGTTTTCGTCCACCCGTATCGCGGAAATGCGGACTACCTCACCCTGAAGTGAGAAAGAATTCTACTTTGCTTGACACGCTCGGAGTGCTCTCGATATCAGCATGTATATATATCGATTCCCGAGTCAAATCTGTAAAATTCACACACAAACGAGAAAAGAGGCTTCCAAAGTGGTGGCCATTGGGTTCAGGTGTTGGAATCCCGGAGTCTCACAATCTGTGGAAATGCGGGAGGCTTCAAGGAAGATGTAGTTTAGGAAAAGACGCGCTTTCCTAGGACTTTCCATTAACCAGTCAGTAGAGTAGACGGTACATGATTCTCCTTTTCACCCTCCTTCCCTTCCCCAGAGTATATGCTTACGAGACCAGTGTATATCCCCCCATCTATCTTCTCGGTTTCTTGAACAAACGGCACCCATCCGACATGGGAACGAGTCCACAACTCCACCGTCGGCTTCGCCTTGGCAACATCCAAGTTGTCAATACAACCTGCTCTTATCATCGCCACTCCAGGAAACCCTGTAGAAATCCGATAGAGTGTGCTGCCACAGTTTGAGCAGAAATAATTGATAATGGTATTTCCGCTGTCGGCGATCTTCGAGTACGGCTTCAGCTCCCCTTTTGTGATTTTAAGGGCATCAATCATGACCATGAGATTGACTGCCCCGAAAAGGGAGCCTGTGATTTTTCGTTCGTCAAGACACGAACATATCGACTGGAGGCATATTTAGCTAGCATTTCAAACGTTTGGAGGACGAGATATCAGCTTACCCTTGAAATAGTCTCGTCGGGGAAAGAAATATGGACAGAACCGCAAAGGCAGCTTGACTCGGGCATAATGATAACGGCTAACAGAAATATTGAATTGAGGTGTGAAAGTACGGAAGTAGGGCAACAAGATCACACTCTCTCTTTGGATAGGATCATATTTTGCCAGCAACAAAATCCCGTTTTCACGGATCATCCCAGCATGGCAAAGTAAACTTTGTTGAACCCTGTAGAGTCAGACAGCAGGATTCGGCTCGATAAAGTCAGCAGACCGAGAGGAATGGGGTGGTATTCTAGGCCTCCGGGAATCATGGGTTGTCGAACCTCTGCCCCGAGTGAGAATCAACGCCATAACGTGAAGCGAAAGCGGGTGAACACCGCATTCTCGCCCCGGCCGTCGGATAGGATCTTGATCCAAGTCCGCGTTGTCCGAACCTTGGATCCACGGACGCAGTACTATGCCGCCGGACACTGCGACATTTCAGGTAAAGCCCCATTTCGCCGAGGAACTTTGGCATCAAGGACACCTGCATCCACATTCAGTTAGCTTCCGCTCACATCCCATGCCAACCACACCATCCCTGTTGCACCGTATATGCTGCTGCATATGCGGTGGCGCAGCTGATGCATTGAGTTTTGCTTACGTCTTTCAACCGTTTGATTGGCCACACCCATATACTCTTTCCCCCAATCTGCGGACATCTTCTCCGCGCCAAGCTGAAGACCCTTGCGACAGAAAAGCTTTCTGAAATGGCCCTTCATAGTCAGGTGCTGGTGGGGGCGATTGTATTCATCCCGTTTTACAACTGGTCCAGGCCTTCGCAGGCGGCCAGTTCTCGCAACGTATCAGAATAAGGTTACGAAACCAGCCAACGTATAATTCTCGTACATTTGGAAATCTGTACGATACCGCTTTGCTTGCAAATTGATTGAGAATGCCTTTCTGCAACGGTAAGAGCGTTTCACTCCCTAATGCATGCTACAAAGATGTAGCCTTCTTGTTCGAAATCTCCCACATTTGCTCTCTTGTAGAGAGTTGATCTGAAAGGGTTGATCTGTTTTAACCCTCGACATCACAATCACGATGGATGATGAAGCTCAAAGTTGGTCTGAAACAAGGGATGGATTCTTCGGCAGAATAGTCTATGGGTAGGCAATTTGTGCTGGGATTCCCGGGGAGAGAGATGGGGGAATATTTCGTGGACGACAGTAGAGGGGTAAACAAAATTGCCAGCAAGAGTTTCTGATGTCCTAGGTTGATAGCTATTCTCCATCTTTCTGAACAACAACCTCTTTGGGGAGAAGGGGAAATCAACAGAAAGTCTTACACCTTGGGAATGACCCAACAGAGAAAGTATTGAATAATTTATTTCTCCAGTGTCAGGACAGACTGACTTGCCCAAAATGTCTGGTAGTGAGGCGTCGCCTCTATGCGACTTTCCAATCCATATTGCTTTTATATCGAGATGTGCCCCGGCCCTCCTATTCGAACAACACTGCGAATGCGAAAAAACGATCTTGGAAGTAGTCTACTAGCAACAATAAGCTAAACGCTATTTTACTTTTAGCAATTCTGGCATAATAAATTCTGTCTCCACTGAGGACGCGCACTTGTATATTCAGGACCCATAAGTGGCAATGTATCGAGGCCGACCTCTGAATTTCGTGTTGTGAAGCGTCAGAATTCTTTTCTTTGTACGTATTCGCCTCGAGAATCCTGGCGTTGGGAGGGCCTGAATGAATACTTTTGTTGGATGCGGAGAACTATAGTCACATTACGGTCTCGTTTGGGTTGTGGCGGCTTGGAAGAGGATGCGATCCTGCTGGACTTCCTCAACCATATGTAGATGTTAATAGAAATTCCTGAAAACGAGGAGGATAGCGGAAATCGGGGTTACCTTTCTCGTCCATAATCTGAGTTCGATATAGGCGGCATCCACCGACAAGGCCTATGCCCAACACGTGAGTCGTTCGTTGGGCGAGAAGCTTCCAAGATCCTGTTCGAATCAGCATCCGCTGAAACACCCCGCTTGGCAGAGAAGGGACGCAGACTAGCCGTCAGTTGCACTTAAAAATGATAGCCCCTTGTGTCGCTCGTGCTTATTCGTATCGCATCGACAGTCCATCGTAGGGTCGAAATTTCCTCTGCTGGATGAGTCCGTGAAGATTTGAAGTTGCAAGGCACAGCAAAAAATTGGGCAGATGGGTATTTTCTAGGAGGCCCAGATTCGCGTCGGCTTTCATTGTACTATATATGACTAAGAAGGCAGCAGGTATTTCTCACTATATCGTGTCCGGTTTGTAGAACTCATCCGAAACAGGTGGAGACGTGGTCAAGAAAGGTTACTGAAGCTCTCCGGGCTCGAATATCTACTGCGAAGAAATCAGAATATTCCGTAAACGGATTAGACTTTCTAAACTTCAGCTGTATATGCTCTGTTTTGAGAGCGAGCAAGTGCTACATAGATAATTGCTTTGCCTGGGGCCACCAGGGTACCCGAGGAGACCTTTTCCTTACGCCTCCCTCCAGTTCCTTCTCCCAACGAACAGTCAAACCCCCGATACTCTCACAATCGGGGCACTTCTACTCTACCATGGGCTCTGCACGAAGACCCATACTTTACACCTCGTCCTTTCCGTCCTCAAGATTCCCAAAGAAATTCGCGTGCGACAGAGACAACATAATCTTCATGAGCTTCAAGCTCGAAGCCATATCCCAACGGAAACTCATTCAGGAGCGAATGCGCGTGGATCCAAGGTTGGACAGGATCCTAGCGTACGAATCTGTCTTCCAACGTATTTTGACCACGGCATCCGAGCTCGAATACGACAACACAGCGTACTGCTGCTGCATCGTCCGCAGAACAGAGCCAGAAAAAGGGTAGGGCGTGATGAGATGATTCGCTTAAGGTATCACTGGGAATACTACTTGCCTTGAAGTTCGGAAATATCGAGAGAGGCATGGTCCGTTTGGCGGCGTTCTCTACAGCGGGGATCTGGCGACCGCGTAAAGCATATTCCACGGAAAATACTGCAAAATCAAAATTTTTACCGAAGGCCATATACGCCAAGAGTGTATGGTCCGAGTACTGGCGTGGAAAGTATTTGTCTTTCAGTCCACCTCGTATTTGCACGTGGCTGAGCTCGGTGCCCCTTTCCCGTCAGGTCGTAGGTCCCAGCTCCGTCCGAGCTCCGGCCACAATGCTGTAAACGATGTGGAGGGTGTTCGCTGGCATTGCAGCCTGTAATCAAATTCAAGTCCAGTGTAAGTGAAATCTGACGAGGTTCGGGTTATTGCTTTGTCACACGTGTACAGCAGCGATCTCCCCTCCACGCGAGTCTCTCCGAGGAATATGGTTACCTCTATATTGAGAGATTGTGTACCCCTGAGACTCTAGTTCCCTCTGGTTGTAGTTGACGGATCCCATGATCGATAGGAGTGGCCATATAGTAGATCCAGTCCAGATTTCATAAAATGTTTCCGAAATCATACCCATCATCTGCTAAGCAGTAAGGGATCGAAAAGCTTAGACGATGCACCGACACTTTGGCCAAGTCCAAGGCCTAAGGATCCAACCAGCTAAATCCCTCCGTTGTCTTGAGTATGCACTTTAACATATATTGCACAACACACTCTCCTCCAGGCATTAGACTAGCAATACAACGACGTCAAACACCGTTGATCGATCTTCCTCCGTTCGTTGATTGCGCTTCCACAATGGTGACCATGTCCGGTTCACTCAGCTGTCCACCAGAACCTCCCTCCGCCGGCATCGTAGGCGAACCAATCGCCGGAACCCTCACCTTTCAAAACATCATGGCCATCAGCGGCTGGGTCTGCTTTGGAGTGACTATAGTTCTATGGTTTGGCCTTGCGATTCCCCATTTGCGTCGGTATAAGGCACCGAATGAGCAGCGCCAGATCCTCCGAATCATATCTATGCCCGTTGTCTTTACGATGGTGGCTCTCATCGTTTTACACAGGTACAGGGCCGCTCAATATGTGGAACCTTTGGCAAATCTTTACGAAGCTTATGCCATGGCTTCATTATTTCTGCTATACGTCCACTATGTCGCCCCAGAAGCACATACAAGGGAGGAATTCTTCCAGAATCTCCGAAGCCAGTCCAAACCTGGAAATGAAGGGGGGAGCCTCGGGTGGTTTCGTGTGTGTAAGTTGGATCCCCTGAATCACCGCTCCACTGATATCGTCGACAGAGAACGTGGAGGATTGTGTTTCTCTATGTGCTGATCTACACGATCCTTATCCTTCTCCAAGAAATCACGCAGGCTACGGGTGTCTATTGTAAAACGTCGTTAAGGCCGAGATTTGCCCACGTCTGGCTTCAGACACTTGAGCTTGTCACAACGGTCACGGTTTTGATAACGATTGTCCGATTTCAGCGCCGGCTCAGAGATTACATGTCCAGCCGTAACGCGTTCTTGAAGTTGATCGGCTTCAAGCTCCTCGTGCTCCTCACTACACTGCAACATGTAAGCCGTTGCCTATGTCCCAATACGTCGCTATGCAGCTGATTTTGCTCCTGTAGTTCATCTTTGGCATTCTGAGCTCCCATGTTCGCGGAGACTCAAGGATTACGTATGCCAACATCATAATCGGTCTTCCGCAGCTTATAATTTGCATCGAGTGCGTCATCTTCATGGCCGGATTTTACTTCACCTTCCATTCCAAGGAATATCGAGAACATACTGGCGAGGCTAGGACCGCACATGGGACGTTGCAAGCGCTTGCACACGCCATCAACCCCATTGATCTGATCCGCGGTGTGGGTCTCTGTTTCACCGGGCTTGACAAGCCTTAGATGAGGCAAGGTGGTGTTTAAGGATTGATTCATCACAAGTCGGCGACGGCGCCGGGTCGGGTTATGTATATGTCAAGATGGCGCATCTAGCAGGCTCAAATAATGTAAAATCGAACTCCGTTCCAAGTTCAAGTTGCAGATCCATATGAAAAGAGTAAAAACGACCAAGTATGAGAGGGTAGATGGGAAGGCAACAAGCAAAATGTAGCTATATTAAGCCAAAGGCGGCCGAGAAAGATCAGTTCTTCAGATCCTTAAAAGTAGCCTTTTCTTTCGGTCAGGAAGCATTTTGAAATTCTGAGCATAGCACATCTAATCAGCCGAGAAGTTCCTTACGCGATTTACAGAAGTTTACTGCCATGTCAGTCTCACAAGGAACGTACTCAGTCTTGGTGCTTTTTGGGCATGACAAGGGGCCCCATTACTGCAACACTCTCTGGGGTGGCATTAGTTTACCGACGTACATGTTGGGGCACAGGGCTGCTCTCCGGGCAAGTGGGCATTACCTGTTGGAGGATCTACGCGGATTTCTGCCTGAATGCCTCAGATTGCTCATCTGGCGGAGAATCCACGCCCTCTTTAAACCTCGCCCACTTCTCCACAATTCGCTTAGGCGGGAAGTGGGTAGGTCACAATTCAGCTCGCATGGGCGGCGAGGGGCTTAGCGTGGTCTCACAGGTTCGTTCCAATAGTGTAGAAGTGCTTTGTTTCAGCTATCTCATTGGACGCCTCGGGGCAAACCCGTCGGTAATACACACTCAATTTTGAGACTTCAAACCGCACATTTCCCGCATCTAGAGAAGCTCCAGCATCATCTATACGAGGTTATGTTTGGTGCGAGCTTCGGCGCCGATGGGCCCCACCGTTTGCCCTCCTACACAAAAAGGAGTCGTCACCCAATAGGATCGAGCCGGACATGCAACCAGAATGAGATGGACAGTTAGCCTGTTTACCTCAGGATCCTGGTTCCCTGGGCAGTCTGTATCGTATCCCTCCGGATGTTACGCGGAAGCATACTTTTACAGTAGAGGGCCAACGAAGTCCAGAACACAATCTACATGGATCACTAAAAGCTTCGTCCACGTGCTGGGCCGTCTTCGCTTCGGCGACCATCCCCTCCGTCAAAACAGCAATAGAAGAGTCCAGATCGATTCAATCTTGATCCACGTGCAACGATGGCTGTGTTGAAGGCAGAAGCAACATTTTCAAACTCCTAGTTCCCTACACTACAGCTGTTCTCACTATACTGGTGGTGGTAGCCTTGTTCCACATCCGCTGCAAAAGGCGTCGCCCAGCTTGCATCTGTTCCCACAAGTAGTGCAGAACAAGACGGGGCCTCCAACAACAGCAGCAGGATTACCCATCTGCATCTGGGCCTGCATTTGTAGGGCCTCTCTCTCTCTACTTAGTTCTTCCTGCTTTTGGAGCTCCATTTCCCTTCTGAGGCGTTCTTTCTCCCTCTCTAATTCCCCCGCTCTCCTCCTCTCTTCTTCTGCGTGCCGGCCGCCTGTGCTCCTGGTCCTTTTGAGCCTCATACGCAGCCATCTGCTGTTGCTGCCGAGCTTCCATCTTGCGCTGCATTCCGCGCTTTGCCCCAGCCCTGGAAGCCCCATAGACGACAGCGGCGCCTAATAGGGGTCTGGGCCTCAACATGTTGTAGTATTAAGTTGATTAAGACTTGACAAATCGTTAGACAAACAGCATCGCGATCGGTACGGTTTGCTTTTCGATGTTCAAGCCAAGTGTACTCTGTCGCACACCGCCGGATTTCCATTGACCGACGAACGTGCATATGCACGTGGAAAAGACTTCCCGGTTATCGTGGCTAGAAGCGGCGAAGTACGGTATTTCTCGTAAAAATAACATGTGCCATTCTCTGTGGTGACGCCTCAGTATCGGATTGGAGCCGAAACGTGTGAAGCACTAGAGTCTCGCATCCGGCCGGCTTTGCTCGGATGGGCAAAAAGTCTGGGGCCGGTTAAGGATTATCTGCCTTTCCTTGATTTGGCTCTTCTCCATGTGCCACGAGACTACACCAGTATTTTTGGGAATCGCCACATGACCGCGAAGTATACCCCAAATTTTTGATTTAATCTGATCACCAATTACGCGGATCAATAAGTCAACATTGGCTGAATTGTGCAACGCTGAGGCAGCCTGCATATCCTCAATATCCTCAACAGACTCCTCCCACCGGTGTTGATATACACACAAAATGCCTTCAGTCTACACCAAATTACGACTCCCCGCTCCGCCGCAACAGATTTGGGACATCTTGACAGACTTTGAGCACTACTCAGAATGGAATCCCGTCATGCTGAAGATATCTGGTGACCAATGCAGTAAGATCCATCACCAATCCCGCCAAATTCATGAGATTAGGAGCAGAGGCTAAGTCAGGAAAAAGTGGGTGGTCGCATCCACACAGAGGTGAAGAATCCACGAACTTCCAGAGGTGATTGATATGGTGTTTCTTGTTCTAGTATCAATGACTGATCCACGGCTCCAGTAAGAAAGTTCAATCCCGTCATAATGAATTGGTCGCCAGTAGCCCACTTGCATTGGCGGGCGCGTCTTTTCGACCTCCCAGGTTTACTTACCGGATATCACCACTTCATCCTACAACCGAGCGCGGACGGGATGAGTACCGACTTCGAACATTTTGAGATCATGTCGGGAATTCTTTCATACGTTCTGAAATATATCAAACCATCCGTGTATTTGGATTTGGAACAGGCATTCGCGGCAATGAATGATGCATTGAAGGAACGTGCGGGACATCCAAGGAAGTAGGATATGCTGGAGTTCTGGGTTGATGCTGAGAAAGATACTGCGTGTTTCCATGTGAACTTCGAGTGTTCAAAGATAGCGAGGAGATCGGGTTCAACTTCGAAACGAATTTAATGATAATACATCTTGAAAAAAAATTCTTAGAGCGACTTCCTTGGACATACCGTGCAGTCCAGACGTGTACCCGAATGGCTGCGCGTTTGAGTTCCCATCATGTTCTTTGTCCTGGCGGTGGGTTGGCGTCGCATCATTTCCAGCTCATTTGATTTGACCACAGCCGTCTTCAGTGTTAAACAATTCAACGCAATTGAAAGCTCGCTTTGTTAGACATGGGATAGAGTTGGTGGTCACAATTTTCTTGACTACTGTCCCTCCTACAGAGTCATTGACCACGGATATGAACAGCTCCTGGCTTGGCCAGAACCTCTGTCCCAATTGAACCCAAACCGACGCGACAGACCGGGCAAAACAGCTTGATTTTCGCCAGTGGAGATCCCCCAGGGCCAGGCTGGCATCAGCAGGCTTGGGTTTGATTTGAGCCTTCAGAACATTTCGAATCCACTCGTCGCAGCAACAGTGATGAAACATATGCCTACACTGCGGCAATTTCCGTATCATCTGGTCCGGCGCAATATTGTCTAGACAAAATGTGCCGCAATGTACAGATATTCCATTAGCCTTGTCAACAAACTCACTGAGAATGTTCTCAATGTGTAATAAGATACACGTACCAGGTCTCTGGTTGTGAGGCAGACAATGTTTCCATTTCCAAAAAGCAGTGGCTTGCCGCATCCTGGCCTTCCGCCTATTTGAGAGCCATGACCGGGGGAAGCGCATCTCAAACGAGCACAGCTGAACACCGGCGTCTGGCTCTTAGAACACACAGCATACCGTGACTGCTACCAACGCTGAGAGTTTGACAAACAGTTCGGCCTGCTCCGACTCAAGGGGCAGCCAGGGGCTGGCAAGAGCACGTTGATGAACAAGGATTGTCTGGCAGCGTGCAAGTGGGAGTCGTCGCCGTAGTTGCCTCCTATTTTCCAACACGCACCGGAGAAGCCATTGAGAAATCATGAGAAGGAATGATCCGCACGCTGCTCGTACAGATACTCCCCAAACATCAGAGCATGTTTGACGACTTGGTGCAAATATGGCGGCAGCGGAGCAACGTTCCACAGTCATCGCGTCGGTGGACCGGACAAGAACTGTTGGACTTCATGGAGAGCCACCTCGTTCGCAGCCATGGGACGAGTTTCTTCCAGTTCATCGACGACATTGACGAATGCGGAGAGAAGGATGCAAGGGAGAATGCGACCTACTTTCGCCGAATAACGCTGATCTCTGCCGCCAACGGATGCAGCGTCAATGTGTGTATGTCCTCAAGGGGATTATCCCATTATCGAGATTGCGCTGTGTCCCGAGATCCAAGTGGATCGAGAAAACGAAGATGACATCTCCGTGTTCGTGAAGGCCCGGTTGGTCGAATACAGAGCGGTGACTCCGCAAAGGAAAGAGCACTACAGGTCCAGTATCATCAGCAAGGCCAGAGGGAACTTCCTCTGGGCTGCTCTCGCTGTGGCATTCGTGAACACCTGCAATGGCCATGGTACACCAGACGATAAAATTGAAAAGAAACTGCGACAGAGCCCGGGTGAACTAGATGTCAGGTATGCCCAGCTTTTTGGGGAGAAGTCGCCTGAAGAGCTTCAGGACTCTCTACGGTTTTGGCGGGCGTTCACCCTCCCGGTCAGAACGTTGGGGCTATCCGAGCTTTGGCATCTCTACGTATTCTTAGACACTGCAAGACCTGAGTCACTGGAGCTAGCATCCAAACTCGCGGGGAGAACGAGGAAAGTCGGTTGGAATTTCTAAAACACATCACATCACGATCTACAGGTCTGGTTAAGGTGAGACTGAAGCCGCCTTCCCTCTCCTTTGCTCACAACTTCAAGGGGAAAGTAATGTGGAAACCTGGAGGTGGACTGACTGTTTCGAGCGAAAGGGGCTCAATGGAGGAACATGATGAATTCTACAGGGTCCTTGGGCCCATCTGACTATATACTTTCGAGTAATTAACAAAGGGGTCTCAGCGCCAGTAACAGGCCGAAGACTAGCCGTGACAGTCACTACATTCCTTGGTAGTCTTGGTAGTTACACAGACCCCAGCAGAGTTCAGGCAGCAGTGAGTAGGTGTCGACTCAGCCTCACGGCCTTCTAAAATCTCAAATTTGCAGCTGCTCGCCTCATATTGCCAGACAGCTATTCTTACCACTGTGAGCGTCTTGGGTGCCGACTTGCTGACATCATGGCCGACAATCTAATAAACCTTCTCGAATCTCGGGTTCCTGGGATCGCAGAAGACGAAGCTGATATTCACCAACTATTGCAGTCGCTCGTCCGACAGCACCTCGAAGAAGTGCTCGATACCAAAGAGCTCCCACTTCCCGATGAACCGCTGGGACTGGAGACATGTCAACTCATGGCGCGACGTGTAGGCGAGGGCCTCCGGCAGGATGGCGACGTTCTTGCTGCAGAGCTGTTGCAAGCGGTATTACCGCTTAGTAAGACCTCGATAGAAGACGACGTCGAGCATATCAACGACTTCCTACAGCGGGTGATTGAGGCGCCAAGGAATTCACAGCATCCTTGGAGAGCATCCTCTTGCAACTCTCTAGAAGGCGGTGGTTTGGCTTGGAACAGCCTTCGTCGCCCACAAACTCTGCCGAGTTTCAGTCTTCGACAGCCGCATCCGAAGCCTGTGTCACACTCTACCTTGGGGATCGTGTGATGCCCTTGATATTCCATCATATCTTACCCACGTTCTGGGAAACTCCGCTTGACACGGACTGTCACAGCTACCTACAACCGATTATCGACGAACCATCAATCCGGACGATCGCGCGAGTCGACCCAAGCCCTGCAACGGTATTGGGCGCCCACGTGCGTGTAACCAATCGGCATTTCTCTTGTCTCAAAGCAGAAAATATACCTTGGATCCCGGTTTCCCACGTGTGGGATGACTCCATCCGGAGGGCAAACGATTCGAAGACCCATGATGATGAGTCCGCTTTCACAATGCTCAAGACCTTGACTACTCTACTCGATGCTTCGGTAGACGCATATTGCCCTAAAGTGGAGTTCTGGCACGATTATTTCAGTGTCCCTCAGTGGGAACGGCGCACCAAGGAGTCCTTACTCCTTAGGATTCCCACTATATACCACGACGCCCAGGAAATCCTCGTTCATATACCAGACATCCCTGGGTCCTATATTATGATGCTCCATCTGCACGACCTCAGTGATTTCTCAGCCTCCATGGCTCTTCGCTTTATGCCTGTGTTGCATGCCTTGTGCTCATCACAGTGGATGGAGAGGATGTGGGTGGTGCTGGAGTTTTCTCTCTGCCGTAGCGCATGCGTTATGGACAAATCAGATTACATATGGAGAAGCCCGAATGGATTTGGTAGGATGGAGCGCGATACTTTCACCTCCTTCGAGTTCAAAACGGCCACAACGTCCTGATTGGACTTTTTCGGTATGCTAAATCGTTTGCGAGCAATCTCAAAGACGGTTTCCTTGCAGGTCTCACGGATAAGAGAGATGACGAGCAGCGCGACCTCTGCCTGGGAGAAGCTTTGGAGGTGATTACAAGGACGAGGTGCCAGGTGTTCCGCGACCGGTTCCTTGCTGTTCACATGCTTGTGAACCAGAACTCCCCCCCTACACAACCCACGATCCCTCAGGATGCAACGGATGCCTGTCAATGGGTCTAGCAAGCTGCGTTGGTGAAACATGATTTCTCGCCCCTGCTTCTTCAACCCCGTGAATCCAACCAGGGGTCTAATCCGACCGTCGGAATCCCCTCTTGGGTGACCGGCTACAGCGGCTTGGACCATGCCGAGTGGGACTTGGGAAACCAACAGGCGTTGCCCCAATTCATCATCAGTTTCGAGGGCGGACTTATCAAAACAGATCTAGATGTCGTTGGCAAGATTGAAAAGATACACTACCTTGATACAGAGGATTCCGGAGAGGTGACAGGCGTGGAATGGGCCATTGGGGTTCTAGGCTCGCTGAACGGCGTAGATGCTGGCATCAGAAATTTGTCCGCCAGGGAGCTAGTCGACGGTCTCAATCGCATCTTTCCGTTCGACAGCTTGCACACGAAATGTGCCCAGCTCCTAGCGGGTGTGGTATACACGCTGGAGGGACGCCAAAGTCAAGACAACAGGTTCAAGTCGAAAGTGGAGAAGTGTCTCGCGGAGTACTTTGCTGCACCCTCGATGAGCTCCCAACGACAATACGTAGCGCAGAAGCTAACCCGGCTCCTCAAATACGACACGCACATCATGCGAGTTAGATCGGCCGAAATTACCAGACTTACCACGTCGAGACATATCGCGCGTTCGGGACGCCAGAGGGGGGCTGTCAATGGTGAACCGATATGCGAAGTGCGGTGTCTGGTGAGTGAGTGTCGAGCCCTCACTGTTTTCTGCCTCGACCTGCGAACGAACGCAGGGATTGGAGATACAGTATATAGAATTCCTGGTCTCTCATACTCCGGAACCACGGAGGATGGCGTGGGCTTGGTCTTGAACGAGGAGGGAAGAATCACCGGGAGAATGCTTTACGGACCACCAGGATGCCCTTGCCAATCCCGGCAGAGGCTTAGCATACATTAATTGGTGAAGAATCGACATATTGTACGGGGATCGAATTCGTTAACATACACGTGCTAGAACGCACAGAGGCCTGTCCAGGGGCCGGTAGATGGGCGCTGTAAGGACGGCCTATAGGTAGATAGGCAGAAGGAATAGTAGGTTCAAGTATTAATAGGACTATCGTAACCGCTCAGGCTATATAGGACTCAAAGTATGAGAGAAGCATACTACTCTTACACGAGAAGGTTAGGTTTCTATCTAGGCTAGCTAGTCTCTTAGTAGCTTTATAGCACTATGGATCCGTCGCCTCGCTACTGAGAACGCGAAATGGTGGAGCGGCGAGTCCAAGTGACTAATGGAGAAATTATTTCGTTGATATCGCTGCTGCAGGTGACAACAACATAAGAAATTAACAACGTCTAGGTCACGCAGGTGACGAACAGAAAAGGAAAAAGGGAGGGCGAAGGGGCAAGATATGCGCCCCTGTAGCTCACCCTGGCCAGGTAAGGAGAGAGTGAAGGGAATGAGCAGGTCGCAAAAGCGGCAGCGGAGGCAACTCTTCAGAGCCTTGATACCGCGTTTCTCGCTCCAGCACATTCGACGGCCCATAACGCCTTGCGCTGGCTTACCCCATCTTCCACAGATTCCGTGCACATACACAGTAGAGCAAGAAGATCCGGAGGAGTATGGTGATGCACATTAGTGCCCAGTACACTGATCTCTATACCCGTCCACCCATGTTACGAATTGTACCATTCACAGACACAGTTCGACCGATAATCCGTCGCAGTATCTCTTTTCTTCCCAGAAAACCCTCTCTCCTGAATGGAGACGACAGCCGCGTTCGGGACCGGGAGGATCTGCCAGTTATTCAGCACCTGCATCTTCTGGCAGTATGGCTTCACATTGCTGCTTGGCTTGCGCTTCTCCACCATCTTCATGATCTTGGGGAAAGAGGGAGTCGGGGTGGCCGGCGTGCCAGTCACCGTCGCGTCTTGGCCCAGGTAGATGTAGACTTCGCTTACGGTCGAGTTCCACCAGCAGTACCAGGGCTGGTCGCCGATCTGGAGGGGATCGCCGACATAGCTAGCTGCTCGTCCTTGGTGAACGGACCTTTTTGAGGAGCTGGTCGAGAGCTCCTCGCCGGGGACTGCATTTGGAGGTCAGCTACCTGGAGTGGAAGATGGACCAACTCACGGATGATGTATTTGTCGAAGAGCGTACTGAAAAACATCGCGACACCAAGCTCTTCTCGGTTGGTGTCGAGGTACGGCGCCAGATCGAAAGAGGTGTTGTTCAACTGGGGAAGTTGTGGGCCGTAACGAATCTGGGTGGGGTCGGGGAGAGAGTCGTTGAATGTGATACGAGGTAGATTTTGGGTTCCGTTGTTAGTTTGGAAGCTCATGGAAGCAGTATTCATGCAGTCCCAAGCTGCGAGATTGGCGGCATCCTCGATACAGGTGTCGATCTGTAGAGTTTGGTGCAGTGGGAGTGTGTACGAGCCAGTTGGCAGGGATGGTGTATACGGGGTAGTAGTTGTAGGAATTGCATCCAACCATGTTGTCGAGGTAACGCTCCTACCCAAGCTGTCAGTATTGAGCGTGTCATTTTGGACTATGTAACGAACGAGCTTGGTATTGACGCTGTAGAATCATCACCAGTGCTCAAGACCCCTCCCACTGCTCCACCGATTATGGCAGCAGCTAGGACAACAGCAACGATGACCACAATCCAAAATCGTAGGGCACTTAATCCGCAGATATAACGCTGTCCTGCTGAAGGTCTTCTCGGTGCCTGATGCTTCCGCCGAAATAGAGAAATCTCAATTCCACAGAGAGCGAAATGATGTTCCAGGTCTTTCTCAGGCGTGTCGCTAAACCTCCCCTCAGTAGGGATGAGTCCGTCAACGTCTTCGTAGCCTGCTGTTCTTGGATGGTAAGGGATCAGCCCGTGAGGATCCTGGTTCGTAGGCACGTCAGGATGGTAAGGTATGGGGCCTGCAGGATCTCGGTTCGTAGGCACGGTCGGGTGATAAGGCTGGAGATTGTCGGACTGTAGAGATTCTACTACTCCAGGCCCTGACACAAGCTCCAAGTCCGAATGGTCCTTTCTTCTATCGACCTCGAGATCTGACTCGTTCCGGACATGAACGACCTCAAGGTTGCTAAAGTCTTCTGCGAGCGGATTTTCCGGCGATGCCGAGGCTGCCGCGTAATTTGAGGCCATTTTGGCGACATCAGGCTGAGCTTAATGCTGCTGGGTTGGTATCACATTTTGGAGAGGAGAAGTTTGTCGACTTTGTTAAAATGGGGTATAGAAGAAAGTATCACCGTGGCTTTGTCATTGAGAAGAAGGCAATCGAAGAAGAGGCAGTGTCTGCGGCGGCCAAGACAGTCGTGTATTTATCGAAAATGAACCTCTCTGTCCGGCGTCCACATGGAGGGGAAGCGCCCGAAGACAGCCTAACAGGCGAGGCATTCCCACTAGTAGCCGTAGCCGTGTCTGAATGAGGCTGAATAATCCCACTATTAATAGCTCCGACAAATAGTAGGCGTTGAGAACCTGGTCCTTCATCCGGCAGGCTAATGTGCGCAACCAAAGACCTCAAGTTTCTGCAGCGCTTGTTTCAGGGCCGACCAGGGTTGCTGCACACAGGTGATCACTTAGTCTGGATGCTTGGACCTCAAGACGGGCTTAGACAGGCCAACATTTGAGAATAAGTATCTTCGCACCATCCAGGCAGGAAGACGAGAGCCACTGAGGTGCAAATTTCTGTGCCAACACAGTGTGTGGCCAGCATGGTTTGGGATCGAAAGGTTTCCAGGTAGGAGGCTTGAAAAGCCCCCCCCCCCCCCCCCAAGCCCAAACTGGCTTCTGCAGGTTGGAATCAAGTCCCTGCTCTAGCAGGGTGCTGGTATTGTGGCCGCACCGAAGATCCACCGGAAGGTCCGCCTAGATTATTTCAAATTCGACATCATCCAGCGAAATGAGGTTGAATTCCAATTAATAGTGCCAAAATTTCCTCACTATAATACTCTATTTGAATACAAAGTGTCCTACTCCAGCGTTATGACTTCCAGGGTCACACGATCAAGATTCTTTACAAACTCACCGTACATAATCCCATGAACATACGCCTCGCCGACCAGATGATAGGTACCGCTGCTCAAAGGACGGATGACATAAGGAACGCTCGTGCCCAAGAAAATGCATAAGACGTCTCCTTCTCTAGCATTCCAGGGACCCAGGCCGAGATGGTGCGAGGTACAAGCAAAGAGTGCCCTTCCTGCTGCTATTCTATTCACTTCTTGGACGTATGGCCGAACTTTTGCCGCGCAGTCGTCGCCCCCCAAATCGACTTCCGAGCTGCGCAGAGTGCGGTAGGCTTCTGAGAGATCTTTTGGAACTTGTACGAGGCCTGGATCTGTCATTTGGCCCTTCCGTCCATTGTATGCTATCGGAGTACAGAAGAAGACATCTTCTAGCTCCGGCATGGTCGTAACAAGGCCCTGCGCCTTGCTTGTGGACACGAGTCCTTCGAGTTCCGAGAATACCTGGGATGTCAAGGAGATCGGATTCCCCCCTCCAACCCAGTGAGGAAGCGAGCGCACAGCTGTAACCGATCCCAAACGGATAGCCTTTATCGACAGGGTGTCCAAACTCTCGTCAACAGAGAAAGTGCTAGTATCTCGATCATTGCAAGCATCACCTGCTGAAAAATCAAGGTAGCCCTTTGGGTGACCAGCAGCAATCGTGTGATGGCTCCTAAAGGTCCAGTCGCAGCACCAAGAAGGAAGGAACTGGTCTTTGGGCAGCTGTTCCGGATGGCTGCCATGAAGAGCATACATCCGGCATGAGAGGCCCGCGTTGAAAGATAACATCGACAAGCCATACTTCCGTACCAGAGCCTTCGTCACATCCACGCCCACTTCCCTGTATGACTTTGAGTAGTCAGGATGTAACTCGAGCTCCTGCGCATCTTCTGCGATGCCCAAAAGTGCGAAGACTTTATCTCGATTGTCGGAAGCGTTGAATCCACCCGTTGCGCGAAGCAACTCAAAAAGGCAACGAGGCTTTTGGCCATTCTGCCAAACTTTCGATTGGAGCAGCAGAGGCGCAATTGACTTTATATTTGTGTCCATCATGGGCCATTCTCCAGGGGAAAGGCTGTCAACGACCTGGCTGTGATTGATATGGTAATATAGGACGAGCCACACAACGAAGAAATCCCGGAGCAGCATGCTTTCGGTCCCATACAGGAGCACAATTTCTTGGCCAGATGCAAATTCTTGGATCACCCATATTCGCCTCCATATTTCTTTAGAGAGCAGTCGATTGAGACTCTCTGCGTTCTCACGCCCAGAGGTATGCTTTTGCGGGATGACTTCATATACTAACTCTTCGGCCAAGACTGCGTCGCTTGAAAGCACTTCCGAAAATCGATCAAGGTCAATGTGCAAGAGTCTTTCGCTACCGAAACGCTTGTCTGTGTCCATTCCGCACTGCCGCTGGAGCTTCAATGACGCGGGGTATGGCATCGTTGAGTCGATTGTGAGTGGAGGCTCGTATGCTTGTGAGCATCGTATCTGGACCCGGTCGTACGCACAGGTGAACTTCTCGACTATCCTGTCCTTAGCTCCTTTCAGTTTTGTTAACATTGTTTCATTATTTGCCATTGTAAGATTGTTGGGTCCCAGCCAAGCTGTGACTTCCTTGGCATTCTGATAGATCGATCGCATCCTTTGAACTTGCTCGCTCTTCTCGACATCGTTGGACTGGTCGATACAAATCATATCAATCCATAGCCATGATCTAATGTCTTTAGATCGAAATTGAAGAAGGGCGTAGAGTAGATTGGTCGTGACGAGAACTGAATTCCCATCCACGATTATTGGCATTGAACGGTCTTCGTGGCCCCAAGCGTATGAGAGCGCACGGTATTCAAGACACTGATCGAATGCAAAGTGCTCGAGGGTGCATTCAAGAGGCATGATTCTTTCCAGTCCAGGCAGCACCGGCGCACCAGGCACCAACTGCACCAGGCGGATTTCTTTCCGAGTGGCCTTGAGCGGCCTGTAACGCATTGGTGGGCTTGAAATTCGGTTCCTATTATATGTCAACGGCTTATCAAAAAATCATCCCGTGAAAAACTAACTCGATATACCTTGATATCTCAGGGCAAGGGTTTGGCTGTGTTTGCATGTACTCTAACGCTGCATGTAATTCTCCAATGGGTGAGAGGTCCAACGATAGAAATCCATCCCAATTTGGTAATTCCTCGTTCTTTGTGAGGACCTGGGTCCATTTTCTCCACTTCTTCTCCGTGGCTTGCCGCCTTTGTGAACGAGAAAATGGCAGCTTAACCATCGCTGATATTTCGTAAGGTGCAAATCCTTAAGCGCAGGTCGTTAAAAAGGTTGCATGATTTTCAAGGATATCAGAGGCTGATAATATTGATGAGTTGTAACCAGGCTGGGCAAGTTGTTCCTGGTGGTCCAACTTAGGCTAGGATTTGTCACCATCAGCGTCCACCCGAATTGCGTAGACGACTAAAAGCGACAAAGACTTTGGTCACAAAGAATGGGGTAGGTAACGAAGATGAAGGACTACAACGTCTTATCCTTAAACCACGCTTGAACATAACGTGCTGGAAAGATCGTGCCCACATCAGGAAGCGAGCAGATTGTTGCATTTTGTTCGTCGTATTAATCCTATTGAGCTTGACTCCAGAGAATATCTATCCGTGGCATAGCCACGATTAGCACTCTAACTATGAAGCCTATTGGCTGGAGGGTAACTATCGCTTAGTGTAAATGACGGGGTCACAGGGCGATATACTCCGTACTAGGCCCACTACTTCTGCAGCATTAGATCCCCGCATCAGCAACACACAGTGCTCACTTCAAAGGTTCAAAGGTTGCCCTCGCTGGACCATGACAGGCAGACCTGGCGAAAGAAGCTGAATTTTTCAAATGCAAGTCTCTTAGTCGCAGACGCTGGGTCTAAGAACAACAAGTGCCAGGATGCGGGAAGGCTGTGCTTTGGTCGTGCAAAAGTACCTTGGGCATACCAAAGTGCCGTGGTCCACCAAAAGGGCTTTGCATGATCGCCAAGGCAGTTGCCCACTAGTTTGCTACAAAAGATTCTCTTGCACAGCCGAACGACTGATGCCAGCGATTAATACCCACTCTCGTCCTTTCCTCTTCCCCGGTTGCCATACTCACCAGTGTGATCTGGGGTATGAGAATTTCGACCACTTTGTTGAGATAATGTGCTACTTTGAGGGCTGTCGGGGATGGGATAAGCTGGTAACCAAATGTGATAAGGCTAACGAGCCCGGGCGTCACTATCATCGGAAACAGGTTGGAATTCATCTTTATGATCGAACTGGCAGACATTCCCGTGTTGAAAAGACACGCTGCCCTCGGGATTGGGAGTCAATGGCTAACGCGCGGTTTGTTTCGAGGCTTTGCTCCTTTCGCACAGCTTTCTCAGGATAACCAGTCTCAGGATGATCAGCCTCTAAGCTTGAGACGGCTCTGCACCGTCCCTATTGCGTTCTGCTCGAGGGGCATGCATTTCCTTGTGATCTTGTTGTGAGAGCACCCTGTGAGGTTCCGAGGTGCGTTCTGCCGCAGCGCCACATCGGGGGCCATTTTTGGCGTTGTAACAGTATCGAGACCGCCATGAGACGAGACAGGGCTATGACGGAGAGAGTTGCTGAGGAGTTACGATTGCTGACGATGGCGGTGGGGAGCGCTATGTGTATGACACAACAATTGGAGGCGGCCGAACCTGGTGAGAAAGATGTCAGGAGCCAGCCTCTTCGAAACACGAAAGTTAAAAGCTATCGGTCAGCGGCAGATGAGATAGAACTGTCACCTTTTCCATATACGCGACTTGATTTTTCTAATCGACAGATACGGCTGTTCGAATTGCTTCCAGGCAATGAGAGCTCCGCAATAAGGGGCACATTTAAGGCAGTAGAGGTGTCAACATGCCCCACCTATCTCGCACTCTCATACACCTGGGGATTATTCTGATCGACCTCGCATCAGATGCCTCAGAAACTTGAGGTTTAGAGCCCAGCTTTCTGAGGGGTTTGGTTCGGTCTCAGACCAGCAAAACACCGAGCACACCACTGGGCATCCACTGACAAGAAGGCCTCATCTGGCTCCCCAACGATCGGCCACACTTGCCTCTCAGCTACACATCTATTTTAGCTAATTAAGCCTCAGTGAACCTTGCCCCTACGGTGGCCCCGTGGTTGCAGCCTGGCGGTGACATGGTAGCTTTATACTCGATAATATCGACAATGAGGTAAAGACGCGATCGTGACATTATCGTTGATTACTAGCGACCGCGATAATATTGACCAATAGACATTCTTGGCAGACTAAGCAGATCAATTTCGTCGCCCTCATTAACGTCGTCAACGTCGTCAACGTCCTGAGGTCTAGGTAAGTCGTTGATAAAATCTTCGACCTGATGTTGAATGTTTGCAGCCATTGGCGTGTCCTCCGATGATACGTGGCAATACACACACAGCGCCATAACGCAGTCCGAGATCTACAACGGTGAAACCTATGACGATCGGATCGAAGATGCGATGGATGGATGGAATAGAAGCTCGACTTTCGATGATACGCTGTGGGAGAATGTCAGCGTCAGTCGCCTGCAATCTTCGGTCGAGTTGATTTCCCCAGATGCTCCACCGGTCAGGGTGACGGAGTCGCTGAGACCCATGTCAATATTCCAGACCCCGCCAGGCAGAACGATCGTTGATTTTGGCCAGAATCTTGTGGGTCGTCTGAAAAAGTCCTCTCCCTGAAAAAGAGCTTAGGGTCAGTGGTGACTTTTAAGCACGCTGAGGTTCTGGAGAACGGGGAACTGGGTAGGCGACCACTACGTGAAGCCCAGAGTTATGATCGTGTCACTCTGGCCGGCCGTGAATTGCAGCGATGGTCCCCAAGGTTTACTTTTCACGGTTTTCGCTATGTCCAGATCGATAGATGGAGCACGACGGACGAAATCCCTTTGAATCGAGACAGCATCCTCGCTGAAGTCATGCACACGGACCTTCAAAGAACAGGGGCCTTTTCTTGCTCCCAACTACTGGTAAACAAGCTTCACGAATGCGCCGTATGGTCTATGCGCGGAAATTTTCTCTCCATCCCCACCGTAAGTAGCCCTGTTCCCTTAATTGCGCTTCTAGGACTAATCTTTTCCCTGTCTAGGACTGTCCTCAGAGGGATGAAAGGCTCCGCTGGACCGGTGATGTTCAGGTTTTTAGCCCTTCAGTGACATTCTTGTATGACGTCTCTGCCATACTTGGTGGCTGGTTGCAAGATCTCGCCGCGGAGCAAGGAGAACCAGGGCGACATGGTATACCCCCTCTCGCCGTCCCGAACGTTATCGAGCGAGACCACCCTGAAGACAGTCCTTGGTGGCCATTGTATCCCCAGGCAGTCTGGAATGATGCCACGGTCATTGTGCCCTGGCACCTCTACCAGGCGTCGGGGGATTCGAATATTCCAGGGCGACAACTTCCCAGCATGCAAGCTTGGATCGACAGAGGTGTTAGGAGAGGCGACGGTGGCCTCTGGGATGAAAACTTGTGGCAGCTTGGTGATTGGTTGGATCTCAGTGCACCACCTGATGATCCTGGCAGGTAAGGTCCCCCTGATTCACGATGCGGCCCCCAAAGGAGGCATACCAAGCTTGAAGGGAGAATACAGGCTGACTTCCTATCAAGCGGACGAACCGATGGCACTTTCGTCGCGGACTCCTATCTGGTCCACGTAACTGGGCTCATGCATAAAATTGCAGCGATTCTCGGTTCTGATGAAGCCGACCGCTATCAACGCGAGTTTGAACAGCTCAAATCGAGATATCAACGCAAATGCGTCACCCCTGACGGATTAGTTATTTGTGATACAAACAGCGTTGTCCCTTACAATCATGTTTGATCTGCTGGACGATCAGAAGCAGCGTATCGCGGCCAGAGCCTGTCTAACTCGATGCGTGAGAACATCTCAATTAAAGATTGGAACTGGATTTGCCGGCACGCCCTTGATCTGTCATGCTTTAACGAAATCATGTCAGCCACAACTAGCCTATCGCAAGTTGCTCCACAGAGATTCCCCTTCGTGGATGTATCCCGTCCTCCATGGTGGCACCACAATTTGGGAATTGTGGGATAACATGCTGGCAGACGGGTCAATCAACCCTGGAGAGGTGACCAGCTTCAACCATTTTGCCCTTGGGTTAATTGTAGACTGGCTCCACCAGACAGTTGGGGGTATTTCCCCCTTAGAACCTGGATGGAAACGGTTTCTTGTCCGTCCAATCCCGGGTGGGACGATCTCCGATGCCACAATCAGATTCGAAAGCCCTTATGGGAAGATCGAATCGCGATGGAGCTTGACAGGAGCCCGATTCCACTTGTCTGTGCTTGTGCCGCCAAAATCGGCCTCGACACCTTCTCAAATAACGAGAACCCCAATCTAAATCTATGCCCAGGACGTAACTACCGACAGACAATGCCGTCGGATTCAAGAACCCGAGCTCACTCATGTTAAAACGCTCAAGTCGACACGTAGAATGGATATTCGGAATGCCACCAATCTGATAAAAGTTTTTGAGAAAACACTTTATTCGTTAAGGCGTAGGTTCAACCAACGTAGCTCCCCCACAACACCGCGCAGCACTATAATTTCGCATCATTTGTCTGGGAAGGGAATTTTACGCATCAACCGATATGACGGTTGGATAATACAGACCCAGAAAGCATAACAGGCGGAGCCAGCTTCGGTGAAGGTGCGTTTCGTGATGTAAGCAGTAAGATCGTCGCAAGTCCAATGACGTATTCATCTTCAAGACCTCTGGAAGCACAGGATTCATAGAGGAAGGTAAATGGCCGTGGAAGAGTTTGGTGGAACTTCAATTATACCGCAGCTTCAGTATTGATTGTGTCTCAGTAACTCTACTGGACCGGTTTAACGCAGGAAGGTAGGGTACCTTTTTGTTTCTGGGTTTTCCTTTCGTAAAATCCATGGAGCGTAAATGGTTCCCTTGCTGTGCACTACTTGAGCTATCCAGCGACCCTTGATGACCAATCTAAGAGGATAGAGACAATCTATCAAATGAATAGAGGTCCGGCCATGATTCTATAGGTTCTCAAAAAGTGTGTTGTTGACCTGGATCCTCGAGAGTTGAATCTGGCCATCTTCGACGAAGAAGCCCAACGGATGGACGGTAGATGTATGCCGAGGCATCCCAACGCCGTTGTGCTCGTGATCAACACCTTCTGTCCATTTTTCCTGGCTGTCGCGAGGTGGTATGCGATACGTAATCGTTCTCCCCCCTACGAACACCTCCAGGATGTCTCCATTGACAAAGACTTGAACGCCGCCCTCTAGACTTACGGAACCATGTTTGACCAACTCGGCACCATCGACTGGGCGGGGCACGTAAATTCCATTTAAGTCTGCCCAGAAATCATCAAGCGGGGCGACATCGGTCAACAGGGTGAGCGAGAATCTCGAAGGCGAGACGGCCTCGAACAAGAGCCTGTGGCCTCGCATATCGTCGTCGCCGTTGATGACGACCCCAAACGTTTTCGCGTCTTGATTGGGGACCATGAACTTCAGACTATAGCTCTTCCCCACATCGGTCGGAGACAGCGGGAGAGGTTCAAAGGTGGTCTTGCCAATGGATGTGATGATTTGGTCAGTGGAGGGGCCGGCTTGTTGCAATAGAGAGCCCCCTTCGAAAGCTCTGACAACATCAGCAACTGGCGTAATACTCAGAGTTCCATCGGCGTTCGCGCTGACTTCTCGTGGCGCGAGAAACTGGCCTCCCCAAAGCCACTTTTGATCCTGGGCGTGAAAATCCGGGACCCACCCAAAGAAGATTCGTCTGCTAGGATCACCGGCCTTGTAGCAGGATTTTGCGGCGTACCACCTGCGGCCATCAAACCGACCACTGGAGCCATCGCGGGGGGTACGGAAGGGGCCATGAGGACTATCGGCCACGCGATAAACGGTACCGGCATCCGGGGCCGAGAATCTGGAATAAACGAGGTACCATTTTCCGTTGGGGAGCGAGAAGAGTTCGGGGCATTCGGGACAGAAGATGTCGTTAGGAGCATACAACGGTTCTTTCTCCACATGCCAGGTCTCAAGATCCGCCGAAGTGAGGAGGGTAACACAGCCCCTGGTCCAGTGCGGCCCTTGCGAGAGTCTTGTGGCAATCAACATCCAGTACGACCCCGTTGCAAGGTTATAAAATACGTACGGGTCACGGAAGTCGATGGTTTCGAAGGCGTCGATGTTGCCGATGACCTGAATCGGCGATTGTGGCTTGAAGAACTTGAACTCATTCTTATCGGCACATGTCGCATGCAAGATGACCTGGCGATCGCGAGTCAAGTTGTAGCCAGTGTAGAAGATATGCAACTTGTTGTTCAAATCCACCAGGACCGAGCCTGTCCAAGCACCGTCTGCATCATCGTCGAGACTGTCGTTGCCGGGAGAAAGCACACTGTCTACATCATGAATCCATTCTACGAGATCTTTCGATCGCATATGGTTCCATGAACAGCGCACTCGCTTTGGATAATAAATGCCTCCTGGAAACCCGGCCAAGTGGAAGAGATGATAAGTGTCATTGATCAAGGTCGGTATGGGGTCACCAGCAGGGGAAGCTTTCGACGGCCTGCTGTAGACATTTTTGGAACGTGATTGACCAAAGACCGCCATGAGGGGTAAGATAATTCCAGGCTGATTTGATTGTGAAGCTGTCTGTTGAGATCAAACGCGAGAGAGACACACATGGTGGTGGGCTCCCAGGCGTTCTTCAACATCGAGCACTGCGACCCCTTCCGCCCGGTGGGCGGCTACGACAACTCTACTGTTCCAAAGACCACGCGCGGGCCGAGCTGCGCATATTGAAGTCTAGGACGAACATTGTTCAATTTCCCGCGTTGGAGAGAGTCCTTACGGTCTATCAGAGAACAACAAAGTCCAGAAAAGGTCAGAAGAGCTCGTAAGCCGGGCCGCGCCGCGCGGTTGGTGAGCCACGCCGCGGCGACGATGCCAAGCAGCCCCGCCGCCTCCACTATTCGTCCCCATACGTGTTAGATGCACAAACCTATCATGCTGTTACGCCATAGAGACCCGACATGACCATAAATCTAGAGCCCTAGGATTCTGACAGCTAGTCGTAAATGAATATATAACTACCGTTGCGGGCCAGCGCAGAGGGTAGTGTGTGCAAGGAACTCACACGCCTAGCATTCTAGTCATTATTCGTCATTCTTGAAACTTCAGTCTCCTTGCCACCAAGAGATTTGTCCTCCAGTTCGATTACCACCATGGGTAAGGCGATTCTCTACACCGTGGTTGCATATGCGACTCTAGGAGCCATTCTCTACGGCTATGATGGTGTCTATTTCAGCGGCGTGTCTGCACTGGGTAATTGGCAATCAATCGAAATGCCTTTCGCCAACTAATCGATAGTAATATAGATGTATTTAACAACGATTTCGGAACGGCGCTACAATCGACAGGGAAGTATGCATTGTCAGCGAGTCAACTTTCTATCATGACCTCCATGATCAATGTGGGCGAACTGGTCGGATCTATCAGTGCCGCTCTCATTAATGATCGCTATGGGAGAAGAGTCTGCTGGATCATGGCCTCGATCTTCGTCATTCTTGGTTGTGTCTTGCAAATCTGCACCGAATCACTAGAAGGCTTCATCCTCGGTGGCCGCGTGATCCTCGGCTGCGGTGTCGGCGCCTTTGCAGCGACCGGACCAATCTATATTGGTGTAAGCCGTTCTTCTTTTTCGTCTCGCCCGAAGTGACAAGCCCTCCCACCCCTCGTCAGTCTTCTGTGCAAAGACGTGAGTCGACCTTCGACTGACCGACTTTGCTTTCAGGAAATCTCTCCAGTCCACTTGCGTGGCCCGTTCTTGATCTGTTGGCAGATGGCCCTTTCGATCTCTCAGATCGTCGCAGCGTGTATCAATCAGGGAGTCAAGGCGTACCAGACGTCCTTTAGCTGGCGCTTTCCCACTGTCTTTCAAGTCCTCTTCCCGACCCTGGTGTTGCTTGGAGTTTGGTGGATCCCAGAGTCTCCGCGATGGCTGATCAGGAAGGGAAAACTCGAGGGCGCCAGAAAAGCTTTGGAACTACTACATCGCAATGAAAAAGACTACGACTATCAACAAGACATTGCTCAGATCCACCGAGCACTCGAGAGGGATCCAGCCACAAGCAATCGGGGCTCGTGGCTCGAACTTCTCACTGACACAGTCGAACGGAAGAAACTTATGTTCTCGGCTGGGGCCTTGATTGCTCAACAGATCAATGGCATCCAATGGTTCTATTATTTCGGCACTGATTTCGCGAAGGAAGTTGGTATTTCCGACCCCTTCCTAATGACCGTCATCGTCTTCACTATCCAGCTCTTTGTGGTCACCGCCGCCATGCTACTTTCTAATAAGCTTCCCCGTCGACCATTGATGCTCACCTGTTCGTGCATCATGATGTTCTCGATCTTCATGGTCGGCTGTATGGGCATCCCCAGTGCCGGCCAAGTCGTCCCTGAGAAGTACGGAAAAGTCATCATGTTCTTCATCATTCTGGAAATTTGTGCCGCGAATTTTTCGTGGGGTCCGCTTGGATGGAGCATTGTGAGTGTATCGGTCCAACACCTCAAGTATCCTAAGCATTCATGTGCAGGCTTCTGAGACCGCTGTTGGCCGCAATCGTAATCGTATCTTCGCCATCGCCGTCGTCTGCTTCTGGGTAAGTCACACATGCTCTATCTCCAAAACATATTCTAATGGAATGGGAGTCATAGACCTCGATCTGGGTTACCGTCTTCACACTTCCTTACCTCTACTATACTGCCAATCTCGGACCCAAGACTGGCTTCGTGTACACGGGCCTGTGCTGTTACACCGTGGCCTATGCCTACTTTTGCATCGGCGAAGTTCGCGGCCGCACGATCGAAGAGATCGAAGGGTTCTTCCGCGACGTGGGTCCTCCCCTTCTTGGTCACGGAGGATCTTGTTCTGACATTGCATTGCAGGGGATACCCGCCAGGAAGTGGAAAGTCCAGCCAAGGCGGGACTTGGTGGAGCATGTTTGTGTCGAGGCCAATGTGGGATACGTTCCCGCTGTTGAATCGGCCAAAGACATGCCCGCCAGTGTCGACCAAGTGGAAATGTCGGAGGATCTGGGTTGCCAGCAGGGTCATGTGGGTGGATTTGTGTAAAAATTATACTTGCAGCACCTATGTGCAGAGCCTTCGGCTACTTCTTGCAAAGGATGTCTCGGGCCCAAGGCGGCGACAAGGATAGCATTGGGAAGAGAGTGTAGTGCTGCCTACCGTGTGTGGTAACAGCGCAGATACGCTAGCCTACATTCGTTTACACTGTCTTACACGGTATAATTATAGCAGCCAGGTCCCCTCCATCTCTAGTTAGGCTGAACAAGATCCTCTAGCCGCTCTACCTACAACCACAACTGTTACAATTGCTCCTCGCCTGCTGAGGAGTGGTAACAACGTCTCAAGGGTCGCTTAAAGCGGCAACAACCCCATAGAGATCAAAATTTCAAAAGGAGGGGAAAATCATGCGCATCATCTATGGTTGTACTGTACTACGCTTTGTCCTTGTGTTCTGTCTCCAATCTCGGGTCACTTATCGAGAAAAATCGAACTAGTTGAATCGCCGAGCACTGTGCGTCTGCCGTGGAACGATGTGAGCACGGCGGGTTCTTCCATTTCCAGTTGGAACAGTATGGACTCAAGGGGTGCCCAGGGGAGAGCGACCAGCGGTCGAAGGACCACACGACCTTGCGATGCCTGCAGACGCAGGAAATCGAAATGCATGACCAAGGAGTCAGCCGATGTATGCACTATGTGTGAGATGCGCGAGACGCCTTGCACCTACAACGAGCAACGACCTGCTCGATTACCAACTTCGAGACAACACCCAGATGCCGGCTCGGACACACAGCGCTACCCTCTCTTGAATGGACAGCTCCTGGAGCCGCTCAGCTCCCTGTCCCCAATATCAGGGTCTCTGTCGAGCTACGTATCTCTCCAACAACCCCAAGAACGACCGAATCAAGTCTTTCCAGGGCCGGGAGCTGCCTCTGTCCCCGAGACATCCCTGCTGACAATTCCGGCCGACACTCCTGGGCAGGAGGCCATCGAGAAGACCCTAGGATCAGACTCAGAGCGCTTTGCTGAGCTCTATGGCCTCACAAGCGATATGGAGCCGATACTAATGGTCAGTGCTCCCTTCCTCCCTTGCTGTAATCCTTGCATTTGTTGACTGGCCGCAGCGTCATCGGCCCTATGATGTAGTGACGCACGAGTATCAATTACCTACCCATAGCATCCGCAAAGTACAAGACCAGGATAATGGTGTGAAGTATCCGGTCGTCTTTCACATGGTCTCTGATACCATGGCAATCGGCTTCCGTCATGATTCTGGTGAATCCGATGCCGTGGAGGCCATCGTCCATCCGCATGGCCCACGACTCGTACGGCTATTCTTCAGAACGGTCCAGCCATCATTACCGATCATATGGAAACAAGGATTCTTGGAGAGTTATCGCCAGTCATACCGAAACATTGCTGCCTGTCTGCTTGGAGCTATCTACTTGAACGCGATCAAGTGGTGGGACTACGATCCCCTGCTCGCGCCCACACCACGACCGGATGCTGTCAGCCTGCTGGAATCGACGATTTCTCTTGTCCAAAATGAATACCATCGGCCTCGACTTTCCTCGATCCAGTCCATGCTCCTCCTGCTGCAGTGTAAGCCGGAAGCTCCCCTGACGTCGGATCACACCTTCTCCCGAGGCCTCACCTCACAGATGCTTGCTATTGGAGAAGCCATTGGCCTTCATCTCGACGCTTCAGAATGGCTGATTCCAGGCTGGGAACGTGCCCTCAGGAAGCGCTTGTCATGGGCCGTCTACATGCAAGAGAAGTGGACGGCATTGGCATATGGAAGGCCGTCCCATATTCACGATGACAATTGGGACGTCAGAGATTTGGTCGAGTCGGATTTTTACGACTGTTCTGAGACGTTGCAGCCGGGAGCCGATGACTTCATGGCATCGTCTACGCCGGTCGGCACGATTCAATTCCAGCTCATGGTCAGACTCAGCAAGCTTTTGAGTGGCGTCTTGGAAACGTTCTTCACGGCCAAGGGAAGCCAAGATCAAGATACGGCTGCACTTTTGAAAGCTGCGCAACCCTTGCTCGATCAGCTCACCCTGTGGCACGCGGATCTGGTCCAATATCTCCCCGCTGCTCCCTATCAATCGAGGCAGTTACATTCACAAGGTACGTTGGGGGCATCGCTTCAGCTCCTCGTCAATTCTTTGAGGTTAGGTCACTCAACCGAACCTCTTTATGTTCCACCACTCATTTTAATTGTCCCCCCCGCCAGGTTTTGTCCATCTTTCGTACTATGGGGTCATGATCAATATCCTGAGACGATTGGTGAGATCGACCGCCCTTGCCCCCTTGTGCTTGGACCACGACGTACTCTCGCGTATTCGGCACCTGGCTTGGCAGACGGCCGAAAATGCCAACACGTTTGTGACATCGTTGCGAATCGACCAGCTTGAAGGTTTCTGGTATTTCCGTGAGTGACACCATTATCTCGACTCTTTTCTCCCGTGGTGGACTATACCCCCTGGCGTTTAAACCTCTCACGCCACGATAGCATCACCGTATCTCTTTTCCCTCATTGGATCCTTCAACACCCAGTTGATGGTGACTTCGGTCTCGTTGTCGGAGCGCAACCACTGGCGCGAAAACTTGACGTCGCTTCTCTGGGCATTCCGACTCCTCGGCAAGGCGAATGCGCACCTTCGCTATGCTGTTGAGCGGTTGGAAGGAGGGGTCATCCGGGGCATGGAACACGCCCTCGCCGTCAACATTGATCCGTCCACTCTAGATTCCAATGTCATAAGCCCTGGAAAACCGGACCGACACCAACAACAGCCGGCACCACAACAGCAGCAGCAGCAAGGAGAGCTTTTGTCGGCATCATCTGGCCTGATGAACACAAGCAACACTATTGATTTCGCCGACATCTCCCAGTGGGATCTCTCAGGCGCTGGTCTGGAGGCTTTTGACTGGTTGAGCGGGTTGGAGCTACAGGGGCTGGAAAGATAGGAGCCAGGCAAAGGCTCAGAGCCCTCCCCTCCCAATCTACCCATTTGAAGCATCCTCGCCAGACAGAGCGAGAGACCTGAGCCTCCATCTACATTGGAGAAATCCTAAGGCCAACGAGATAGTATTTGAAAACCTTTGATGCTATAAGCCTCAATACCCGGCCGTCTCGCACTCAGTCCCCGTGGCTGCGGCCCCATTCCAATAATCAACATGAGCAAAATATTCAAAGCCTGCTTCGCGAGAATATGAAGGGGAGGCGAGATGAAGGACGGTTGCGAGATGGCAAAGAACGGCTTCGTCCCGTCCAGAGCTCCGAAGTTGTAGACACTGAATTGAAAAGCAACCTACTGGTTGCAGCCAGGGACAGCTGTGGACACACTTTGGTACAGAATTACCTTGCAGGCTAGCAACCCTGATTGGATAGAATTTCATATGGGCGCGCACCCTATCGGTCAATCGTCCTCTTTTCGTTCTTGAAATCGGCCGGGTCGACTGATGCTTCATTGAACCCTGGCCGATGTTTGCAATCAGAAAATTTGCGATCAAGTTGACATCTCAGCCGCAGATCTCAGCAGGCAAACGTGGCATCGGGGCTGGCTCAAGGGGATCCGCAGCATGATGGTGCCATACACCGGGATACTTGTGCAGTAAGCCGCGGGCCGCAGGCGCGCGGCGCGGGTTATAGCACAGTGCGGGAAGACGAGATGCGGAGTGTAGATGGTAGACACATCGGTATACCACAGTATCCTGAGACTGGGTCAGGAGGAGGAGCATCACGGGACTAACTAGTTAGCCAGCCACTAAGTTACTACACGTACTCAGTAGCTTGGCTAGAATGTAGCTGGGGACCAGCCTAGGCATCTAATTAGGTACCTTAACTCGGGCACCTGGGCACCATGGCATCTAACTACGTCGGAAAGTGCGGGGTCGATTGGTCCAGAGATCCAGCCCACACACGATCATTTCCCACCTTCGACTTGCCGGGCCTCCGACCATCACAGCGTCTCGAATTTCCAACTCTCACATCTCCACCATTTGTATCCCACGCAGTTGTCGTCTGTTCGGCCTTTCCCTTAGCTGTTGCTCCACGGTCGCCGCCAATGTCTTCATCTACGAGCATTCTCCATCCCGGAGAACGGCCCCACCGAGCCTGCTTGAATTGCCGGTATGTTCTGCCCTTGTCGTCTGTTCACTCGACCGAGCGCGTTCCCGCGTACAACATAGCTTACAAAGGATCTAGGCGAAAAAAGGTTCGATGCCACGGAGATCAACCAACCTGTCGGTTCTGCGCACGCCTGGGTCAACCATGCCACTATCCAGAGTTGCGTCCTTTACCGATGTCGATGCTAGCGAATGATCAAGTGGGTGTCGAGAGAGGACGGGCTCGCCAGGGGGGCCACAAATATGTGAATTCAATTGGCTCTATCATCCTGCTAAAAAGGGTACTCATGATTCTCCTAGGACACGCTCGATTCGAGATTGTCGGCGTTGGAAGAGCGGCTGGGCGCGAGTGCGACACGCGCAGATCCGTCAGTACAATCGACACTTCCGCCGAGGAAGAGAGCTCACTGCTAACATATAACATGTGCGATAGCCCAACGTACTTTACCGATCCGAACCTCACTTCCAGCGGCTGGCCTACTTCCATAGGAAACGGCGACTTGACGTTAGACTTCGGCGAAATAGCACCATCTTCGGTACCCCCGAGTCTCTTCCCTGCGCCGTAAGGGGCCCCCGGCTAATTGGATCTACTCGAATAGTTGTTAATTCTTGTGAAGGAACCCTCCGTCCCATTTGACGTTTGCCGATCAGGAAATCGTGGTCAACAACTACTTCCGCTTCCATCACAACCAGCCTTACAGCTTCTTCCACGAAGAGACATTCAGGCAACAGCTACAGGCTGGCCTCCTTCCGGAAACAATCCTGTCTGCGGTGATCGCAATTGCAATTCGCTTCTCGCCTAAATCCGACAAAAGTGCAGAGCCCTGGCCGTCGCAATATTACGCCGATAAAGCCTGGACGGGTGCCATGACTCAATGTTTCAATAGCGAGTACGGGCCCAACTATCAGATGGTGCAAGCCATCACCTTGCTCGCACTCTACGACTTCACAGGTAAATTCGTCCCTCTGCGTCGGAAGTACACACACTGAGCTAAGACAGCGTGCAGGCATAGAACTGCTTGGATCAAGATTGGGCTTGCTGCAACCGTGGCACAGGCGCTGCACATGATGGCCGAACCAGATCCCACTCTGCCATGGATTATCCAAGAAGAGCGCCGGAGAACCTTCTGGTCAATTTATCTGCTCGACAAAATGGCAACCTGTGGGCGAAGTCGTCCTCCCATCTTTCAAGACGCCAGTTGTCTTCTACACCTTCCCGGCACCGAATCGACATTTTCTTTCGGCAATTCTGCGCCTGCCCCGACTTTGCAAGAATTCACCAGTGGGACAAGCCTCGACGTCGACAGCATTGGGTCGTTTGCCCGGACAATCGTCTTGGCAGCCACCCTCAGTCGAATAGCCAGTTACGCCTTCCAGCAACACGACACAGTCGACGCGAAGCCGCCGTGGGACCACAACTCGGATTATGCTGTCCTGGCATCCAAGTTGCACGGTTTTGCGGCATACTTTGAAACATGGTTGCCCATCTCAGACGCCATCGTTGCGAAGTGCTCGGCTGGCGGTGAGATCGACTACGCAACTTCTGAGCCATTCATCTTCTCGTATGTCCTTTATCAACTGTGTCATTGTCTCTTGCAGCATCCATTTTTGCTACGGCGCCAGATTCAAGCTTTTGGAACAAAGTTTTCGACCGATTTCTTCGCTTCTGCCACGAAAACAGGTTTCGAACATGCTCAAGAACTTACTCACACCTTATCATTTGCCAAGCAAACCAAACACAAAGCTGCGGCCTCATTCTTCGGATACTGCTCACTTGTCGCGGGCACGATCAATGGTTTGTACCAGTATTCAAATGACGAGGCAGTACGCAGGCAGGCGTGGTCTGCTCTAGCCGGAAACGTGGAATTCCTTAAGGGACACGCCAACTACTGGCCAAATGCAGGCAAAATGGTGAGTCCCCGCCATTTCGAAACGTAAAGCCTGTATTCTGAAAGTGTGTACAGACCATGACGTTGAAGAACTACATTCTTAAGGTTGGCGAGTACCAATCGCTGATCGATGGGACCCGCAAATCTATTCAACTTGATCGTCAGGACATCGATTATCTTTATTCGATCGTCGACTATGGCTCAATGTCCACGGTGCAAAGTGCACCGCGCGGGGGAAGCGACAACCTGGATATGACTACTGGATACGATTGCGTATATCCTGGACCCCAAGGACTTGATGTCGACTTGAGTACGAGCAACAGCGATTGCCCGAGGTTGTCTGCATTTGAAAGCTCTGGACAATTCTCGAGCTTGGCCCCTCACGTGAGCCCTTATGACCTCGATTTAGATGGCTCTGCCGCCAGCTTCTCGCAATATACCCAAGATCTGTACGTACCCGCCTTTGTCGGGTCAGGTTGAATTGCCCCGCGGAATCACACGCATGGGCACCCACCACAACTTCGTCTTACACCCTCGTCCATAATAAGTCCGCCGAATCTGACGGTCGAATCTCACCAACCTTCTTTCTTATTTTCCATGGAGATTTCGAAGCTGTGCATTGCCATTGAAGTTGATCAGAGTCTGTGAGACAATTCTTCGGGTCTGACTTGTACTCCTTCAGCAGTGTGGATGCATTAGATTGAATACAGTTGAATATGGTCATCAGCCATACTCCAGCAGCGTGGTTTTCGACACCGTATCGATAAGCCTGATACAATACCTAGTATGAATCGAAAAGTTTTAGTATCGTGGTAATACTCTTGGCATCTCTACACCAGGACTTAAACTCGACTAGCGGAATATTAATCTAGACCAGTGTAAAGCCCCTCCTTTAATTTGCGGCCCCCACTTAGTAGCTTCCCGTCTAGCTTTAGCCCCAAAATACTTCTACTAAAGTATTATAATACCTCTAACACTACTAATACTAGCTAATACTAGTATTATAGTGATACCTTTTGATACCCGAGGTATCGAAAACCACGCTGTGTAACTCCAGTACTCTACTCGGCCGAAAATGCTCCCTTAGGCTAGCTCAGTCGAGAATTGACCATGAATGTTCTTGGAAGTCGATCTTAACGGCTTCTTTCCGCTCTTGAATACACGTCCTAGCTACGGGAAAGATTGGACCTCTTTTGCAGATGCAGACTTCTACCACAACCGCTCTCCACAAAAAAAACCGCTTGTCCGACTAAGAGACCGTGCTCGTTCGATCCACATATTTGTATGAGGCTGTCAAAGTTTCGCAATCAACGGATGGCTTGGTTTGATTCGGTTACACATGCTCATCCGCTGCGGCCCTCGCTTGGCGCTTTCTTACCCTGGAACTTAGGTCACCAACAGGCAATGCCAGTGGAAATTCGACAGATTCCAACAGCTGCGCGAAGAGCAGGTAAAACGCAAGAACGCATAAGGCGAATGCGAACCCTCCAGCTACCTGTTCTATGTCAATGGGAGGAAACACGAACCAGTCGACAACAGAGTATTTACCTTTTCGAGCCTTTCAAAGACATTCACGTCTCCATGAGACGCCTTCCAATAGGCTCCAGTAAGGGTGAACAAAGCAAGATCCAACAGCAAGAAGATACCGAAAAAAATCAGGTTGGTTCGGACGCTGCAAACGAGAAACATAAACACAACAACCCCCATGAACAACAAGAAAAACCCTGCAAAACGGTTAGGGAAGAAGAACATCGGTGCAAAGCCAGCGCGAATGCTAGAGACTTACCCAGGCTGGCCTGGAAGCTGGCGACCCCAGCAGCCTTCTCGGCCTCCGTGGTGGCGTTGGCCGTGAAGGCGCCCTCCGCGTTGTAGAATGGAGTCAATGTTATACCGAAAGCCAGCCAGAAAGCGCCTGGTCGTACCTGGTGAGCCACCAGGGACGAAGAATGGAGGTTGGTATTTTTGAGCTTACCGAAAGCTCCAAAGACGACAAAGGGAAACGTGTTGCCGACAATCCATTCTAGCACAGACCCTATGACCTGGAGCATCCCTCCAAAGATGTAGTATGTGCCAACCGTGGCAGCGCCTCCTCCGCCAGCACCCTGCCATCCCATCAGGGCGGCAGACAGTGGTGCGGTGGCAATGATGAACCCGAGCAGAGGCCTAGATTTACCGCTTGATCAGACAAAACCTCATTCCACGCGCACGGGCGTAACTGACAACGGAGTGGGATTCGCAAATGTATAGCGGAGTTGGCCTTTGACTCGATTCTGCGGGGCCAAGTACAGCTTTTCGAACATCTCTGTCGAAAGATTGATGCTTTGAGTCGTCTGCGTGCGACGAAGCTGTTCATTTGAGGCTGTGATGCCGTTCTTCAAATCTTCCTCACCCATTGCGAAGGCAGCAGACAAAGTCAGATCCAGCCAGGGGATTGCAAAGTCAAGGCTATTCTGTACGGGTCAACCTAAAGACTTGAAGAAAGCCAGCAAGTGGCGTTATCTCACAGTGTTATAGAGATGGCTCGTTCCTACGACAGGCCGGTCTGGAGGCGGGGCACAATTTCTGTGGCTCTCCCCTGCTTGCCGAGCGTCCCTGTGGGAGCAGAGCAAGCCAAGTTTACTCTGGAGTACGCTATCACTTCTCTCGTGATTCGGAACTTGGTATAGCACCGGGGTGGAACGAGAAAACGAGATTTTCCCCCTTTCGCATCCCTAAGAACTCGACCTGGGCGACCGACTTACCCATCATCAGGTCCCGACCGGGTACAGTACCCTCGGCATTGCTCAGCTGAGTGGACAGGAAAAGAGAGCAATTCATCTCTGACTTGGAAAAGTGTACTGCCACTGGGCCGGGCCCTTTTTCTCTATGCCTATGTCCGCGTGCGCGCACTTAGGTCCGACCCCACGCCCTTGCTATTGGCATGGCTTCGGTATCCCGAGAACTATCTGGGGGCAGGAGACTCTTCGAACACGGCCAGAACGGTGAGTATTGATTGCCACTCCGGGCCTAACACAGCTTTTAGGGGTCTAAATCAAGACTGTCTAGAAGGCTTGATGGTTCGCGGTGTTGAGTGCGGCGGTTGCTGGAGCGTTAGCACAAAGAGCTCTGTTAAGCAGCAAGCTATTCGACCATTTCTTCTGCCAACACGGGAGAGCACGTGTGGAGACAAGTGAAAAGGGGGAGAGGGGATTTGAAGACATCAAGTTGCTTGACAGGACAAGGGTCAACAAGCACCCTCACAATTTCCCCCAGAACGCATGGTATTTGAGACCCCAGTTGGTGCCAGCCCAGATGGCGACCCAAGCTGTACCAGGCAGTCCTGGTAGACATCGCACCCGTCAATCCTCCAACCACCACATTGACGCAAAGCCAGCCACCTGTCGACATTACTTCTGTCCCTACCTCTTTTAATTTTGCAGTTGATGTGGTCGACTCGTGGGCAAAGACGTCTCTATCGCAAGTGGCCCTTTACTGGAGAGATTAGACCTTGTCAAAAGAGAGGAAACTCACCTACTCCCACTTTTCACAACGGTCCAAGCGTATTGCGATTCTTCTGACCTCATACGGTGTTTTTCGAGGCCAAACATCCATCTTCAACCTTCCCAGGATTCCAGAGTGGTGGGAAATCGCTGCGGCATGTCTCCGTGCAGGTATCATCCTCTGTCCATGCACCACACTCCTTATGGACAGGGACATTGAATACTGGCTCCAATCTAGTAAAGCGACAGCTTTCATTGGAGACGAGGTTCCGATGCTTAAGGTCCTTCAAACTCGACACTATTGCCCTTTGTTGAGAACACCTATCCAAGTCGGAGGAACAGCCTCACCGACAGTGCAAAATCCTGTCATATCTTTCCACCAAGCACTGTCCGTGTCATCGCGAAATGGCGCGAACTCACCGGTCGAGAGATCTATGATGGCTATGGCCAAACGGAAACCATTCTTACCTGTGCCAATCAAGCAGTCAATCCCATCAGATATGGTAGCATGGGTCAACCCATTCCAGGCGTCCCACTTGTGGTCGTTAATTCGAATGGAGGCCTCGCCAATGACGGCGAGGAGGGGACATAGCACTCGAAGTCTGTGAAGGCAATCAAGAGTTTTTCGGCTTTTTCGATGGGTACATCGATCCAGAAACTGGAGTGGTAGACCGCAGGCTCAAAGAGTTCCCGAACAAGATGCGATACTTCACGGGCGACCGTGCATATCGAGACTCTGAAAGATATCTATGGTTTGTTGGAAGTAGAGATGACGTGATCAACTCGATCGGATATAGAATAGGTGAGTCCGTCCATGCGAAAGACTATGTGTGAATGTCCACCAACAATGAGTCCAGGTCCGTTCGAGGTGGAATCTACGCTCAAGCTCCATCCGGCTGCCGTCGAGTCTGACGGTCCACGCGCGTAGAGTGGTTGACCAGGGGCCTGCGGCACGCGAAAACCTGACCAAGGAGCTGCAGGACTTTTGCAAGAAGCACGCTGTCCCCTACAAGTATCCCAGAAAGATCGAATACGTGGACGCCGCGTTCTTGCCCAAGACGATCAGTGGCAAGATCAAGAGGGCGGAGTTGAAGAAGCTCGAAAGAGCCAGGTATGTAAAGGAAATACGAGATAAGTTGTAGGGGAGTGACGGATCAGCCAATTTGTGTGTACTGTACCCTCGTAACAGGGAGTGCTGATCTTCCGCCTGGTGTTCATAAACGATATTAGACTATGGATTCACTACACATCACCTCGTTATTAATTTGCACGTACAACAAATACTGTACCGTGGACGTTGTGGAGAGTCTGGGGGGTTTCCTGGTAAGTCGCCATATTCAGTCAGCAATCAATCCTTCTTTTCCTCGAGCAGCTGCACAGAGATATGAACTAGAAGTACACCAAGATCGGACCGGTGCTGAGGCAAGTGAACATTCTAGTGGCTGCCCCAGGCCCTGGATCACTCCTAAGGCAAACCTAGGTACCTCGTACTCGTAAACTTGTACTTGAAGTTAGTCATCTTCCTCTACCTCTCTACCCCTCTTGTACTAGGCTACCGGGCTAGATCCCTCAATCAGCCATTTATCAGCCTTCTCATTAGCCTAGTGAGCCCCAGACACAAGCGGGGACGGAGCTTAGCGGCCCCGAATTTTGCGGGTTCCCCGTCCCCACCGATGTGGGTGATCCAGCCCCAGCCCCCGGGTTCACACTTGCAAGAAAGACCACGAGATTCTGGTAAAGAGTGATCCTTTCAAACCTTTGGCGGTCAGTTTACATCTCGTCGTCATAAGAAAGTGGCTTCCGAAACGGGATGGCGGGCGCCCCAGAGCGATTTCTGGGGTACCTTTCGCCAATTTTGCAACTTGAAGCTTGTTTGCATGGTCGTTCGGCGGGTTGATAAAGAGGTCTTCGCGTCTTCAAATCGTGGCAGGAAGGTAGCTTTCCTTTCCCAGGCCCAGCCGACCGCGACCTCCTCGGCGATCAATCGAAAATGGCATTGTCCGCTTGTCAGTCTTCCACATTCACTTTTCCCTTTATAGCTGGCACAACGCTGGTGTCATTGACTGCCCAGGTGTTCAACCAGTCTAATCCCTCCATCTTCCCAATTGAAACTTACGCGTCCACCCCGGTCCCCCTCAACCACAGTCTGTCTTTCTGCAATGTGAGCTTGACATACTCGCACCCGGGCTACAACGATGCCGTGAATACTAATGTCTACTTACCCTTCAACAACGACTGGAATGGCCGTTTGCTCGGCGTGGGCGGCGGAGGGTTCGACACAGGAGAAAACGCCAAGTTGATGCTCGGCGGCTTGGTCCTGGGCTATGCAGCAGTGTCTACTGATGGCGGTCACCGTGGCGGGGCATTTACGCCCGATATCGCTTCGGTGGCGGATTGGGCCATCCTCTCGCCTGGCAACAATAACCTGCCTCTGATAGAGGACTTTGCGACCACCTCAGTTCGCGACACCTCGATGATTAGCAAATCCATCTCTACAGCCTTCTATGGCAAGTCGCCAAAGAAGGCGTATTGGACTGGTTGCAGCCAAGGTGGACGACAGGGACATATGCTTGCCCAGCGATACCCGGGCACGTACGACGGGATTCTGGCCAATGCCCCGGCCATCAATTGGGGGCAGTTCTTCCCCAACATGTTGTGGCCGGCCGCCGTCATGAACTCGATCAAATACTATCCGGCGCCATGTGAAATTGCCGCCATCACCACGGCGGCGGTCAAGGCATGTGACGGCCTCGATGGTGTCGTGGACGGTGTCATCAGCAGAAACGATCTCTGCCACTTCGACGCCACCACCGTGGTCGGCCAGGAGATTAACTGTGACGAAACCGGACAGCTCGTTGACACAGACACAGACACAAACGTCACTACCTACAAGGTCAAAATCTCTCAAGGAGCTGCAACCATGATGAATCTGACGTGGCAAGGATCGACTTCAGCAGATGGCCTCTTTGAGTGGTATGGCTATGGACGTGGGGCGGATATTTCCGTGACAGGCAACACCACCTGTGAGCTCGCCGACGCCAGCGGCGAGTCCGACTCGCGCTTTAATTGCACAGCCGTACCTCTCTTGCTGGGGGAGAATTGGATCCGGAAATTCATCTACGCGGTCCCCGAAGACAACCTCAAGACCCACGCTGCCAGCGGACCAGTCCCGCCATGGTCGTTTATGGCCAACATCACCTCTCGCGAGGCTTACGACGAGATCTTCAAGCTCTCGCTCGTGACCTTTACGGACTGGCTGGAAACCGCGTCCTCCAACCTTGACGACTTCCGCAAGCGTGGAGGCAAACTCCTGACTTGGCACGGCGGGAACGACCAGTACATTGCTCCCAACGGCACCGTGGACTACTACGAACGCGTTTTGGCGCGAGACCGCTCCCTTAGGGTCCAAACATCTGACTACTACCGGTTCTTCGAGGCTCCAGGCCTCCCTCACTGCGCGATGGGACCTGGCCCGTACCCATTGACAGGTCTCGACGCCCTGGTCAAGTGGGTGGAGGAAGGTCAGGCGCCAGACACGTTGGATGCTGTCAGCCTTCCAGATGCCACCGGCCAGACGTGGGCAAGACCCCTCTGCCTCTATCCAAAGAAGCAGGTCTGGAATGGCAAAGGCAATCCCAGAGATCCCTCGGGGTGGACTTGTCAGTGATTGGCACCGTGAGTGCGTTAGGGAAAAGAAAAGGCGATCTAGAAAACCCCCTACTACCCTACTCGATAGTGTGTATCGAAGAATACCAAGGTTTTTATACGATGCACACTAAGGAATGTTAAGATCGAATATCTCTTATTACCCATCGGATAATCTTCCGGGGGGGTTTGTGAAATTAAATCCTTAACCCTTTATTTACTAGTGTTATGATTCGCCCTATGGCCTACGGCCATATTCGCGCGGGCGGAAGGTTAAACGAGGACACACTAAGCGGCGAATAACTATATAGATACCCGTAGCACTCACCTTCTATCACGAATACCAAGATCGCCAAGCACTAAATTATAGCTAGATTAGAGATAGTCAGCTACGCGTATGAGAGAAGCATCCTTCTCTCATGCTTCGAGTTTACTACCGTTACGACTGATTGTCAAGGGAAGACTTAATACTATAAAACCCCGGAACCGCCGCGTTCTGCCTATCAGATTAGGCCATCCCTAACACTAGCAACATATTACGAGCTTCAGTTGTTGGTTTGGGCCGACAGAGCCAACGCTACGCCGTTCCCTACTTCCTCAAGGATAATGCCCGTTGGCAGTTGGAGGCAGTGTGCGATTCTTCTAGCCTGACAGTTGAGAAGTTCAAAGGCACACTTCCTTATATCTCCCATGTCTCATCTTTTGCAGACGTATCCTCAATGATCTCGTCGAAGTCCCTTGATTGCGCCTAAGTTGCTGTTCCACATTGCAAGAGCCCTGCGATAGTCCGGCAGTTGTGGTCACCGAAAATCCACGTCACAAGTACTCTACCAGACATCGGAGAAGTTCAGAGAAGGTGTTCGAATAGCGTCACGCCGACCGTAGAAGACCGTGATGCGTTCGATCATTTTTAGAGTCAAGCCGACTTCCCGACGATTTTTGTTTTTCTACCTCGAAAATAGACATCGAGAGGCTTGAAGTCTCATCTGATCATGTGTTCGTGTAGTCACGCAATTCACTGAACAGAGGCAAGATAGAGCAAGAATGGATGTAAGTGATGATAGGGACCTTGCCCACTTGATTGTCATTACCAAGTCGTACTACCTACCGAGTAGTTCCGGGGCATGTTCGTTTCTCATGTGGCGCTGCAGTCTGTCCCTTCGCCAATAGCCACGAAAGGGTGGTCGTGACTGCTCACAGGATGCTACCGAACACCAGGACCGCTATGGTGGGGCGCTCTCTGATGGGTGGAAGGCATATCGAGAAAGGAATGCATCATCCATGACCAGCACCGAATTTTGCCATGGCCACTTGCGGCAACGACGAATTCTTATATACAAGCAGCCACGACTCCAGCTGCCTCGCCAAGTAACCGAAGAGAGGGGAGATGAAGATCGTTTCTTTTCTGCCCATGAAAGATGTCGGGACGGAGTGTTTTTGATTGGGGAAGTTTCTTTAACTTTCTCCTGGAGGTCAAAAGTCCACGCGTATGATCTAAGTGACGTGAACGACATTTTTCCAAAGAAAAATTTCTTCTCCAGCTCGCCTTGGTTCGGCTCCCCAAGATTCGCTCCCTTTTCTCAGACGAATCTGGTCCATGACAGTAGGTAATTGCCGTTGTGATGGCAACCAAAAAAACACGCCTCAGTGCCGATTCCAAAGCTGCTTCAGCATTTCCATCTGCTTCTCCAGCACCGCCTTCTCCCCGCCACCCGGAGAGACTGAGCGGGAATAAATGCAGAAGATGATGGTCGGAAAATGTGCATCTTCCGTTGCAGTCAACCAAAGAATGACCACTGCGAACGGTTCACAGATTAGAAACTGGTCATTACATGCGCCACGGACCATCGCGGCGAACCTCTTCTGTGACGACATCTCACTGGCTCGTCGGCCAGCGACGATCTGAATACGAAATCCTCCTTGATTGGACAGCTCAGGGGTTCTTTACGGCGAGGTTGCGGCACTCCGCCACCACTATCGACACTTCACTCCATTTTAAAGTCTACAACTTGAGCTGGTGATCCTTCCACTCCATCTTTCTCAACAGATTTCTCTGAATCTTTCCAGACACAGTCTTTGGCAGGAAATTCTCATCCACGAATTGTATCCGACGAGGATACTTGTAAGGCGCTGCGTGTGTTCTGCAAAATGTCTGCAACTCCTTGCCCAAACTCTCCAACTCCTTCTCGCCCAGTCTGGTATAATCGGCTGCCAACACGACAAATGCTTTGACGACCTCCCCCCGGTCGGGATGAGGTGATGAGATAACGGCAGACTCTGCAACGGCAGGATGCAGTTTCAGCGTTGATTCGACTTCAAACGGACCTGTAGGAGAGTTGGATTACCTCAATGCATCAATCACCAGTTTCCAGAGTCTCACCTATCCGATATCCAGAAGAGTTTATGACGTCGTCAGATCTGCCAATGAACCAAAAATAGCCCTCTTCATCCTTCTTGGCCTTGTCACCAGTGACGTACCAAGTCTGTCGAACTTCACCCACGGAGAAAGTCTGCTCTTTCCTCGAAACACTACCGTCTTCATTCAGGTAACCGTCGAAAACACCAAAGAAGTTACAGGGGTCGCTTGGATGGCTTAATTTGACAGCTATATTACCCTCTTCGTGAGGTGCGCACTCCCTAGCATTGGCGTCAATAATGGTCAGAGGAATACCCGGAGCCGGCTTGCCCATAGAGCCTGGCCGGATCGGACAGCCGCTGAAATTACCACAGAGCAGGATCGTCTCTGTCTGCCCGTAGCCATCGTGAATTGAGAGACCAGAAAGTTGTTTCCATTGCCGAATGACCTCGGCATTGAGTGCTTCACCAGCGGCAACGCAGTGCGAAAGAGCCTTCGGTGGATGTGACAGATATTTGGCCTTGGCCTCGGAAAGGACAAAGTGGCGCCATGCCAAAGGGGGAGCACACAATGTAGTAATCGGAAAGCGATGCAGTACTTCTAAGAGTCGGTTTGCGTTGAATGGTAAGCGATCATCGAAGATAAAGAGGCTGGCGCCGCAGTTCCACGCTCCAAAGAACGAATAAGACGCTTTTGCCCATCCTGGACTCTTTGTCAACAAGACCTTGCCAAACGTGGTTTTCTTCCTACCTTGATCTGCCGTGTTCCAAAACAGCTTTCCTCCTCCTAGCAGTAGCCAGTATTTGCCGGTGTTGCCAAGAGCTACAAAGTTCAGTATGGGCCGGAGTTCCTTTCGTTGTGAGAGAACGGGGTGGGATGCCGGTCCGCGGCAATGAGCTTACCAAGGGGGAAGGAAATTTGGTTATGAATAACCATTTTTGGTGGCCCGGATGTCCCTGACGTGAAGTACATCAAAGCGGGACTGTCCCAAGGGAGAGATACTGAGCCTGATGCGACATCGTGTGGAATTGACTTCAACGCTTCATAGTACGACAAGATGTTTGCATCACTTTGGCCGCCGACTGTAATGATGGTCTTCACAGTCGGACAATGCGAGCGGACAGCAAGGAATTTCCGGATACTGGCTTGATCACCGATGAACACCTTTGCCTTGCTCTTGTTACAACGGTAGCGAATGTCCGATTCGGATACGAGGGTTGGTGATGGGGAAAGAATGATTCCGCTTCGAATGCATGCAAGGGCGATTTCCCACCTGAAAATTCGTAAGAACTTGCGTACACCTCAGCTGCGCGTGCGTGTGATCTGTACTTACCATGCGACGACTTTGTGGAGTATAACAACTGCAACATCGCTCTGCTCGACTCCCGCTTCCTTGAGCAAAACTGCGACTCGAGAAGATTGGATTGAAAAATACTGAAATGTTAACGAGCGTTGTATAGAAAAATCCTGTGACACCCAGTACATCGCCTCGCGCTGAGGATGCTCCGTTGCCCATTGATCAACGACTTCCGTGGTGAAATTGAAGCGCTCGGGGCGTGGAATGAACATATTGTTTTCATTTGCCATTTTGACCACTCGCAGCTGGTGTTGGTGTCTATCCGTTCGCAAGAAAAGTGAGCTGATCACCACCAATCTCTTTAATGTATCTATCACGGGATGGTCGTTGATTCATTGTGTCAGGGACTATCTCCTCCAACCGTTACTCTCCCGACCTCTAGACTTCCGGTATAGTCAAAGCTCATGCTAAGGTCCGGCTCAGTGGCACTTACATTTAGCGATGGCTTGTTCGCGGTGCTCGGGGTGGGGACGGCGTCGGAAGCTGGTGGCGCAGGATGGGATGGGCGCTTGGACTTCCAGCCAAACAGCCGCTACTTGGCCTTCCTTAACTCTCTGGAAGCACTGGCGTACGAAAACGATGTGAGTTGGGTCATGGGTGTGGGACGACGAGATGTATGGCATTAGTGGCATATAATGCATATATGGACCATAGAGTAACAAATACGAACGGAGGCAAAGGCACGAAGCACGTATGATAAGACGCTAACCAGTCTCACAGCGAGTCGTTTCCGGCAGTGCTCTCAGACTCACAGGCTAAAGTCTCTCCCATGGGAGCCTGGATGCCAGCGGGCGTTAGTGGTTGCAACGATGCCTACAGCCAGCTTCAGCAACTGACTTGCTTTGGGGCAAACGCCTAGACGACCAAGGCATTCCATCCAGATGCAGGAATCGAGCCTAGCTGAAGGCCGGCCATCACGACCGCCTTGATACGTTCGTTGCCCCATGTGAATCGTAATTTGCGCATAGAGCTAGTTGTGGCAGAGCCTTAGCCCGCCCGTCCCGTCCGTTGTCGCTTTTCAGGTCCCGGAGACACTTCGCAGATTTAATTGTACTGCCTGTGAAGTCCTTTTTTGGGCCCAGCCTGGAACTCTCAGAGCACTTTGCAGATCGAGCAACCTTCCAATTGTTGCCGGGTAAGCAAATCCCACGCACACAGTTTCATGTGAAGGGGGCCTCGTCTCCCTGTTTCCCATCGCGGCCAACTTCAGCAACCTTCTATCCCCGCCATGGCCTCAAGCAGTTATCGATATGTGTCTGTGAGCACAGAAAGCGACGGCCTGTTGCTGATCAAGTATAACAAGCCAGAATCTGGAAACTCACTGCACCCCGTTCTCCTTGCTGAAATGGTCAGAATCATGGATTGGGCAAGCAAGCAGCAGGCGGTGCGCGTTATTGTCCTGACTGGAGCAGGCAGGTTCTTCTGCACAGGGATGGAACTCGTGCAATCTGCCGGCATGTCCTTCGCCATAGGGTCTGATTTTCATCAACTGAACAAGCTCTTTATTCTGTCCGAAAAGATTCTGGTGGCCGCGGTAAATGGTCCTGCAGTTGGGTTCGGCGCGACCAGTCTCGCACTCTTCGATCTGGTCTATTGTGTCCCGGATGCCTACTTTTTCACACCATTTGTGAAATGGGGCATGACTACAGAGGCATGTTCAAGCATAACATTTCCCAGAATGATGGGACACCAGAAGGCAGCGCTTTTATGCCTGGCTGGAGAACGAATCGACGCCAGTCAAGCAGAAAAGCTTGGATTGATTAGCAAAATCCTCCCAAAGGACGGATTCCTCCAGGCAGTGCTCCGAACGAGCAAAGCAATTGTCGAGTCGCCGCCAGGATCACTGCGAACGACGAAACTTTTGATGAAGAGGCCGATATTGCGTGATCTGCTGGAAGCAAACGATCGCGAATGCAACGCTTTCCACAACGAGAGAATCCCCAGTGGAGAGCCGAAACAGGCAAGCAAGCAATTCGCTCTGGAGCGACAATCGAAACAAAAGAAGAAAAGCAGACTTTGAGCAACGTGACAGGATTCACGTGTTCTCGCATATGATATGTATGTGTCTGTATGATGACGCGTCTTATAGTCTTTCCCGAAACTACCCTCCTCTTCAAATATACTGTGATAGTCTCGTTCTGGGAGCTAACGAATAAGTGAGTTGAACCTAGCCCAATGAGCGATAGTAGGCCCCAAGATATCGCCCAATTATCGATAAGATTCTCGGGCTTAAATTTTAGGAGGATGGTCACTCTGCTTGTAAAGACCCGATCAAGTTTAGGTTCTGAGCGTGAAACTACAGAGAGTTGAGGCCTTTCAACCCACGCGACTACTCATGCAATAGAACCTCCTGCTGCACTGAGTAAGAGATCCGACATCGTCGGCTTATTGAGCTGCGTCACAATTGTGGAACTGGACTGGGGAGCATATCGGCCCTATGCTAACAAGTCGAGCCAGATCTTATCTGCTGTGCAGGTTACCCCTCCCACGAGCCTCATCGGAACATCTTTCATCCATTACGGTGAGGATTTACACTTGAAAATAGGGCCGGTAGACCTCTTGTGGTGAAGCAAGACAATCTATATCATAAAGAATTGGATGATGAGACCCTATCTCAGAATCCGAGAAAAGGCTACTACTCAAGCTAACGCTGATCTGAAGAACTCGGCGAGCTTCGACCCAGCCTCGTCAACGTGATCATACAAATCGGCATGTGTCAGGCCATCTACAACGTATAATTCTTTCGGCTCCCGCGCTTTGGCCACGCCATCCTCGCTATACCACTTCGTCGCTGCTTTCGTGCCGGTGATCATCAAGAGGGGCCTGGGTGCAATCATTTCGTTGAAATGAAAGGCATCAAAGTTCGCCATGATATCCCAACTCCTCGGGAGACAAGTGTTAGTGGCTCGCGGATGATACGCCCTTGGTGTGCGATAGTAGTTGGCCAAGTCCTTGAACGGCTCAGGCAGATCGGCCGGTACGTCTTCGATTTTCTCTGGCAGAAGGTGAACTATAGGAACTTTTTCACCGCCGACATCGCTGTTGCGGTCCTTTGCCGCGTTTTCAAGCTGACCTTGCAAGATGGACATATTTGAGGTGTCCTTTTCGAAACCTCGACGGGCCATGGTGCCGACGCACACGGCAGCGACGGTGGCACATGCTTTAATGCGGAGATCTGTCTGCGTGGCAAACGGTGCATAGCCACCAGATGCGCAGATACCTAGCACTCCGATCTTCTCAGGGTTGACTTCTTTGCGCCCGATGAGGAATGTGACCGCGGATTTTATATCTTCGACCCGCTGATAGGGGTCTTCTAGGTTTCTGGGCTCGCCCTCCGATTCTCCTTGATATGCAGCGTCGAAGGCGAGACAGAAGAAGCCAACTTGACTGAGCAAGCGGGCGTAGTTTGCTGGAGATTGCTCTTTAATGGAAGTCCATGGGTGACTAATGACAATAGCGGCTCCAGATCTGTCTGGAGAGCCTTGCGCAGGGTGATAGAAATGCGCAGCGAGTTTCAGACTGCACGACGGGAACGAGACATTCTCAGGGGATGTGGTTGGAACCATTGTGTTTTCTTTCTTGCTCTTTGGACTGTCTGGGGCTTTCGAATTGGCGATCTTCGTGCTTTGGGCATGATCCTGCAGGTGCCACGGTTCTTATATTATGTGCCTCACGCCGGTCTCCAACCACTTACACGGAAATGGGAGACAAGGCAATTAAAACCGAAACCTTCGAGAGCAAGCAATGACACCTCAGTCCCCATGATGTCATTCTATGCCAATACGAGGCAATTTCAGCAGGTGGCTTCGCCCCTTACACGAGTCCATTCGAGGCAGATCGAAGATCTGCAACAACAGAGACGACAAGGACTTGCGAATAGACCGCGAAATATCTACGAGGTGGAACCCTCCTCGTCCGAGTGAGGGTCCTCGATTCAGGCCCTGGCGACAATTGTGTGCTAGTCCGATGTCCCGATGCGCTAGTCCGAAAGTCCCTCGGACCTGAAGCCCAAGTTACAGGTCTCCCTATTGGCCATCCCCAACCTTGACCCACTTGTATCTCCGTCGTGGTCTTCTGGGGGTTGCAACTGCACCGGCCGCAGAGAACCAGTGTAGACCGAAAACACAATCTTGCACATGCTATATATATTTCTTCTTGTAAATCCGTGGTGCTCACAGTTCTCCCCAATCGTCAGTGACGAAATTCCACCAACATCATCCATCTGCGAATTACTTCTACCATGTCTGCAATCTCCATCGAAAAAGGCCCCCTCCAGCTGGCCGGCCTTTTGTTCAGACCCTCTGTGAACGCTTCGGCAAAGGGACCTGCCGTTGTTGTTGTCCACCCTGGCGGCGGTGTCAAGGAGCAAACAGCGCAACTTTACGCCAAAAAACTTGCCGGAGAAGGCTTTGTCGCTGTCTGCTATGACGCCTCCTACCAGGGCGAGAGCGGAGGAGAGCCTCACTTCCTGGAGGATCCCGCGGCAAGAGTCAGCGATGTCTGGGCGGTGGTCGACTATCTTCAACGTCAAGACAACGTTGACCCTGAGAAAGTCGCAGTTCTGGGGATTTGTGCTGGAGGTGGCTACGCTGTGGCTGCTGCAAAGGCGGATCAGCGCCTCAAAGCCGTTGCCACCGTCAGTATGGTAAACATCGGCGACTCGGCTCGTTTAGGTTGGTACGGCGACGAGGATCCTTCGCAGCACGTGGATTCATTGAAGAAGGCGGCTCAACAGATCACCGCCGAGGTCACCACGGGCGCCGAACGTGCCGCTGCTCCGTACGTGCCACCACAGCCCGACGAAAAGACTCCGTACGATCTGAAAGAAGCATACAATTACTATCTCACTCCGAGATGCCAGCATCCACGAGCGGCGAATAAGATGTTATACGACAGTTTTCCGCGCGTCCTCACCTTCGACGCCTTCCATCTCGCAGACATCTTTTTAAAGCAGCCGACTTTACTGATCGTTGGTGAGGACGCAGGCTCCAGATGGCATACGGAGAAGCTGGACAAATTGGTTGGTGGTGTGACCAAGAAAATTGTGGTCTCTAAAGGCACTCACATGGACTTTTACGACAAACTTCCATTTGTTGACCCTGCGGTACAAGATATTGCAGCATTTTTCAAGGAACATTTGCCTTGAGACAAATAACAACTTGTGTGTTAATAGTGGGGTCAGGGATAGAGTCTCAATCCAGCATCAGTTCTCTTCGTCACCTTCTTTGATCCCTTAAGGCTCCAAGCTAGGCCAAGGCAAAACACTTTAGGTGCTTTACTCAAAGAACTGAATTTGATTCCAAACAGTGTTGTACTCCAGAGCGGCTGCGTCAACGGTTCCGCCTATCTGGACAGTTTCTGTGGGATCTGTATTCGGTACGTCGGGGATCTCATTGATCATGCTCAGCCAGTACGTCTCGTCAAAGTCTGTGGTCCACGGACCAAGATGTGGAGATGGCTGAACGGCAGTTGTAGCCACAAATCCCGCATCCGCAGTTGTGTCAAAAGTCCAACCACTTTGCGACGAATTTGGCTCACTTGATATTGGAGGACTCGATGCGGAGCATCCGCTAGGTAAAGATATTGGAGCGTTCGATACCGACTCTTGCTGGTTATGCTGTTGGTATTGCTGATGCGGCGGACGTGGCCGCCTTTCGGACAAGCTATCTTTCACCACGTCGACTTCAAACTCCTGCTCGAGATTTCCAAGGTCGGTGGCCGTGGCCTTTAGAGAATCCAATGTGGCAGTATTGCACTCCAGGCGCTTCCGTAGAACATGATAACACTGTCCAAGGATAGTGAGACCAGAGCGTGCAATTGGGCTGTATGAATGCATTGCACTCAGTCTATTTATAGCTTGGTGCAAGACATAATCGATCTTCACCATGACCTCGCTGTCCTTTTGTGGTAGATACCTAGCCGCCATAACCGAGAGCAACAGCGATGCGTCGATGGTGTAGAAGGACAGTCCAAATAGCTTATATTGGTGTGGCCTGGCCATCATAAATGATCGATGCTGTGAGTCTAATATCACGATCGCAGCTTGTAATGCGGCGCGCCGTGCCTCGGCCCGGTACTTCATGTGTGGACGGTGTATTGCTATTAGCATTAGATTGGCTTTGGTGAGAATGTCCTCTCTCTGTTGGCGTAGGTATGGGTATTGATTGTCCCATGATAAGTTGGGGTGCTCATGTCGAAGCGTCAGTGGCAGCCGGTTCATTATACGGTTCACCTGGTCATGAAGTTGTTCAACGATGGAGTAATCCTGTAGATAAGATCTATCGGCTTTCAGCGCTTTCATAGTATGCCACACACTCGAGAGTCGGTACAGGAATAGATTGTTGGACACAGTGTTAGGCCTGTCTCGTCCCACAATAGCTTCTTGAGTGCCCGGGGCACAGGTGGATGGATCTTGTGGGATATTGCACTCAGTTGGCTCCTCCACGTCGCAATCATCGGGATGGATAGCCCTGGGGCGACCAAGTATCATTGCAGTCAAACTGTCGGGATCAGAAAGTCAGTAAGAGCATGCTGATAACCACGCCGAAACTCACGCGTCCCATGTACACAAGTTCATCCACAGCCGTCGCTTATACTCTTCGTACCACATGCGGCTAAGTGTTGTGCCAGGAGTACTCAAACCTTGTTCGTGGGCATTTTTGTGGCGATGAAGCTCGAGCTCTTGTGCGGATCTGGTTGTCTGTCAGTTTGCAAACGACGGGATCAATTGTGTGCAACTCCACCGGATTGCATTTCCTATGCTACGCCAAGCTTCTACACCCTTTCCAATGTTCTTCAACCAAGATGCCCTTAGAAAATCTGCTTGAACTGTTGTAAGAGCCACATTTTCTCTTTGGGCCTGGATCATCAGCTCCTCCCCAATGTCACTGTATTTCTGGCACAAATTCATATCGGCCTGCGATAAGAATTCCCAGACAGGCGAGTTGAGCGGTAGACCCTGTATCGCCAGGCCCAAAACCTGGAACAGTAATGCCGGAAAGTAGTAAAGCTCTCTCGCGAGTTCTTCATAGCTGAGGTGCGACAAGGTCTCAACATTGGTTCCATACCAGCAGATAACTAAGGAGTCAAAGTATTGCTTTTCGAGAATGAAGTACTGCCAGTTGACTTCGTCGAAGAAAACTTCCACTAGCTTGATTGTGGCCACCCTGGAAGGAAGTCGGGTATTGGCCGCACTTGATGTGGCAAATGCTTCAGACTGGTGAAACGGGTGATGATGAGCGCGCGGAACGGCGTCAAGCCCATTCTCTTTCTGGAAAAGCTAGCGCTCATCAGTTAATAGCTAACCTGAATATTTCTTTGGTAGAATAGAGAGAACGCCTACCTCTTTGAAATCCACCAAGGCGTTACTGCCGGCAGTAGACGAGTAGCCCAGATCGGCCGCCTGTGGCTCTACTGCTGTAGTAAATTCAGGTGTTCCATCTGGTGGTGCTGGTGCTTGCACGATCCGGGTGCCGATTGCCTCTTCCGTAGTGCCTGATCTATCAGCAGGTCAAAATGATCGTATGGTCAGCTCTTGATTCAGATTTCCGGCGAACAACGAGCAATCATGTCCATGCCACTACTTACATTCTTGGGTTGCTGTAATGGCATTTAGGAGTAACATTCCGGCCGACACAATTACTGCAGGGCTGCTTGCGATCGCACTATGCCAGTATGTGAGGGCTAGAAAATCGTTGGCAGGGGTTTGATTTGATAAACCTTCTGTTTTCGCCGGTAGCACTCGACGCATGCGTTGGCCGTCTTCCTCTCTTTCCGCATCCGAGGCGAGTTAGAGCGTATAGATGACGGCATATCCATTTGGCTCGTTCGAGCACAGGCAAAATTCAAAGAATGAGCAGGATCAACGAGCCTCCGGACGTTGAAAGCCGGGAAAGCGGGGCTCAGCGGCTTACGTGAAGGCGTCTTCCTGAATTCCGTGCTTGGCAAGCACGTGGAGGACGCGGCCATTCGGCTGGTGGCTTGGCAGCGGAATTTTCAGAACGTTTTTGGATCATCTTCGTACTTTTACAAACCGGAGCTCTAACAATGGAGTGGTGATTTACTAGCAGATACAGTCGCTGTACAAATGGCGCCTAATTTGACAGCTTCAACGCGGCGGGACCTGGCGCGCTTTGCGGGTTCGCTTGAGGAGAAGAAGGTCCGGCTTCTCGCGAGAGCTGCGCACGCCGATGAGAGGAGGGATGTTACGTTTCCTGCTGTAACCACTTGTTGACATAATTCAAGTTGCATCGATTTTCGGACCATTTACCGAGGTCCTTCCAGTTCAATGGCATATGTTATAATTCTTTCAGAAATGACTGTATTTCAAGCCCATCGCCATGTTCTGGGCCAAGCCATATATAGGTGTATCCGGCCTTCGCAAAGATAAAAGACATTAATTCGACATGCTGACCGCGCTCGAAATTTTTCTGTGCATCGATATATAGAGAGTCGCACTAGTGCCGGTGACGAGTATTATGTGTCTCTGTAAGCACAGTCCAGAAATATAGAAGTAGATTAGGCCTAATAGAGGTCTGTATTCCATTTAAGTAGATAGATGTGGTCGCTGTCACCATATAGGCGCGTTGCATTCGTAGGATATTGCAATATATAGCGGCGGATCGTGCAAGGAAACATGCTTGTGTTCGAAAAATAAACGAAATGGTGCAGGTTGTTTGTTGCTTTTCTCACGTTTGACGACTCTCAATGATCTTGTCTGCTGTTTGTGCAAGTCCAAAGGTTGGAAAAGGCACACGGGAGATCTGAAGTCACAGATATCAGGTGCATTCATTGAGGCTTAGCGTGTCAGGTTGCAGATTATGCTGCACGGTCAAGAGTGTTTCGTTAGGATGGAATAGAAAAAGGTGGTTTGCCGAAGTCGCAATTGCGGGATGGCTGAGATCAAACACGACAGGGGGAAAGGCGTCGCGAGTTTGCTGGCTGAAGAGGACAGCGGCTGGCCGAAGTTGCGCCCCTGCGCCGGCATCACCCGTGACCCAATGCCTCTTCCGAGGACGAAGTAGTTTGCATCCATTCCTATCGAACTAGAATTGCATGCTGTAGAAATTTGAGGTTTGAACCTCTGTTTTGTGAGAGTTTTAGTTTGCAATTAGGAGCCCGATTGCGCTTCTGAGGGGACTTTCATCCGGCCCTTGCGGTACCTCGCCATAGAACTATGCACCAAATTGGAGGAGCGGCTCCTCTGAGGAAAACTGCTGCAACACTCCACAAATTCAGCGAACCGTCAACTATGATTTAGCACTTACCGGTGCAGTTTCCGACGAGCTCGAATGGAGCAGATAGATGTGCCTTTGTGGAGATTGTGGGTTTTGCGAATCCATAGCAGTCAAAGGGCTTCAGCCATTAAGATGTCGAACAAGGCATCGTAGCATGCTTCATCACCCATGGGCGATCAATGGATTTTCAACGTGATTCGTCGAGCTCAGCAGAGACTTCGCCATTCAACAGCCATTTAATCCTATCTTCTGCATCCTTGTCAGAAGTGTTCCGAAATGCATTACCTTCAGCAATATCCATTGCCGAACCAAATCGCCCTTGCATTGTCGGACTCGCACCATTATGCAATAAGAACCGGACAGAGTCCTGGTGCTTCAACCATACAGCTGTTTGCAGTGGATTACCATACACGCCTGGACCCTGGGCATTGATATCAGCACCGTGTTCGAGGAACATTCTACTCATCTCAATAAAGTGAGTGGCATGTCGTGCTGCGGCTGTCATCACGTTACCATAGTGTCCGCACTGTGCATTCACATCGGCGCCGTGTTTGAGCAGCAATATAACGTTGTCTAATCTGTAGTTTGCCGTAGCCGTTTGAAGTGCGCAGCCGTAATGGCCACCAAGCCAATTGACATCGGCACCTTTCTCGAGCAGTACTTTGAGACAGTCGTGATTGCGTGATCGAGCAGCGGCAGCGCATAACGCATTTCCGCAAAACCCTACGGCAGCATCGATATCATCCACAACGTCAGCTAGGATCTGGACCACATCAGAATGGCCTTCGTTTGCAGCGAGGTACAAAGCCTCAGCAGTGGGCATGATGCCCTGATCGAGCAGTTCTTCGACTGCTCTCAATTCTCCGCGTTCAGCCAGTTTGGATAGTTCCGATGCATTCTTTTTAATAGTTCTGTCCTCATCGAACGAGACGAGAATTGCCGATGGGAAAGAATGCGCCATATATCTGGCAGTTGCCTCAGACGAAGTAAGTCGTCCAGTAGTTGCATATGACCCAGGTATGATCGCAGATGCCTGTTTTATCAGTTACTATGGCTCGAAATGGTACAATTGAAGGCAACTTTCCTGATTCAAGTTTTGAGCATGGCTGTGTAGCACCCTCATGGCCTCGAGTTGATGGCTTTTCCTTGCGATTCTGGCAGGTAACTCGTCCAGGCTATTTCTGATGAAGCAATTTGCGCCATGATCGAGGAGGTGTTTGACTATGGCGGCATTTCCATATTCCGCCGCGCAATGCAGTGGTGTGGAGCTACTTTTGTCCGCAAGATTCGGATTGGCACCTTGATTGAGAATCCTCAACGCCAGCTCGCTGTCGCTTCTTCCTGAAGCGAAATGTAACGGCGACTTTCCTCGTATATCACATCCATTTACGTCCGCCCCCGCGTCAAGAAGCCGTAGCGCTATGTCGGCGTAGCCATACTGGCAGGCAAGAAGTAATGCTGTTTCGCTTTGCGAGTTGCTTGTGTTGAAATCTGCGCCTTTGTCGATCAAACGCTCGAGCGCTCTAATGTTTCCAGTAGCAGCTGCTCGTAACAAAGCCTCATTCCGGAGTGATGCGGCCGTTTTCACAGCAGCGGATTCATCTTGGGGCTCTATAACCAGCGCCGGAACCCACGAGCCTGCAAGGGCTGCACTTTTATGTTGAGCGATATCTCTCAGCTCGCTCAAGATATTTCCCATGCCTGGACTGGCAAATGATGGGTGTTTGCAGATTTGGCGGTGATCATGGTCAAGCAGTGGTATTAGCCTCCCATACCGGCCGCTGTATTCGTCGACTAACTACACAACATTAGCAGAAGAAAGCATAGATAGGACTTTGGGACACAACCATATTCGACATGTCGGGTAAGAGGGATTTTTCGATGAAGGAACTAAGATGGATGCCCTGGACACATTTACGAAATTGATCTTCCAATTCGGAAAGACCCTCAGCAATGTTCCGCAGTGATTCCAGCAACGTTGTTCGAAAATTTTCCATAAGCTTCTCGGCTGGAGTATGAAAGACAATCGCATCAGCCATTTGACACAAGACTGCTTCGTAGTCTTGGGTTCTCGCCCCGGCACGTGGAGTGCTAAAGAAAAGAATGCCGCAGATGGCTTCCTGAAGAGATCCAAAGATACCTCTCTCATTATTCGCCAGCAGTAGTGCCTATATCGATAGGTCAGTATGGGAAAGCTCGAGTGTGCTCGAAGCACGAACTTGTTTAACAAGAAGTCCGCCCATACCGTGGCACACGAACACAACCTTTCGTTTTTGCTCCTACCACTCGTCAGCATCTCAGTGCGAATGAAGTGAAATGTGTCTGGGCAACGTAGGCAGCTTACTGCATAGCTGGGCCTCGCTCGTTTGATGAGATACAGGAGATACCTGGCGTGATCGTTGAGGCCCTTTAGACCGCCCGAAAAGGCCATGCCGGATTCATATCCAAAGGTGTAAACTCTGACACCAGACAACTCCTCGTGAAGGCGCTGTAGCCAATTGAAACCATTCTCATGCTGCCAAGTCCGATAGGGATCACCCCCTAGACCGTGAACGGCGACTATGTCGACATCTGATCCGTACTGCAAGGCTTCAGAAGTCCTGCTCTCAGGCACATACATGCAAAAGAGCCCACCCTGTTCGCTACGAGGACGCACTTGATCGAATTCGTCCGAGCTCTCCAGCTGAAGCAAGTGATTGATTTGCGACTGTGTAGGCTCGTCCATCAGTGCTATCCGACGACGAAAGGAAGGGCCTAGGGGGCCAGCCATATCTTTCGAATCCAAGACGCAGATGATTTGTTCAATCAACGCGCAGGTTTAACAAAAGTAAAGAACCTCAGTTGTGGGGAAAACGAGTACCCAGGCTCGACGAATTGAAGAGAAGGTCTGAGCGACCAGAAACTTGTCTTATCATTGAAAGTGTACTTGTTTGTCTCGCGGGGAGGAAGAAGAAAGGAGGGGAGGTGGTGTCGCCACGCTAAGGCTCAGCCAGCACAGCCATGCAGGTCCTTGGCCCCCGCGACACGAGGTTGCCTGAATGCTGACCACGGAGTCCAAGAATGCATGACGTGGCCTACACGCATTACCTTCTCGAACACCTATCTCACACGCGTTCTCCTTTCGCGAGCAACATTCTGCTATCATTATGCGATTCCTGGCCGTTCTTGTTCAAACACAGTGTATGTGTCTCTGAGGCTCCGCTCTCCAAGACGAAAATTGCATTCAATTCGCCCGCCAATACGCGAGGGAAAGAAGTTCAGCACGCTCGTCCAACAGATGCCATGATACAGTCACTTCCATCAGACGTTTTGCTATTCATCCTTCGATCGGTCCAAGAGATCCCGGAGTCGAAGTGGCAGATCATTCAACTAGCCTTCATCATACGCATCTCCAATGGATCGTTTACCTCCTTCTGGTCGAGTTTGACCCAAAGTCCTAAGGCTCCGTTCATACCCCGGATGAACAGAGCTTTTGTTCTGCCAGCAGCTTCCCTCGGCGCTCAGTGCACTACCATTTTACTGATGTGGAGACTGTTTCGCAGACGGCAAATACATTTGTCCTCACCCTGGAAGGATGTCGATATCAACTACATTTTGCAACTTCTTCCCACGTGGTCCGCTTTCCGAGGGCTCCATTCTCTTATGGTGAGGCTTGGGCCTCAGCGGGGCTCAGTCATTCGTGCCAAACCGTGGCATTTCAAGCAGACGCTGATATTGATCTATGCCGGATCCGTTCTGTGGGCAGCCACAAAGAGAGGTGGCCTTGAGGCGGTTTTCGCTGAGGTCCACAGCGGAATCCAGGTGGATCTTTATCACCTGATGTGGGAACAAGCCTCAGCTGCTTTGCAGCAACATTACAAGAGCCTCATTCCAGCGCTGGATTATCGTCACAACCCTCGCTTTGCGTGGGCTGCGGTCCTCCAAGCTTACCCTCTCCTGCTACTAAAAACTTTACCTTGGACGAAATCTAGCTCACTCGTGGCAGTGCTTTTTTACACAGTTCCTGTTACGTCTGTGGCAACCTTGCTTCTATTTGCTGCATATGGGCATGACCCAGCCTACCTCAATGCGTCAATTCTGGACAGAGGAGTCTTCGACGGGCGCACGTCGGTCTTCTGTGAGACTTGTAATAACACTGCCATATCCTCCTCAGAAAGAGATTACCTGCGCGATCAACAACACCATCTCACAACGGCGAGCCTACAGCGATCGGCAGAAAGTGGGTGCCGCATTTGTGCAGTTCTCTGGGAGCGAAGGACTCGCATTCTCAAAGACTTCGTCAAAGACCTCAAATATTGGGAACCAGCCACTACTTATGCATGGCGTCATGACTCTCTTATATTCAACTTCAAACATGATTGTCTTCGGGCTCAAGAATGCCGCTTTCGGATATGCAAGGCCCAAGGTCAGTGAACTGCGGATTTTACCCCATCGCGTGTTTAGTTGACGTATTGCAGAGCTTGACCGCGACACCGATGGACAAGAAGCGCAGGACACACCGCGTCTACTTCTTCTGCCTGAATTATCAAATCATACTGGATGCGATGATACCTTGAGTCTAGCTGCCAAATGGCTGCAGAACTGCCTCATCTACCACGGCGTATGCAACAAGAACCGAGTCCTCGCTTTTAGGCCATCGCGTCTCCTACGGCTGGGAGACGACAAGATTTCAATCCACCTCGCTGAAGACATGCCCAAGAGAGTCTCTTATCTTACGCTCAGTCATTGCTGGGGCAAGTCGGATACCATCAAACTCCTCTGTTGTAATCAAGCTGCTTTTCGAACCAACATAGCATGGGATGATTTGCCCAGGACTTTTCAAGACGCAGTAAGTCTCACAAAGCGTCTTGGTTTCTTATACCTCTGGATAGACAGCCTGTGCATTATTCAAGACTCGCCTGAAGACTGGGACCGCGAGGCCAAGCTCATGGGGAACATATACAAAAATGCGGTGTGCAACATCGCAGCGTCGGGTGCATCCGACAATTCTCAAGGCTGCTTTTTCTCCCGCAACCCGAACACCTTACAACCTGCGATACTGCCATCTAAGTCTCAAGAGGAAGAATATCTTATTAATGAGACTGACATATTCGACGACCATATCCTGTATACTCGAGCATGGGTATTGCAAGAAGCGTTGCTTGCTCGACGAACGCTCGATTGCGGTCGAGGACAGTTATTTTGGCGTTGCGGCGAGATGAGAGCGTCGGAAGTGTTTCCTAGTGGTGTGTCTCGCTATATCTTACATGAGAGACATCCCGCATCGAACTTCGGATTCAGGACCTCCGATGGAGAGGCTCTGATCCTCGACGTTAATATTCTAGAAGGACGGCTTCGGGACAAAAGTCAGATATTCCAGCTTCCCACCGCGCCAGGAAAGGCGTCGATTACAACAAGCCCAAATGATTCAACATTCGGGCTTTGGGCGGTCATAGTGGGCTACTACACAGAAATGAAACTGACGAAGGACGCAGATCGGACAGTAGCGCTGTCTGGTATTATTGACATTTTTCGCCCATTCTTTGGTGCGCATTCCCACGGCCTTTGGCATATTTTCATGCCGGTTGAGCTTCTATGGACTGCAAAGGGTGCCACAGCACGCCCGTCGATTCAGCGAGCGCCAACCTGGTCATGGATGTCTCTTGAAGGGCCGATGACCTACGCAGACTGCAAATTCAAGTACGGTGTTGACATTCTGGTCACTCAATTTATCAGCATCGAGACAAAAGAGCACGAGACACAACTCCGCTTAACTGCTCCCTTGTTGCGCGCTACTTGGAGAGTGGACGAAGCAACAAAGCCACGGAAGTCTGCTGTTATCTCTAGTATAGAAAGCAACGATCAACCAGTCATGTTCATGGAAATGCGCATTACAACAGGATCATGCGGCAATATTTACTTTGACCACTGGGACGAGGAAATGCCCGTGAAAAACATCTTTTGTATACCAATAAAGGTTGACAAGGGCCAATATTCGTGGATCAATCTTCCAGACATAACTGGCTTAGTGCTGCACGAAGTGCGAGACGACGTGTTCATACGTGTAGGACACTTTGATGCCTGCATGAAAACATGGATGCCATTGTTACAAAAGGCCGAAAGACGCGAAATCATCGTTATATAACGCAGGAAGGGATTTGTTGCTACCAGGATGACGCTTCTTGCATTCGCAATATCTCTATATTTGATGGGTTAAGTGTGAATCATTGGTGTTCAGGGGTTCTTGGGCATGGAATCAAGCTTTTATCTGGACCTACACTGGCGGACTGGGGTTTCCGACTCTTTCACTGTCGGCCTCTTCGTATCCACAATCTACGGCCCCTGCCAGGGAGATATATTGCAGAGCGCTAACTCCCAGACAGACTGCTATGACGGCCGACGACTGAAGAAAAGGACGAAGGTCCATGGAGAGTTGTCGACGAGAAGTTGTTGGTGTCTGGAGCCCTCGATCTTCGGGAGTTATGCTCTTATTCAAGAGACCCATTTGTCGAGCTTTTCGATGGGATACAAGGTGACTTAGGCGTCAAAATCTCACAGAAACTATAGGTAGGGTGTTCCTCCATGAGACCTTGTGCATTAGTTTCTCCCCAGCGTCGATATAGTTTACATCTATCATGATTAATCTAGCATATTACACGTTAGAGAAGCGAGGTGTAAACCTCTTTTTTGGGAGCCACTTGATCTACGAACAGGAGCCTCACTACGATCCCGGGGTACAGTATCGTTGATCGAGAGTGGAGGAGCCGGATTGGAATGAGGAGCCAGGCTTGGACGAACTTGAAGGACTTCCTGACTATTATATATATCTCTCCAAAAGCACCTGAGGGATAACTAAGTTTGTGATAGTTTTGCTCTGAGTTCTTGTAGTAAATTCTAATACGGGAGCTTGGCTGAGCCAAAAGGATCACGGTCTTCTGTGGCTCCAAGAGCTTCGACTGGGGCGCCGTCGAGACTCTCTACCTCAAACTCAAGACCTTTGAAGACACGAATTGGTTCGCACACCACGAGTTCCACATGAAGGAGATGCAGAGCAACGCTGGCGTCATCATCTGGCAGCAGGCGCACTACCAACATCCGGACACGCCGCCCGCGCCTGCAGACATTGATCGAGATCTTCCGTAACTGGCAGTGCATGGACGTCCGCGACAAGGTATTCGCCTTGCTGGGCATATGCTCGACTACACCCTGTCGCCGCGAGAAGTGTATTTCGCCACGATGGACGCGGTCGAGGACGACGAGGAACAATTTGCCAACATGCTGTACCAGCTGCTCGGCCTGAACGGCGCGTGATGTTGGATTGTATGACTAACCCCTGTACGTAACCCTTCTTATTCCCATGGTTGCCGCCTGACACTGTTCCTAACCTTTCCCTCCTAGGATCGAATACAAGGCACAACCCCTCGAGCGGTTAGTGCTGAAGTCACGGACGGAGTACCGTTGGTGACGACGCGCGTTTACGAAAGGGAAAACATGCACCGAGGATGTACCCTTCAAGCCGCGCATGTCTTGAGTATTGTAAATTAGAAAGACTCGTGGAAGTAATTTTAGTCGCTGTGTTTGTGCAATACCAACATTGCTATGGCGAGTTGAGCTGATGCTTTTAGGCACTCTCATGGAGAGAATAAATAGTAGAGCAGGGCGAGAGATCCGAGAGGTTCACTGGACTGTGGTGTAGAATAGGTATCCAGGTCTCAGTATACAAGTAGACATTAGGGCAGACGGCTAGCCTCGCCAACTAGTTGATACTACGAGATACTTAAATACTTGTCATTGAGAACGCGTAGAGTAGTCGCTGCTTCTATTGAGACGCGCGCTCAGCGGCCAATGAACAGCGTTGTATGATAAAAGTAGATATAAGCGGCAACAAGTGTGGCCGAAGCCAGAACCTTATAGCTGGTTGCTGAGGCAGCGGAAGAACGTCACTCACCTCTCAACCCGACCCCCTCTTTGGCGGTAGTCTCACCACTGATAATTACAACTTCATTCCGAACAACATCTCTAGAAAACGTCTGCCTGTCTCTGTATAATTGCCTTGGGTTCACTCTATCACTTCCACAGGTCATCCGCAGAACACATCAGCTTGCGCCTCAAGATGCCCCGAACCCGCAAATCCGCCACTCGGCCCAGCCACTCTCTCCAGTCCACCCTCTCATTCAACAACAAGTCTGCGCGGGTGACGAAGCCGGGCGCAAATGCGCAGCGAGACGAGCACAGCGCTTCGGCGAAGAAGCTAGCCGAGGTTGCCGACGACGGGTTGAGAACGGAGCCGGAGGTGGCAGAGGTGAAGAATGAATCAGCTCCCGAGGAAATCGAGGAGGAGGAAGACGCACGAGATCTGAAAACGGAAGCAGATCAAGATATAGAGCCAGACGCAAAAGAGGAGGAGGAAGAGGAGGCGTCGCTCAAAGCGAGGTCCAGAAGGAAGCACAAGGCCAAGGTTGCTGCAGGCAAGGACGACCGTGAACTCGCGGCCGAAAAGGTCACGGATGCGCAGCTGAAGAAATACTGGCAGGCGGAAGAGGACAGTCGGCTTGCTCCCAGAGGTATGTCCCCGGTTACAACATGTGTTTCTCACTTCTCGCCTGTCCCTGAGTACTGTTGATCCTCTCGCCCTTGCATTGTCTTTTCCATCCCAAAACAACGACATTGTCCCCCATCCATGCGGCATCTCCATGACAACTCCACATGTTTGGAGATTCCTAAAGCTGATCGTGTTCCGCGGGGCAGTGCACCAATCCGACCTCTCCATCCACGAAAAGATCCTGCGCCACTTCGACCTCTCGTCGCAATACGGCCCGTGCATCGGCATCCCTCGCCTCCAACGCTGGCGGCGCGCAAACGCCCTGGGACTGGAGCCGCCCGTCGAAGTCCTCGCCGTCTTGTTGAGGGAACAAGACCACACCAAGAGCCAGGGATGCGGCAAGATGGCCTACATTGACGAGTTAAGTGGGGGGCGGGTTGTTCTGGTGGAGTAGACGTGATCTGGACGATGTCAGACGATACGACGGACAGCAAAAGCTACGGAACTCCACAGTTTCAGGCTAACAAAACATGGGCATGTTGTGCTGCATTGGGAGTTCAGCCATGTTGTTTCGACCAGATCAGCTACAACACTGAAACTCTGGGCCTGGGCTTGTCTAATGAAAAGCAGTGGCTGGCTGGGGGATTGCGGTCATGTCGGGACTCAAGACCTGCGATGAGGATGACCGCAAAAGATGCCACATATGTGATTGCAAGGGTGACGTGAAACCCAGATCGTTGTTTATGACACTCGATCTATGTACAAAATGGCTTCACGGAAAGGAGTTCCAGGCGTGCGTGCTTTGCTTCATTTATGAGGACTGCGCTAGAACACAAGCACTTGAAACATGAAGCAACAGGGTTGAAATGTCTTGACTTTATACTAAGAAATGTGATCACGCGCCGGAGCAAAGATTTGCTTGAAGCAGAATGTCATTACCGCCTCGGTCTAATGTTGTTCTTTACACAAAGTCGCTTGCTTGGCCATCTACTCGAGTCGCCATGACCTCTGCTGCATGACGTGAAACGACCGCTGAACTGTTGTCGTACACGGCATCCATGCACATAATGCTTCCTCTTCCAACAAGGGTCGCCAAGTTGAACTCCGGTAAAGAAACATACCTAGCCTGCAACCGCTCTTTTCCCATCGCCCGCCCCCATGCCAATCCATCGTCAAAAGCGTCGTAGTGATATCTTGGTATGCTCTAGATCAAAAGACACGGAACCATCAAAAAATCATGTTCTTATCTAAGCACCAAATTCGGGGACCGTCGAAGTCTTGCCAAGGAGAGCCAACGGTACGATACCAGAGACGTGCATCTCTGGGCCGTAAACGTGCATGTCCAACTTCAGCTCCTCACCGACGGACTTGATGTTCTTGAGACCTTCCTGGTAGTTGGGGCCGGCGCGACGGACCCAGATTTGAACCTTGTGATCGTTGAGGACAGGGGCCACCTCCCTGAGTGCGCGGATCACACCCTTGAACGTTGAAGCGACGTTTGTGAAGTTGGCAATACCGCCACCAATGAACAGAACCTTGCCATCAGGGTGCGTGGGTGCTCGGAGCATCAGATCGAGAACAGTTCTCGCATAGTTGTACGTCTGAGTCTCAGTTGGGGCGCCGGAGTATTCACCGTAATTGGCCAGTTCGCTGACAAAGCCGGCGGAGGCAATAGCGTCGGCGTAGACCACCGAAGCACCACCACCAGCAACCAAAGTCCAGATGCGGCCCTTGGCATTGAGAACGGTCAATTTGAGCGAAGCACCAGTCTTCGCATCCATGTCCGCGATGTACTTCTCTTCTTTGCTGAGCTCACGGCCAAAGGGCGCAGGGAACTCCATAGGCGGGCCAACGTCGATGGTGACCTTTCCGTCGGTCTTGACTCCGGGCAGACCAAGAGCAGCGGGGCTTCGGGCAATAGCCCATTTGACACCGCACTCAAAGTCGGCTGTTTGATCGAGTTTGGCGGCAAGATCAAGGAAGTGGACTTCGGCGGAGGTGCCTGCAGCGTTGGGGATGACGACCAGGGGGTTGATTTCGAGGTAGGTGAACTGGCAGTCCACGTACACCGAGTACAGTCGAACAATGAAGTCGATCAGCACATTGTGGACACCCTTGGGCACGTCGGGCAACAAAGTTGCAGCCAGCTCTTGGTTCGAAGGGAACTTCTTCAGATCGACTGGGATCAGGATCTTCTTGGCCTTTGCGTCAACATCGCCGACATCCACACCACCCTCGTGGGTGAAGAGGATCCAATCGCCCTGATGGTCGCGGTTAGCCCATGTACTGATGCAGGTCATGCATACGATTGCTGCCACTTACATCTCGCACGGAGTTGATGTTGATGTAGTATTCAGTGTCTTGGGGATGAGGGACAAAGGGTTCGACGAGGAACTGGCAAAGAGTCCCCGTGACGTGCTCGACCTTGACGTCCTTGCGGGCTCTCTCCTCGATCCATTTTCTTGCTTCGGCCCACGGCTTGTTCAAGGCCAAAAGGCCACTCTTTCCTCTTCTCTTGATCAATTGATCTGGCTTTGCAACGAATTTAGAGCCTGGCTGGAGGAGCCAAGGATAGGTGGCTTCAGCTTGGTCCAAAACCGTTGACACTGCCTCGTCTTCAGGGAAGAAGATGGAAGCCAACTTGGGAGGAGGGTTATGGACACCAGAAGCCTTCAAGGGAGTAGGCTTGATGACAGGAGCACGGGTCAGGTGGTAGTTGAGAATGGCCTTGCCGTCGGCCTCGAGAATGGACTTTGCTGACATTGTTGCGGCGGTGAGGTGAGGGGTAAGAGTAGGACGGGCTCAGGGGAAGCAGTCAGTTGGCACAAGTTGTCCTGGCTTTTTGAGATAGAAGAGAAATCTAAGAGCAAGAAGACAGCAAAGACAATTGACAAGAAAATCAAGTCTGAATTGCCGAATGGAAAGTGCGAATGTCGAGTTGTAAGGAGAAACAGTATGGACAGCTGGGGGCCAGATTTCACTGCTTCACACAGTTTACTGTTGGTCTTCGGAGGGATACAATTGCTGCCCTTGACTTTTTCGGGTGGATCCCCCCTAGGGCCCTGGAGTGTGGGTTGTTGGGAGCAGGGGTAGGGGTGGTGGGCGTGGGCTACCAGGCTAGGCGTGCTAAACTTATCGAGGGGCATCTCAGCATGCGTTTTAGGTGTGGAGCTAGGGCTGCTAACCCGCGCCAACGCCAGGGACAAACCGCCCGCCATGGCCGTCGCCTCGACTCCATGGTGTTTGACCGACAATCCCCAACTGTCGGTCACCGCCAAAAAAAATATTGACCCTGTGACGTTGCTCCTGGAGTTCTCTACTGGCGACTGAAGAAAAGTCCATTGCCGAACTGCCACCAGAATGCCTTCGTCGGCTGGTTCTCAACCACCTCTCTGAAGCTGTGGATCAAGGTTACACAAACACCGAAAAATGGTGACTATCAACAGCAAATTTCCAGTTGGCTCAGTTTCGAGCACCGATTGAGCGTTTTGTTGTAGCTTCGGTGAATCTGGACAGATAGTTGCCCAGGAGGAGGGGCGGGTACGAGGTAAAGGCTGCACAATGCACGGGTGTTCCACCGGGCTACGAGATACGACGTGCGCTTGACACGGGACCCGGACTCCGAATAGTCTGGCACGCGAGAAAGATCTTTTCCTTCCAATCGATAGACAAGTCAATAGTCCTTGAGGCCCGCTCCCTGCAGACTCGGCGGATATGGGTAAAGGGGGCCTCAGCCTCTCCCAGTTCCGGGGGCCCCAAGACGGTTAGGGCCAGCTGATAGTGCACCCGGGCTGAAAGGCTTGTGTGGCGACAGTGGACGAGTGGGCTCTCCATGCAGCAGTCCCCCCCACTAAAAATCTCACCGCCCGGAGAGAATGCTGGGCGATAGCGGGATGTGCTGGACGTGGCGGGCTTGTTGATGGCGGCACTCAACACAATATTGGGGGCCGCCATTCCTATTTTCGGGCGCCCATCCAGGAGCTTCACACGGTTGGGTCGCGCAGCTAACTAACCGGACCTGCCTCAACAGACGATCCCTAATCCAGTCGCAGCCTCTGTGTGGTCCCTCAGCATCATCTTCGCTCTCCACACTGCGCACTGGCAACCCTTGTTGTGCCCTGAGAAAGTGAACACCATCTCATCCACCACCACCATCGGCTTCACTTCAACTGGCCTCATCTTTTTCTTCTCCTCGTCGGCGATTTTGATCTCTCTGCTCATTTCCATCCGCAGTTTGCTTCAATCTCTCCCTTTTGCCCTACAAACCCAACAACAACCCCTTCCTCCTGTAAGTCTCATTGAAAGTTTCCATTGATTCCCCGAGATCTGCTTGAATCTTTTTCCCCCTTTGCACACCCCTCCTATTATACTCTCCTCGCCAGACGACAGGCGACCAGACACTCTCTCTTGTCTGCCATCATTTGCGCTGTTGTTGTCTCATTCTCAAGTTCTCTACCTCAGCCGCTAACACCATGGGTCTCCCAGTCCGTGAAGATTCCCCTGATAGCATCTCCGCTATGCCTTCTGCTACAGCGGGCGCTGCCAGCAATGGCGTGCCTAAGATTGACATCCCCAACGGCGACAGTCAAGATTCTGATACTCCTTTCTCTGCCAACGACAACATTCGTCGATTTGCTCCTCCCTCGAGGGGACTGAGCCCTTCCCAGAATGCCCTCTTCCACAACAAGACGAGATGCTTCGTCTAGTAAGTGATCCACTGGACAAGATGATGGGCAAATCTGACACCGTCGACAGCGGCATGCAGCCCAAAGCCGTCCAGGGTATGCTGGACTTCGATTTCATCTGCAAGAGATCGACCCCGTCCGTGGCCGGTATCATTTACACTTTTGGCGGTCAGTTCGTCAGCAAGATGTACTGGGGTACCAGCGAGACTCTTCTCCCAGTCTACCAATCCGTGGAGAAAGCCTTCGAGAAGCACCCTGACGTGGACACCATTGTCAACTTCGCCTCTTCCCGATCCGTCTACAGCTCCACTATGGAACTGATGGAGATTCCTCAAGTCCGCAGCATTGCCATTATTGCAGAAGGTGTGCCTGAGCGACGTGCCCGCGAGATCATGATCAAGTCAAAGGAGAGGGGAATCACAATCATCGGCCCCGCCACGGTTGGTGGCATCAAGCCCGGTGCGTTCAAGATCGGCAACACTGGCGGTATGATGGACAATATTGTGGCGTCCAAGCTCTACCGCAAGGGTTCCGTTGGCTACGTCTCCAAGTCTGGTGGTATGTCCAACGAGCTCAACAATATCATTTCACAAAACACCGATGGTGTCTACGAGGGTATTGCAATTGGCGGTGACAGATACCCTGGAACCTCCTTCATTGATCATCTCCTCCGATACCAACAAGAACCAGAATGCAAGATCCTTTTGCTTCTTGGTGAGGTTGGTGGTGTTGAGGAATACCGGGTTATTGAGGCCGTGAAGAAGGGCCAAATTACCAAGCCAATTGTTGCCTGGGCCATCGGAACTTGCGCGAGCATGTTCAAGACTGAAGTCCAATTCGGTCACGCTGGTGCTTCGGCCAACTCTCAGCTTGAAACTGCTGTCGTGAAGAACCAGAAGATGAGAGAGGCCGGCTTCTACGTCCCTGACACCTTCGAAGAGATGCCCAATGTTCTCAATGAGCTCTACCAGAAGCTGGTCAAGCAAGGCACCATCAAGCCTGCTCCGGAGCCAGCTGTGCCCAAGATCCCCATGGATTACGCCTGGGCGCAAGAGCTCGGTCTTATTCGAAAGCCTGCCTCCTTCATTTCCACCATCTCTGACGACAGAGGTCAGGAATTGCTCTACGCCGGTATGCCCATTTCGGATGTCTTCAAGGAGGAAATTGGCATCGGCGGTGTCATGTCTCTTCTGTGGTTCCGTCGCCGCCTGCCTGCCTACGCAAGCAGGTTCTTGGAGATGGTGCTCATGCTGACTGCGGACCACGGTCCGGCCGTTTCTGGTGCCATGAACACCATCATCACCGCTCGCGCGGGCAAGGATCTGATCTCTTCGCTGGTCGCTGGTCTGTTGACCATTGGCTCTCGATTCGGTGGTGCTCTTGATGGCGCTGCCGATGAGTTCACCAAGGCCTTTGACAAGGGCTGGTCGCCCAGAGAGTTCGTTGACACGATGAGGAAAGAGAACAAACTGAGTATGGTACACTCCTAACTCCCCTCCGAATAGTCACTAACTCTATGCAGTCCCTGGTATCGGTCACCGAATCAAGTCTCGCAACAACCCCGACTTGCGTGTAGAGCTTGTCAAGGACTTTGTCCTCAAGCACTTCCCCTCGCACAAACTTTTGGATTATGCTATTGCTGTTGAGACCGTGACCACCTCGAAGAAGGACAACTTGATCCTGAACGTCGACGGTTGCATTGCTGTCTGCTTCGTCGATTTACTCCGAGATGGAGGCTCTTTCTCCGCCGAGGAGGCCGAGCAATATCTCTCCATTGGTGTTCTGAACGGCCTGTTCGTCTTGGGTCGTTCCATCGGTCTCATTGCCCATTACTTGGATCAGAAGAGAGTAAGTTTTCCACGGTTCGCTTTGTGTACACAGATCACTGATGCCCTTTTAGCTGCGTACTGGATTGTACAGACATCCTTGGGACGATATCACATACCTCGTAAGTCTCATCCCTCCTTTTCTCACATAATGCCCGGTCTAACCTGAATCAGCTTCCCACTATTGGAAAGACCCCCGGAAACGAAGGTCGTGTGGAGGTCAGCGCGCAGTCATTGTAATTGTCCGTGCCAGCGTTGGATTGCAAAGCGTGTCAAGGCCACTTTGACTGTCGGGGACCATGACTTTGTTGGGTTCGGCTGGAAGCAACATCTGAGGCATTGGGGTTTCAAGACAGGACCGGGAGTTTATTATCACTTACGAAAGACCATGATGAGGGTACAAAAAGACTCCGAAGATTGGCGGGAGAAATGGCGGGCTCGGTTAGTGTACAGCAGAATGGTCTGGTAGACGGCGGCTGCGGCGCATGCATGTTCTTGTCACCGTTGCACCGCGCAAATGCCCGTATACTACATTTTCTTTGCCAAATTTCCATTTCCTCTGTCTGTTTCTGTCGGGTTGCCAAACGGTGCTGGGCCGGTCTTAAGCAAATGATTTGTCTCGTTGAATTTCTTGATTGATCCCGAAGTTGCTTCCTTCACTGGCCGTAGCAGCGAAGGTGGCCACACGATGCTCTTGCGATTACACCAACATTGTCACGATGTGAAGAGCAAGAGGATCTGCGGGAGAGAAGGCGGAGGGGGGTGGAGCAGAGACAGGGTTGGAAGGAGTCGTTGGTCTCGTGGATTAAATGGTCCCTTATGTCTCGATGGACGTCTATATGTCGGGTCTTATATAACGCTAATATCACTGGATCACAGATCAGCTTTTTGGCCTCTCAGACGCCAGCCGCATGATCAAGCATCCATCACCCCCATACATACATATTGCGACCCACTGCTCTTCTCTCTCTTGCTTTTGTATAACCTCAACCTAACCACCTACCTACACACCCGGGGTCATACTTCGCCAATGACTCGTCCAACTCCGCCGACCAGCGCCGGCGGCGGCGTGGTGACCCGAAAGCGCTCTTCGGTGGTGACATAGCCCATGAAACTCGAGGTTCTCCGGTCATATTGCACGGTCGCGTTGGCGGGCAGGTTGGCCCACGGTCTCGGGTTGGGGCCGTTGTGGATCATGGCGAGCGCGTTGTTGTTGTTGTTGGCGTTGCCGTTGTTGGCGTTGTTGTTGCCGGCACCGGCGTCGTTGGTGTGGCTGTTGTTCGCGGCGGGATGCTTCCTTCGCCACACCCGCCACCCGTAGTACGAGCCGATGACGGTCGCGACGGTGCCCACGACGGCGACGACGAGGCCGGCGATCGCGCCGCCGCTCAGGGATGATCCGCCATTTCCCTTGTCGGGTCCGGCGGTTCCGTTTGTGCCTAGGCAGACAAGAAAGGTGTTTCGTTATCATCGGCTCACAGGGAGGAAATGGCTCCACGGACTCAAGGAACCAGGGAGACAACGAAAGACTGCACCCACTGTTATTTCCACTTCCAGCCCCATTGCCCTCAAGTATATACCCCGTCGGGACATCGCCAGCCGCCAAGGGCACGTTGTGGTCCGCGCAGAACTTCACAAAGACATTAAACGCATCCTGAGCGAGATCTCCATCGCCACAGTTGTTGCTCACGCAAGCCCAGGTCTGGCTGATCACGGTGTGGTATGTGCTGGAGCAGCAGTCACCGCTTGCGTAGTCGCAGTTGTTGGCAAAGTTATCCACGTAGTCGGCATCCGTGCAGGCAAGACATGTGGTCGCGCAATCTGGGTAGGAGTCGTAGATGGAGGGGAACGTGGTAGTTGAGCAGATAAGTGCTCCGCGGCTCAACAAGGAGAGGGACAGGATTGTGGCGAGGAAAACCCTGGGCGGTAGTGAGGATGGAGACATTGCACGGTGATGGTGGTGTTAGAGACAACGACAGACAGGATACGAGTTTTGGCTGCGCTTGGAAGAGACGGGCAAGAAAGAAGACTTGAGGCTCTCGCAAGGAAGATTGCAGCCTCACTGTGTAGTGTGCAGACATGCCGCCGCCCTCCGCTACGCCGCCTTCGATATCAGCCCGGAGTAATAGCGTGCTGCATGCTGAGGGCACTTGCGCCTTGTGCGTGTGATGTCTTACCGTTCAGCCTCATCCACGCACACAAAGACTTCGGAAATCCTTGGGGTCCCAGACGCCAGACTGCGGCGAGGAAACCGACCTGCAGGCTTTAGTAGAAAAATGATTCGGCTTGCAAGAAAGAAGAAATAATAGAGAACATAGAAGTAATTTCAAGTCTCAAAGTTCAGAAGAGTGAGGCTGAGACTAAGCCCAAGGTTGATCAGTGAGGGGGCCGGCGCCTCGATCGGTTAGAATGAAGCCATCAGCGAAGAACGCCTTGCCTTGGCCGCCAGAGAGCTAGCGGTTTAGGCCATCTTCAAACAGTTGTCGATAACCTCGCACATTTCGAGGATCTTCTCCTCCTCGAGTCGCCTTCCGACAATCTGCAACGCCACTGGTGCTCCGTGATAGAACTCAGCATCGTAATCTTGTTGGATTCTGCCGTCGATGTCGCTCAATTGCTTGAAGGTGCTCATATCTCTTGCCTTGTCAAGCTCTTTGTCCGCAAAGGTGACCGGAAAGGTACAGGCGCCGAAGTCTAATTTGACTCTGATCAGTATGGGTGCAAGGAGACAGTACAAGTACGATGCTTACCCAGGAAGTTGACAAAGCCCGTATAGCCAACATACAAACTCTGCTTCTGGGTTTGACCAAGCCGAGGAGCTGCCCATGGCGATGCGGCACAGATTATCCCGTCCAGTCGTGGTTTTCCGTCCGTAGCGGTCGCATTCCATCGGTCAAGGTAGGCTTTCTGCAGTTCATTACGCCGGAGGTTCATCATTCGCATCTTTGTCGGTCCAAGCTCCCCTTCACCTGCGGCAGCCGCCACTGCGTACCCTTCCATGCTCGGAAAAACTGGCTCTCCCCAAGGCTTGATAAGGTCCATAATGGCAGCGCCACCAAGATCGAAGAAGGCTGCTTGGAGGTTCTAGGGTTGTCAATAAACGAGTGCAATTAAGCAGAACGATGGGAGCACATACCTTCACAATCGCCTCGTGATCTTCGGTGGACCAAGGAATGACTTCGTGGCCTTGCTTTTCAAGCGCAGCCTGGGTCATCTTCAAAGCCCGCTCGACGGGTGGGTGAACATGGACAAGACCATCGTGGACACCAATTAGACCGAAGCGAAGTTTACGGCCTGGTGGTTGAATAACATTCTTCCTCCATGGGATTGGATTCACTTTGTGGTCATATTCCCAAGGTCGCACGTCCTCGGATAAGAGGGCTTCCGAGTACAACTGGAGCGTCTTCAAAGATCTCGCCATTGGCCCGTTGACCGATAGAATATACTCTTGACCAGCTATGCCCGGCTTGGCTCCATAGTGCGGATAGCGACCGAAGCTAGGTTTCAAGCCGTACAGATTGCACCATGCGGCGGGAATACGGATGCTACCACCAATGTCTGTGCCAATCCCCAAGGGCGAGGCTTTGAGGGCTATCAGAGCCCCTTCACCACCACTAGATCCTCCGGGGGTGAGGTATTTGTGTAGAGGGTTCCGACATTCTCCCCAGATGTTGTTGTTTGTTTCCGCCATCATCATGGCAACAGGGACATTTGTCTTGACGTAGAAGACCGCACCCAGATCACGCAGAATGGTGACCAGTAACGCATCTTTTTCCAAGGGCTCGTTAGCATAGATCGCCATTCCGTTGCTGGAAGGGTGTGGTGCAGTCACGAAGCAGTCCTTGAGCGAGATTGGTAGTCCATGGAGCGGGCCGAGGGTCTTCCCTGTGCGCGCGAGGTAATCATCGAGGTATTTTGCTCTTTCAATTGCTTCGGTATAGAGTACTTCGGTCAAGCAGTTGGTCAATTCCTGGGCCAAGGCGGATGCCTTGCAGAAGGCTTTGGTGACCTCCAGTGCGGTCCATTCCTTGGTTTTAATCTTCTCGAGGATCACATCGGCTTCTGATTGGATTATCTGGCGCTCGTCGTCGGTGTAGTAGTCAGATTTGAGCGCATACTCGGTCAGATTCTTGGGCAAGTCTGCTTCGTTCCATCCTGGAGTCTTGTAGAAGGCAGCAATGTTGGCCGCTCTCCTCTTACGAGCTATTGCCGAGGCCTCTTTGTAGTCACGCGTCGCCATCTTTTACTTGATCAGCAGGGCAAAAAGGTCAGCGGGAAGGTCAAGCTGGATGAACAACACGAGCGAGCATTTCGAGCAAACTGAATCGCGGATTAGGGCGTCGACTGCGATCTCGGAGTTAGCACAATCAGTGGATGGAGTCTATCTTGCGCGAAATGAGTATTGGTTGAGATCAGGGCCTGGGTGGAATTGGGATACATACTCTAGTACCGAGGTGTTGCATTTAACCGTTGATGTCCGAGCAGGGGATTTTGGTCCTTGTCGTCTATCGCCGCGAGGGGAGGAGAGACTGCGCCACACCAGCGAGTGGGTGATTTTGGCGGTGCTGATGGCTGGTGACGATGTTTTCAGCTGTGACGACGGCCACGTGATCTCCCCCGCCGCTCACCTGGACTCGGAAGCGAAGGGTTCGGCCAAGCCGGAGCAATCGATGAGTGATCGGCCGAAATATCTGGTTAAACGAAGGGGCTGGGCCATATGTGCGTAATAGGCATCACTGTTGGACCTTGGGGGGCGCATGTGGACCCCGAGCACCACCTGAAAGAACAGCCGGGTGACCACTCAGAGGGCACGAGGCACCCGGAACTGGGCGAGTCCCCTCCAAAGGCCCTCCAAAAGGAGGGGTCCTTCTGTGTGCCGCGGGGCTCAGCTGCGCGTTTCAGTGCAAAGCCGGCCTGATGAGTGAATAATTGCTGAGTCCGGATTCACCACCATCCTCAACCGCAACGCTGCAGTCTGCGGTCTGGATTCCTTCGAGCTGCGCAAGCTTCTTCCCACATCCTTCTCACCTCGTATAAATCCTCCCCTTTCCTCATCGACCTATCCAGCTCGTTGCTCTCCATACATCAAAACACATTCACTCTAGGTTTCAAACCTTCTGAATCTTCTGCGGCTTACTCTCATCCTCGCCTCATCCACAATGTCTGGTCCTTACGATTCCTACGGCGGCGGTCAGGGCTACGGCTCCCAATACCCTCAGCAAGGATACGGAGGCGGTCAAGGCTACCCTCCTCAGCAGGGATACAATCAACAGTGTCCTCCTCAACAAGGCTACCAACAACAATATCCTCCTCAAGACCAAGGCTTTGGCCCACCTCGCCGACAAGATTCCTTCGGTCCCCCGCAATCTGGCGGCTTCCAACATGGTCAAGCTGGCTACCAGTACGGCGCCTACGACGCTAGCAACCCACAAGGCCATTCGGGATACTATGGCAGCAATGCCCCTCAGCAGTACGGCAGCAACGATGCCTACGCCCAGAACCAGGCCTACCAGCAACAAATGGCCCAGCACGGTGGTCAACAACAGCAACCAGGTCAGCAGGGTACAAGCCTGCCCCCCGAGGTGGCCAACCATCAATTTTCCCCTCAGTCGACTGACCCCAACGCGCCAAACTACGATCCCAACGCTCCTCCGATGACCGAGAGCGATCGTGGCCTCCTCGGCGCCATCGGTGGCGGCTTCGGTGGCCACTTCCTGGGCAAACAGGCCGGCCACGGCTTCCTGGGAACCATCGGCGGTGCTCTTCTCGGCAGCGTGGCTGAAGACTTTTTGAAGGACAAGAAGAAGCAGCACCACAGCAGCGGCAACAGCAGCTGGGGCGGCGGCAGCAGATACTAGATTCATACACCGACAGATTCCCACCGCCTGAGGGTTGGGTCTCCTTTGGAATGAGCTGATACAGAGAGGAATACTTGGTCACGACTCATGACGACATTGTACTTGATTCAGTGCTTTTCGATGCATCACGAGATGCATCTGCTTTTCATCCTTAACGGCTGTGCAGGACAGGGAGGGTTTTGGCATTCATAAAGTAAATTGAAGACATTACTCTGATTTTTTTTTAATGATTTTTTTTTTGCAATTCGTTTATCTCAGTCTCGTAAATGATTTCTTGTTGCTGTCCGGCCATGAGGCCCACCATCTTAAAGGCGTGCCGTCACCGCTCTAGATTCTGCCGCCGTCACCGGCTCGTCTGTCTTGTTTCCCAAGCCCTTGAATCCAACATAGCCGTTGTCAATGACTCTCTGCACATGCTCGTAAAATGCCTTCAAGCCGCCAAAGAAGAAGCGCAAGGCGTATTTCTTGCCCGGCACATTCTGGCCAAAGATCCAACTAGCCGTTTCCTTGAACAGACTGCCCTCGGCGACGCGCTCACACTCGAGACACCACTCCTTCTCGGCCTCGGGCGTCACTTCGACGACGGGCACGGGAGCAGCATCGGGGCTGGACTTGCGGAGCTCCTCGGCACGCGCGATCAAGCGCGAGATGAGGTCGACGTGAGCTTCGAGCGCGGGGGGGAGGTTTGTGAAGGGCCCCTGGGGACCTGTGATCATCAGCAGGTTGGGGAAATGAGGCACCGAGACGCCCAAGTAGCTCGTCGGGCCGGTTGGTTCCCAGTAGTCCTTGAGGGTGAGGCCGTCGCGGCCGCGGATGCGGATGCGGTTGTAGTTGCCCTCGATGGCGTCGAAGCCCGTGGCGAAGATGAGCACGTCGAGCTCGTACAGCTTGCCGTCGCTGGTCTGCACGCCCCGCTCGGTGATGCGCGTGATGGGGGTCTCCTGTAGGTTCACGACGTCCACGTTGTCGCGGTTGAACTGCTCAAAGTAGCCGCCGTCGCAGAGCGGGCGCCGCGCGTAGTAGTCGTGCGGCTGCAGCTTGCGGGCCTTCTCGGGGTCCTTGACGATTTGGCGGATCTTCTTGCGGATGAATTCGCACGCAGCCTCGTTGGCTTCTCGGTCCGTGGCGATGTCGTTGAACCCGCCGAACATGAAGCGGAAGCCGTTACCGGCCTCCCATAGGGTTTCGAAGATGCTTTCACGCTCCTCCGCGGACGCCACGGACTTGAATGGCTTCTCGGACTCGACAAACCCAAAGCCCACGGCCGAGTTTCTCACCTGGTTAAAAATGGCGTCGTAATTCGCATTCACCCACTTGCGGTAGTTAGGGTCGACTGGTCGATCGCCGCTGGGGACGCTGTACTGAGGATGGCGCTGGAAGCAGGTCAGAGACTTGACGCGTGAGGCTATGTCGGTGATGACCTGCACTCCTGTCGAGCCGCAGCCGATAATGCCCACACGCTTACCAGTCAGGTCAAGTCCCTGGGGCCATTTCGCCGTGTGCACCTTCTGGCCCTGGAAACTGTCGATGCCAGGGATGTCCGGGTAGTTGGCCTTCGACAGCAAGCCCAATGCGGTGACGAGATATCGTACTTTGAGGCTCTGTCCAGTGCTCAATTCAATTTGCCAGTATTTGGAGGTATCGTCCCAGACGGCGGAGAGGAGTTCGGTGTTGAATTGCATATCCTTTCGAAGGTTATGCCGCTCGACCACATGTTCCAGGTATGCCAGAACATCAGGCTGTTTGACGTAGTGATGTGTCCACGGGTAAGTTTGCAAGTCCTCTTTATCCCACGAGAATCGATAGACGAAGCTCTCCGTGTCGCTCATTGCGCCAGGATAACGATTCCAATACCAAGTACCACCCACATCGCTGGCCATATCGATCACCTTACATGATAAGCCCAGCTCCCTCAGCCGATACAGCTGGTAGATACCGCCGAAGCCCGCCCCGACGATAAGGGCGTCAAAATCCGTCTCTATTGGCGCCATCTTGATGACCGAATGATACCAGTTCTCAAGATGAGGTTGATGGAATTTTGGAGAGTATGGCAAGGGATTTCAGAGAAAGGAAAATGCGAGATCCCAGCCGGTCGGCTCGATGGCTGCTGTACCGAGTAGATACAGGGGGATCTAGAGCGATGAGAATGGACTGAATGTCGGATATCAGGCGGGGTTCGTCGCTAGCTAATGCGTTAGCGACGTGCTCTCTCTCTCCATGACAGGCTCCATCACACCGATCTATCGCTTTAGTCGGGCGGGTTTTGAATCCCGTGGAATGGGGATTTTCGGGTGGTGGGGGAAGAAGGGACGCATTTTGCCCTTTGTACGGAGTCCTGGAGTCAGATAGCACTTAATCTGGGGTTTCTTCCGTGGCAATGTGCCATTGATTCTCTGATTGACTCGGACAAGCGACAGTCAGGACTTTTCCAAGGCGAACGAGTAGGAATGAAGGGAGCGAGAGCTGCGGTGTGCATGTCGACTAGGTGGTGTTTGCGGGGCTGTTGCAGCAAGACGCTGGAGGGGATTTTTTTCTTGGTTGGCAGCAGCTGGATGGAGGCTGCGCCGAGGCGGCCATTCAGATGCCTCCAGAGCGGCTGCGTCTCGCCCACCGTCTGTACAAACTTCTAGCTTCTTGATCACCCTCGGCCCGGTGAGATGAAGCCCGGTCACTGTTTCGTCTTCCCCGCATCTCTCAATGGCTGCAGTTGTGTGCATCGCTACCAGTCCTCATACGGATATGCGTCTCCACGGTGGTGCAAATGTGACTGAGGATCACCAAGCATGCTGAACGGTCTCGCGGTGTACGCCGTCCCACCCTTCTTAATGACAGATAGATGCTCGATATGACGGCCAACTCGACCCCATCAGCTTCTTGTTCCCTTTCAACTCTCAGCAGTCGAGGATATAGCCAGCATGGCACAGCGTGTGGCTTTTATTACCGGTGGAAGTGGTGGCATCGGACGAGCCACTGCGCACAAACTGGCCAGCCGTGGCATCTCGATCGTGGTAGCCGATATGGATGAAAAAGAAGGTGGAAAAGTATCGGACGAAGTCGCAAAGAAGTGGAATGTCAAGACTAAGTTTCTCAAACTCGATGTCACTCAGGAACAACAGGTCAAAGACGCCATCGCCTCGTCGACAGAGTGGACAGGCCGGCTTGACTATGCCGCCAACTGTGCGGGCATCTGCGAATCCATATGGGCTGAAGAAGAAAGCATTACCACCGAGCTCTTTGAAAGGTGCGAAGCTCGAAGCTAATGTCCGGCACTTCTGACCTTTGCAGGACGCATGCCATCAACACCAAGGGTTTGTGGTTGTGCCAGAAATACCAGGCCTTGCAAATGAAGACTCAGGACCCTCGCCCCATCTCATTCGAACCGCCATCCCCACACAAGATTCCAGGACAACGTGGAGCCATTGCAAATGTCGTCTCTATCTCAGGACTCCAAGCGGCAGGGTTGGCAGCATACACACCCTCCAAGTATGCTGCAGTCGGAGTGACGAAAAACGGAGCAAAGTTCTACGGGCCAGATGGGATCCGAGTTAATGCTCTGTGTCCGGGGTGGACTATGACCAAAATGATCGAGCACTCGATGGGCGCCGCAGGGATCATTGGATCGAAGGAAAACGCGGAGTCCCCAGTCAGTAAAGCCATTGCCTTGCGAAGGATGGCTTTCGCCGAGGAGCAAGCCAACGTCTTGAGCTTCTTGTTGAGTGACGAGAGCAGCTATATGAATGGATCGCTGGTGGTCAATGATGGTGGCTTCCACGACATCCGGTGAAAGGCAGCAAATACATATCTAGAGAGTTCAGATATAGACTTTACTACACCTTCCTATAGCAACAGCCAGAGTATGCGGGATGAATTTCTAATGCAATCTCAACTGACCAATACGGCGGATTAAAAGGCGCTATATACCGCGGCATTTCGTTTGATCAAAGGCTAATTTCTAACGCTTCGTATTCTCTACTTGGCTATAACTCTCTTTCTACTCTGATATTCAACATCGTGGTCCAACGGCAGCCATACATACATCAACTAGACAACAGCCGAGGCGAGCACACGCAAAGAGGCTCGCTAGATTACGTGACGACTTCGACAGAGTGGTAATCGAATCGTATGGACTTCTACGACGATCAATGCCCTCATCTCGGGTATGTTGCGGATACCTCAGTCTACCGCACTTTTCACCGTCCTGCCACTCTCCCATATGACTACCAAAACCTCGAGTCAGGTGTCCATGTGAAAGGGCCCCGCTGGATGTCATAGGACCTTGTGCGTTGTCGCAGGGCGATCAACTCCACGGCCCCATAGCCTTCAATATGGGGTTACTACGATGGTAGGTACATAACATGTTACCGGGGCCTCCACAATCCCCGCACAGAGACGGCAATCCTCCTGGTGGCGTCTTTGGTATACTAGGCTATACACTCTCTTCGGGCTGCTCAAGCGTATAACCGGACGGTACGACGGGAAACTCTCCAACACGGCGCGCTCCAGAGTGGATGCGATATGCAAGGCATCCCACGCAGCAGTCTCCCATGGGAAGATGAATCCCGAAGCAGATCTGATCTGCTGTTTTGCATATATCCGGCGAATACCCATCATCTTCGCTATGATCTCTGAGAACTCCTATACCATCCGATCTCCGTGACCATTCCAGTTATTCCAACACGACATGTCGGCCTTCAACAGAGGTTACGCTGGATCGCTCCAAGGATTCTGGCTCCAGGCTGCCATTACCTTGTGCTCGGCCTGGGCCTTTACCCTCTTCGGTATTTTCGGTTCCAATAGAAAGAACGAGCGTACGGCTAACCGTGTCGCTCTAGGATATGATCAAGGCGTCCTGGGCGGTCTGATTTCCCTCCCTACTTTCTTATCGGCAAACCACATCGATCCCAATGCTGCGGATCTCCAAGGCACGGTCGTGGCCATCTACGACATCGGCTGTCTGAGTGGTTGCATTATCTGTGGGTTCGTCGGACAGATGCTCGGGCGCCGCCTATTCATTGTCATTGGGGGTGTCCTCATCTGTCTCGGAGCTGGACTGCAAGCTGGAGCTCACGGTACCTCGTATCTGATCTCGGGCCGTGTCATTGCCGGACTTGGAATGGGCATCATCACCGTGATGGTGCCGGTCTGGGTTGCTGAGACAGCCAAGGCAAAGACCCGCGGTGCCTTGATCGCCGCTCAGCTGTCGATAGTCATCCTGGGCCTCACAATCGCCTACTGGTTCGACTACGGCATGATTCGCAACTATCCTAATACCGAGGCCGTCTGGCGCCTACCGATCGCATTCCAAGTCGTCTTCATCTTGTTGACCTTTGGCATGATCTTTTTCCTCCCCGAGTCGCCCCGCTACCTGTATGCCAACGGCCAGATTGCCGATGCCGATCATATCATGGCTCGCATCTACTCTGTCCCGGTTGACAGTGAGGTAGTGACAAAACAACGCTCCGATGTGTTTGCGGCCCTCGAGGCAGAGAAAGAGTACAGCTTCAATCTCAAGAATCTCTTCTACGACGATTCCCCGGTGAATACGACCTGGAGGCTGTGGCTTGGTGTCTTGGTTCAGGTGGGATATTCTGCAACCGAGATGGGAGCAATTAAGCTAACGATTGGCAGTTCTTCCAACAAATGGATGGGTGGGTAGAATCTTGTTCTTATTTCTGCTGCACACCTCTCGACTCCATGAGAAGGAGTCCCTATCTGTACCCGACTGCCCCATCTGAGGAGCACTGCTGACTTGAACTTTCTGCCAATGCACAGCAACAATATCGTCTCGTACTACGCGACCTTTCTCTTCATCCATTCTCTCGGCATGTCGCAAAATCAGGCTGCCATCACGAGTGGTGGCGTCACGTTACTCTTCCTCGGTGGGACCTGCTCGACCATATACACAATGGAGAAATTTGGCCGACGATCCGTCATGCTATGGGGAGCGATTTTCTGCTCGATATTCATGATTCTATTCACCATCGGACTCGCCGTCAATAACGGCTCCTCCAACAAGCTTGCTGTTGTCAGCATCTTCTTGTTTGAGTTTGTGTTTGGAGCTTCCTGGTGCGATGCGCCATGGATTGTAGGTTACGTTCTAGGCTATGGCGATGGCATTGCTAACTGTGGTGCTTTAGTATGTTCCAGAAATTGCACCTCTCCATGTGTGAGTGACTCTCTCTCTCTTTGAACCCACCAGGTTGCCATGATCTTTAGAATGGTCCGGAGCTCCTAGGGCGAGCTAACGATCTTCTGCAGTCGTCATATCGGGACTTCTATGGGTGTCTTCACCCAATGGATCATCACGTTTATCGTGGTCAAGTTTGGGCCGATGGGGATCCAAGCTTCTGGGTGGAAATTCTATCTCCTGTTCTGCGTCTTCAACGTCTTGGCCGTCCCTTTTGTCTATTTCTGCGTCAAGGAAACGAAGGGCCTGAGCTTGGAAGAGATCGACGTGCTCTTCGCCAAGAAGGAGTACAAACACTTGTTGGAGGCGAGACTCCGAGGCGATCCTGAAGCAGGAGAAAAGGGAAGGGTCGAGGAGCAAGAGGTCGCTCAAGAGACGTTCGAGATGAAGTAGGTGTGCTCGTTGCAGGGATGCAAGAGAATGCCATACCCTCAAGAGGGAAGGGAGCTAAAGAACCGCAAGTATTGTGGAGTTAGGGATACAAATAAGAACATACAAAGAGGCTATTTATGTACTCGTATGTAGCCTGAGCTCTTCTTCTCTGGCCGCTTTATATAGGGTGAATCACTCACCAAAGAGTGTAGAATGGAACGTGAAGGGCAAGCTTTGGCGGAGCAATTACGGAGGACTTCAGCCCGCGTGAACCAGAAAAGTATTGTCGAGCTATTTACGACACGTCTTCGTAGACTTTGTCGCCCATCGGCAGTGAGCAAGTTCTACCTACAAGTGCTCAATTTTGGTGATATTTTGGTATCAAGAATAAGTAGTACTATCCAACAGGCAAGCTATGCTTGATGACTAACTCGGATCTACCTCTTGGGGATCGGCCATGGTCTATGGCAACTCTCGGCGTCGCCTGTCCTTCTTTCTTACTCCAGTTCCTTATCTGCAGGGCTGCGGGAACTTGTGACTCCATTGGTATGGCCCAGCTCGCGTGTTCCTGACGGACCCCTGGATATGGGCGAAACCTAGGCGAATTCATTTCCACTTGCCAAAACCTCGTTCTCTCGTGGTTGACTTGTACAGTCTCCCCCCAAAGGGCAGCGCTGTCGGCAAAATGGCATCAGCATGGCATCCTTCTTTTGATACAGCAACCAGGAGAGACTGTGGAACATGATTAATTCTGGCATGCATTGGGGTCGACTGCGGCGAGCAATGCGGACTCTTTCCTAGTCCACGCTCGGAAAGCCAGAGTCAAATACCGCTTGACTTCTAGCCTGCATTCGATATATTAGAGACTACATATCTCCCAGGAACAATTGGCTGGCCCTTGTGAGGGTTCTTTGATTTAAAGGTACACTGGGCGATCTGAACCACCCCCAAGCCTCTGGTCGTGGCCATCTTGCTTTGGCGTATTCTTTGACATATTCATCTTTCATCAATTCTATTGACCTCCTCTTGTTCCCTGAGTGTGGGTTCTTGGTTCAAGTCTATTCCTCCTACCACCGTTCCGCACCGTGAAATCCCCAAACCATGGCCCCATCCAAAGGTGGTGAAGGATACCCTTCGCGGCCCGGAGTCGAATACAACGAGCTGGGGTGGAAGCTTCAGAATGCGCGAGGCTACAAAATCAACGAAGAGCCCTACGACACCTCGCGGAAACTTCGCGTGATTCACGTCGGAGCTGGCGCGTCAGGAATCATTTTTTCCAAGTTTAGCGAGGACCGGTTGAAGAACATCGAGCTGCAGATCTATGAGAAGAACGCCGACGTGGGAGGGACCTGGCTGGAGAATAGGTATAGTAACGGCGCACGAGACATTATATCTTACTATTTGACTTTCATTTACTCACATTCTATTCAATCTCTAGGTATCCTGGGTGTGCGTGCGATATCCCGTCGGCGTCATACCAATTCACCTGGGAACGGAATCCAAACTGGTCACAGTACTACTCAGAATCACCGGAGATCTGGAGGTATTTTAAGGGCGTAGTCGAGAAATACGGGCTCGCTAAGTATATCAAGTTACAGCATACGGTGACTAGGGCGCTCTGGGACGGCGAGAGGGGCCATTGGGAGGTGTATATCCGTCGACCTGATGGGACCGAGTTCAAAGATATATGCAACGTTCTGATCAACGGAAGTGGGATTTTAAAGTATGTCCTCGCACTTTACAATCGCCCCTTATCGCTCGCTTGGATGTTGAGAACTGACATCTATCATAACGTGTTTAGTAACTGGAGATGGCCAGAAATCAAGGGCCTACACACTTTCAAGGGCATTCTACAACATAGTGCCCAGTATGATCCGAAGACTAATCTGAAGGATAAAAGAGTGGCCGTGATCGGCATCGGAAGCAGCGGTATCCAGATTACGTCCAAGATCGCTCCGGAGGTGAAGCGGCTATACACGTGGGTGCGGTCGCCGATATGGGTGACAGCAGGATTTGCGCAGAAGTTCGCGGGCAAGGACGGGGGCAATTTCCAATGTAAGTCGGGGCGGTCATCGCCTACAGCAATACCATGGGCTTTCTCGTGGCTAGTTACCTGACCTCATTACAGACACTGCAGAGCAACGGCAACGGTTCGCGGAGAACCCTGAACTGTACTTGAAATACTCAAAGATGATCGAGTCGGAATTAAACAAGCGATTCAAGTTTATTCTGAACGGGACCCCGGACGCTATAGAGGCCAAGGAAGTAAGTATAGCTGCTCGCACATCGCATTCACCGGCCGATAGCTAAAACTCCCTGGGGTGTTAGTATGCGAGACAGGAAATGACCCGGAAGCTGGGGGATGCCAGGCAGGAGCTCAAGGACGCGATCATTCCTAAGAATTTCGGCGTGGGTTGCCGAAGACCGACGGTGAGTGACGATGAAAATATGGTATACGCGGACTTGAAACTGACGCGAGACAATACAATAGCCGGGCAACGGATTCCTCGAAGCACTCGCTCAAGACCACGTTCAAGTCTTCTTGGAGCAAATGAGAGAAATCACCCCCAAGGGGTTCATCGACAGCGAGGGAATTGAACACGAGGTCGATGTGATTATCTGCGCGACTGGGTGAGCAGGAGTTGGATCTTTTTTCTGTTTTATTTTGGTCTGCAAGTCTCGCCTACTGACACCTCGCAGTTTCAACACAAGCTGGATCCCACGGTTCCCGGTTGAGGCCAACGGCCATAGTATCGCGAAGATGTGGGAGAAGGAAGCGACGTCGTATCTGTCGCTAGGTGTCCCGCACAGTACGTGACTATCACCGATCCTTTCTCGCATCGACTTTCTTACGCTTTACAGTGCCGAACTACTTCATGATGGGCGGCCCCTACGGAGCTCTAGGCCACGGGTCGTTCCTCCCCATCCTTGAAACGCTCGGAAGCAACATCGTTGCGTGTATCCAGAAGATGCAGAAGGATCGGATCAAGAGCATGACACCGCGGGCGGAGGCTGTCGAGGAGTTCCGCGAACACGCCGAGCTATTTCTCCAGCGCACCGCGTGGGCGTCTGGATGCAGTTCGTGGTTCAAGCAGGGCCGGGTGGACGGGCCTCTGACCATGTTCCCGGGCTCTCGACTCGTCTACCTCGATCTCCTGGCAACGCCGCGCTTTGAGGACTACCAGATCGAATACCTGAATCCGCTCAACCGATTTGCATTCCTGGGCAACGGCTTCTCGCAACGGGAGTTTGACGGCCGCGATCTGTCGTATTACCTGGGGCTTTTGGACGGGGACGACCGTCAGATCGATCTTGAGGCAGACCTTCACGACGAACTGGCGGACTTGATCCAGTAGGAAGCGCACTGGGGATTTTGAGAGGGCGTTTTGGACCAGCACCTTACAGGCTTCTTTTTTTTTTTTTTTTTCCGACAAAAATCCATGAGATGGTGTTGGGTGACTGGTTAGAAAAGAGTCGACTCAAGGATGATGTGGACATTTATCAACTCACCGCCATATAACTATCAATTTTATTATATGTGTGTGCATCATACTACAAACTTTCGCTACAACGGCATCTTGACCATTGATGTTCTGGTAGCCTCGGTAGGTAGAAGCCTTGAAGGGCATGACTGTTTAACGCCAGCATAGTGTCGGGTCAGGTCAGTGCGACAGTAAGGTTCTAAAGATCCACCACCTGCTTCTGCGCCCTTGCTGCAGTGTCCCTGGCGAAGGATTCACAATTCAAGTAGGCCACCTCCGGCACGACGACACTGACGACCCACGTGCTATAATGACTCCCTCGCTTTGAAAGACACGTGCACAACGCAGGGTCTTATCACAGCACCGGAGTTTTGATCGTGTGACATATGAAATAAGGGACGTTGCAGGTTATGATGGCGGTGGTCTTCGACAGCACGAAAAGTGCTTCATTACTGACACCCAACCGATTTCTTCGCAACGGGATCGGTTCCCTACTCCCACGAGATCTCGTTCACGATAAGGACGGTGGACCGCTTTCAAGGCATCTCCTTCCAGATAGAAACGGTTACAGCGTGGCCACACCGAGATGCTTCTCACTTCCTCCATGATTGTCGCGTGTCTGTGGCCTGCATATAATCACCCCATCCTATGGCGTGGTAAACCGCTAACAGCGGGTCAGAGAAGATCAAATATCTCCCCTCCACGGCCTTTGGGATGATTCAGCAAAGCGCTCGCATTCCGAGTCCCGAGTTCTATGGCTGGTCCTGTCTGGATTTACTCTGGATAAGCTCGACAGTCGACGGCGTGGACTTCCTCTCCTGACGTGTCTTTGCCTGGCCAATTGGGTGCGACAACGGTCTCGAGGGACGGAAACGGCTAGTCGGGTTGCTCTTATCAATGAGCTTGCCCCGTTATTAGCACTGGAAACCCTCTCCATCTCCACAACATCCAGGACGTGGAGCTTCTGGTCGGATTCCACGAGGAAGGGAAGGCTACGGCAGGACTGAACGAGGCACCATGGGCGGCCGCTCTATGGTTGTCTCGTTGATGTCCGACGCTGGGCGTGTATTACCAATCGGGGTTTGTCTTTGTCTGATATATCCCCGTCGAGGGGGCGAAGCAACCCGTTCAAGAACAAAGATCCTCGCAGGCTTCGTGTATGGTGTTTTCAGCCTCTAGCCGATCGACTTCTCGAGCTTCACTTGACCATGGCGTCGCACTCCAAGGACAGCTGCAGCGTCCACACGTACGATCCGTACAAACTGCCGGACTCCAAGCCCGTCTTCTCACACGTCACCACCACCAATGGGTCCTGCCGCATCGTCACCACGGCAGGGCTGGTCGGGATGGACGAGCACGGCGACGTGCCCGAAGACATTGACGAGCAGATTGCTCTGGCCATGAGGAATCTCCGCGGGGCGCTCCAAACCGCCGGCGCGACGGTCACCGACGTCTTCAAGCTGGTCTACTATATCGTGGACTACGACGCCAAAAATCGGCGGCACGCGAAGCACATCAAGGCCTTTGTGGATGGCCACCGCCCGGCGACGACTATGGTGCCGGTGCCTTCGCTCGCGGACCCACGGCACAAGTTCGAGATCGAGGCGTACGGGGCGATCCGGCAGGAGCCGCTGCGGATGGTCGACGTGGTCGTCGTCGGCGGCGGGCTCAGCGGCTTAAAGGCCGCCTACGACATTCAGCAGGCCGGGCTATCGTGCGTGGTCGTCGAGGCCCGCGACCGCGTCGGGGGTAAGACGTGGTCGGTCGGACCGGCCGAAGACGGCAGCTACGTCGACGTGGGCGCCGCGTGGATCAACGACACCAACCAGAGCGAAATCTACGCGCTGGCCAAGTCCCTCGGCCTGGAGCTCGTGGTCCAGCGAACCGAGGGCAAGGTGATCCAGGAGGACCTCTCCGGTGGACTGAGCCTGTTTCCCTACGGCGGCACCCCGACCGGGCTGGCCGAGGCGAACGGGGCCGAGAATCTGGTTTACATCCGCGAGCTGGCCGAGAAGGTGTGCCAGCAGCTGAATATCCACGACCCCGTGGGCACCGGCGCTCCCCTGGACAAGATGACCATGGAGGAGTGGTGTCGGTCGAGCATCCAGTCCGAGACGGCGCTGGCGTCGGTCAAGATGTGGGTTCGACAAATGCTCGGGCTGGAGCCGTGCGAGATCAGCGCCCTGTATTTCCTGAACTATTGCAAGAGCGGCGGCGGGCTGTTGCGGATGCGCTCCGATTTCAAGGATGGAGGCCAGTACCTCCGGTTCGTCAGGGGTAAGGAATCCAAAAAACAATCAGAGATCTAGTGACCGTAGGTCATACTGACATCCCTTTGGTAGGGACGCAATCAATGTCGATCGAATTGGCTAAGCGCCTGAGCCCCGGCTCTGTCGTGCTCAGCTCGCCGGTTCGACGCATCTCCCAGAGTCCAGCCGGGATCCTAGTGTCAGCGGCGCGAGGCGACTTCCGCTGCCAGCGCGTGGTGGTGTCGGTGCCGACGCCCCTGTACAAGGAGATCACCTTCGAGCCGCCGCTGCCGCCGGCGAAGCTGGAGCTGAGCGACAAGAACGTGCTGGGCGACACGATCAAGGTGATCGTCAAGTACGCGGCGCCGTGGTGGCGCAAGGCGGACCTGGCCGGCATGGTCATCTCGTTCCACGGCCCGATGGTCAGCTGCCGGGACACCAGCAACGACGCGGCCGGCACGTACTCGCTGACCTGCTTCACCACGGGCGAGATCGGGCGCCAGATGGCGCGCCGCCCGCAGCGGGAGCGGTTCGACGCCATCCTCGCGCACTTGCGACGCGCCTTTTCGCCCTACGTCGGCGTCGTCCCCGAGCCTGTCGCCGTCACGGAGCACATCTGGGCCAAGGACCAGTGGGCCCAGGGCTGTCCGTGTCCGGCCTCGCCCCCGGGCATCATGACCCTGTACGAGCACGCGCTGAGGTCGACGCACGGCAAGATTCACTTTGTCGGCACCGAGACCGCGTACGAGTGGAAGGGATACATGGACGGCGCGGTCCGATCGGGGGACAGAGGCGCGAAGGAGGTGATTGAGGCGATCGGCAGGGCCAAGTTGTAGAGGACCCCAATTCGTATGCTATCCCCGTACAACTTCATCCAGCGCACGCCCTATGATGGGGGTGGGGTGGAGGGATACGTGAGAACTATCCCCCAGTTCGGCCTCACATGGTTTCGTTGAAACGAGCCCAGGTACAAGGCGCGGGACTGCATCTCCTGAGAAAATTGTTTTGTAGGCTAAGGTTGAGATTGAGGATGAGGTTGTCGGGATTGAAGTGAAAAGCGGCAGCTTCAGTATGGGACTTCGGAGTCTCCGTGGCCGTAATTCTATAAATTCTGTATATAGATACATACGTCCACGACAAGCATTGCAGTCCGCGTATGCCACATCAGGTCAGCATTAAATACGCCGTCTTTGCCTCGACGACTCTTCTCCAGTCGGAGGTGACATCGGAGGCGCCCTGCCGGCGCTGGTTCCAGACCTCGACGACGACCTCCCTGCCACGGGACCCTGCCTCCACGCCGTACGTTCTGGCCTTGTCGAACCACTGCAAGAAGCGTTTCTGAAGGGGTTCGGTCAGCGCTTCGGAGGCGGCGATGAAGCACGGCCAGGTCATGGGGCCGGCGACGATGCCGGCGTCGTCCTTGATCTCCTCGGCCGCCTCCATGTGGGTGACGACGCTCTCGACGTACGGCTGCAGGTGCTGGCGATGCATCAGCCGGATGTGGCGCGAGAAGTAGATGATGAGGGCCTTGTGGACGGCACGGGTCTGGTGGTCGACGATGGCCCGCGTCTCGGGCCCCACGGGCGCGCGCAACAGGCTGGCCAGGCGGGCGTCGATCGGCCAGTCCAGTACCTCAGCCTCGAGCTTGTCACAGGCCTCGGCCAGGGAGGGGATCAGGAGCAGGTCCCATTGCTTGCGGCGGAGGAGGTTCACCTGCTGGGCCAGCTCCGTGGTCCGGCCCATAAGCAGCAGCAGGTCAAGTGGGAAGCCGTAGACGAACTCGCACGACGACATGTCGTCCAAGCTCGAATGTATCTGCTCCAGCCCGAGCCAGCTCTCGGCCTCCTTGAGGTTGCTGGACAGCTTGTCCTGCTGTTGCTGTTGCTGTTTGTGTGGTTCTCCCGTCGTGCCCGACGTCGCCGACGGGTCTTTGGAGTCGGTCGCCAGTTCCGACACCAGCGCCGTGCTCGCGTGGATGACCCGCAGATAGTAGAAGGTGCGATGCAGAGCGCGCGCCTTGGAGGAATACTTGGTCTTCCAGCCTCGTTTCGCCGACCGGATCAGGCTCTCGCATCCTTTCAGATGAATGCGACACGTCCGCGTGTCACCACAGACCACCTGGATATTGTCTCGGTTAGCCCCCCTGTCATGTCACATTTGGGAATATCCTTGAGATTGGGGTGGAACTGACATCTATGGTGATCATGGAGAGCATGGCGGCCAGCAGCTCCTTGTACTTGGGCTTCCCGGGGAACGTCCGCTTCGACGCCACCGCGAGGTTCTCCTCCAGGCAGCTCTTGAGCAGGTTGACGGCCCGGAACCGCATCTGCAACGCCTTTTTACACCACTTCCTCGCCGAGGCCTCCTGCCCTTGGATCCGGTATTTGTTCACCAGATTGTACGCACTCACCGACAGGATCGTGTGGAGGAGGGCGTTCCGAGCATTCGACGTGGTGCCGGTCGCTTCGAGCTCACCACTCCCTTGCAGCGCCCGCGGCAGGTGGAGCGTTCGCCAGGGGCTCTTGGAGTTTTCGGTGACGGTGAAGAGATTCACCACCGAGGTCACATAGTGGTTGATCAAGAACCGTTTGTCGACCGTCATGAACGTCGGTTTGAGCTGATACGTGGTCAAGCTGGGATCGGATCCGTAGGCGGTAGGCTCAACGCATACCCCCTGACTGGACGAGGCGTAATTGTCTGGCGCTTCTGGACTGTCCTCGTATTGGTCTGTAGGCGCCAGCAGACCGCCTAGCGAGGGAATGGCGGGACTGTTGGGGGACAACGGGTCCAGGGGCCAGATGTAATCGATGTCGGCCGCACTCCAGAACTCGTCCAGTGAGACTTGGGCACTGGCCATGTTCTCGGGCGCCTGGTCTAGATTTGCGCTGGCCCGGCCCATGATCGAGGACCAACATGGCTCTACGGCCGCTGGGGGTGTGTTGAGTGGCTCGCCCGATGCCGCCTCTGATCGGCTCACAGCAAGGGATGCGTAGGACGATGCATCGGCGGAAAAGACCGAGAAGGGCCCATGGACTCGCGTGCTGCAGGAGGATAGACACTCCTCGGCGTCAATGGCGTTCAATGCCCTGTCCAGGGCTGCCTCTCCCAGGATCGACGCGGGGATACCTTATCACAAACGGCGTGAGCATGTCATGTGGCTGGCTTTTCGATTCGGCGAGGACTTACTAGCTAGAACCTGCCGTCTCTGGGAGCTCTGGGTTCTGACTAGACTACATGTCTGTTCACCGGCGTTAGTCCTGGGCGGGAGCCATTGCAGTCGAGCGGCGTAGCCACCACAGGTGAGGTTCTTGGACGTGCACTGCCTGCAAGAGGGCTTTGTCTCGTCACAGCGGAGGCGCCGGGCCCGGCACGTCCAACAGCCTGTGAAGGTCTTCCTCCTCTCGCCGGGGCATGGTGGAGGGTTCGCGCGAGTTGTCATCAGGCTGGTGGCATTCTCCAAGCGTGTAGTAATCCACCAGTTGGCAGTGGTCAGGGCAACCAAGGGAAAGAGATGGCCGGACCTCCCATTTTATCCACGACAGGTGGATCGCCCTAGATCAGTCGGCTTATCTCAGGCTGCTCTGCTCGTTATCAGACATCCTCCAGACTTTCTTTGGCTCAGGCCCGCCTGGGGTTTTAGGGCAAAGTCAAATCAAGGGATCGACCATCTGTAGGCCATTGGTCCGCTGTGAGTTGCCATTCGAGAAGAGTCGTTGAAATTTTGTGCTCGATTGCCACTTGAGGCTTGTCTAGGGGGCGTATATCACTTTCGACGCGGTCGAGATGGAGGCCTCAGAAGGTGTCTCGTCGATAACATCGATACATTCTTCTCTTTGTTATCAGGAAAGCAACACCCTATCATCGGCATGGCTCCAAGCGTCACTGCCACCACCGTCCAACAGTCGGACTCGACAGTTCAGTTCCACGTCCGTGGCGAGAGCCCGACCGCAACTGCCAACACTGCCTTGGCTGCAGTATCGACGGGGGGTTATGAGTTTCCGGGTGTGCCCAAATTCACCGATCCTTACAAGAAGCGGGCATGGCAGCTGGAACATATGGCGGGGGCCTTCCGAGTCTTTGCGAGAAAGGGATTCACCGAGGGAACAAGCGGTCACATCAGCGTGCGAGACCCTGTCGACCCAAACACCTTCTGGATCAACCCGTACGTGCCCCCGGCCGCTGTGTCCCGGTATAGGAGCGTCGGACTGAGAATAAACCTCCCAGCTTAGGAAAGCATTTTGGCATGCTTAAGGCCAGCGACATGGTCCAGATTGACGAGAACGGCAAGGTCATCGGAGGCAACAAGGTCGCCGTCAACGCCGCCGGGTTCATGATTCACTCGGCCATCCACAAAGCCCGACCAGACGTCCACGCAGCCTGCCACACGCACTCCAAGGCGGGCAAGGCGTGGTCGAGCTGCGGGAAGCTGCTGGACATCATCAACCAAGACAGCTGCACGTTCTGGAACGACCACGTGGTGTACGAGACCTTTGGCGGCATCGTGCTGGAGAAGGAAGAGGGCGAGAGAATTGCGAAGACGCTGGGGCCCAGGGTTCGCTCGGCCATCCTCCAGAACCACGGCCTTTTGACGGTGGGATCCACCGTCGACGAGGCCGCGTATCTCTTCACCCTTCTCGACCGGACGTGCGAGGTGCAAATCATGGCCGAGGGGCTCGACAAGGTCATCATCAGTGACAAGGAAGCCGAAATGACCTATCGGCTGAATTCCGACCCGGTAAGCCCATTGTTTCCATTTTTCTGAAGGCCTCACACAGTCGACTAAGACTCGGGATAGGAAACACTCTACACCGAGTTCCAGCCCGATTTCGAATACGAGATCTGGAAGTCCAACGGAGAGTTGAGTAAAGGGGAGTGATTTCGCAACGAGCAGGTGCTGGGAGCATATAGAGTCCAAAAATTCAGCATGGATGGGTAGACCATACATAGAAGACACTCGAGCGGTTTATCCTCTTACAAAGAAATCCCTATGTGCTCGGCATGCAGTCGTCGACAAGAAATCGGTCGTCGGGGCACCATCATGAAGATGTAGCCATCCGTCGCCTTTGGGAAGCTGACCCAACATTGCCTCTCGTTCACGCATTCGACGTTCTTACTCTTGAAGCGGCTTTCTGGTGATGTTCCTTTAGATTGCCTACGCTTTACATGGGGAGAGCAGAGGACAGATACCTCAACTGCCTCCCATACTCTTCAAGTTGAAGAGACCAATGCAGCCAATGTATTTCTACACTCTTCGCATAACGACCCGATAGTGTGGTTCATACCAAGGCTCACTTGGGTACCCTGAATGTAGCTCTCATGACTATGAATCAACTCAAAAGCCTGTCCGTCCGTCCACCTCCCCCGGCCCACGAACGCAAGTCCGAACCCTATAAGCTCACCGGCGCCTATTTCTTGGCCGGAATGGTCACTAAACCCTTGGCCTCCATGGTCTGCCACTGCAGACCCTTCAGGATGCCATACATGACCTTCAAGGTGGGCGTGGAGACTCCCAATTTCTCGGCTTCCCGCAGAGGCTCGCCGACGATGTTCTCGAACTCGATGTAATTGCCCTGCAGTAATTCACCCGGTCAGAGAGGAGAGCATACGAGAGAGGAAAGATCCAGGATCCGAGATATGTGAGGATGAGAACAGTGCAACAGTGCATACCTTTTCAATGTCCTGACACATGCTGGGCTTGAAAAAGGTGTCGAACGGATCGGTCACTACCATAGTTTCGACGATGTCCTCAGGCAGCAGCACGCCGGCCGCCTTGGCCGTGTTCTTGATCTCCCACATGGCCGGCCGGACCAGGTTCTCGACGATGTGCTCCGAGATG